AGAAAATGAAAAAAAAAAGAAGTAAATTTATGCTGCTACCCTAACAACATTCAATTGGCCAAACTGATAACCTTATTTTTTTATGTAACACTGAACTAATTAGGATAGCATTTCCCAACATGAAGCTGATTACGACTGGAATCTAAATAAGCTGCACTTGACTGTACAGTTTGTTTTGACAACACTATCAGTCTGCAGGCTTGACATCCGAGGGGAAGCTCATCTCCAGACAGCCTATCAGATAACAACTTACCCCCCTCAAGCACTTACATAGGCAATACTGTGAGTTAATCGACAATCTAACAACAACAGGTACAGCTATCTCGCCCACACATAAGGCAATACCCATATGACACGCCAGATTATCATTATCCCCCACTGATGTATAGAGCAAATGGCAGGAACACAATCGCTGTCTGTATTATGCCAGCAAACTATTACACCCATGTTGGTTGTAACACTTATTTCTTAATTATAAAGTTATGTTTCAAGTTTTGAGAATGTAAACATATTATTTTGATATTATCAAGTGAACAGAATTACAGTATCAGCAAAATGATTTTTTTTCGTGTGTGTGCAAGCAAACTTATTGAATGAGCCTCTGTGATAAAACTGAAAGACATTTCTGATGAATGTACATGTAATTCATTCATATAATACTGTGAATGAGGTGTATCCCATCTGTAAAAATAACGCATATGCATCATCAGTTCACTTGAACACACTTGCAAATTATGTTATGCATTTTTCAATGACATGTTATGGAGAACACTTAAATAATCTCAACAGCAAAGACTGGATTGAAATCGGATAGTGAAATGAATGTTGATCAGTCAAAGGGAGGTAACTCTTTCAAGCTGTTCCCTCTTCAGTAAAGAGGCTTGAAAATACAAATCAGCAATATCAAAAGCAAATGTAATTAAGGGACTGTTCATAATTTATGGCTAGGGGGATGATGATGATTTGTATGGAGAAGCATGTACAATGTGAATCACCCCCCCTGAAAAGGTATGTACAAAAAAAGTACAAGAAAAAGTGTCCAGGGACCCTGCCCCATGTCATGTACAAAATTGAACAAAATTCACTTAACAAGTTGATAAACATCTATGCAACCATGCACACCCCTATGAAAACTTTTTTAAGCATATTCTGTTTTTTTATAGAATCCCCTATAACACTATATCATCACCATTAAAATTGGAAAAAGCCATACAAAATCAAAATATGAATGGTAGAGTCCCTATAAAGCATTCCATAAAGCTAATACACCCCCTGTTGGATGGAACTAACACTGGCTGTAGAGTCCCTACAAAGGACATGTAGAAGTTCATTCAATTCTGTTGAGCAGTTTTGTGGAGAAGTGGATAGACCTCATCCCCTGTTACACTAAAAGGTTTAGCAAAAAAAATAAAAAAAACCAAAAATATGAGATGCAACCATTAGAAAATGTAAAACTCACGGTTATGGTGGAGAAGTGGAAGAATACATATCTACATGCCCCTGCCATATTTATGGCGGGGCCCATCAATGACATCCAGTACTTTCCTAACACAAAATGAAAGCCCTGTAAGTAAACAAAGAGACAGCCAGCCATCCCTTTGCTCTAACACCACAGATTTGGTTGAACTGGTGGCTAATCAATGGCTCCAATAAACTGAATTATTTTCCCCACAAACATATATCTTCATTCATCTGAAATGGCCTATCAACAAAACCGTACTGAATTACATAAGGCATCAGGAATTACTTTCCTTAAAGACCGTTTACATAGGAGTCACTGAAATGTGGTACATGTAGTTAATTGTTGAAACCTCCAACAATGTCAGAATACAGGTACAGGCTGATGGAGTCTCAAACATGTTCAACAGCTGAGTGAGTATGGATCAAAACTGTTTCAAGCCATATTTGATCAATATCATGGTGTTGAACAGAATGTAACCCTTGAGTATGGAAAATGCAATAGCCACTAGCCTACCTTAGTAACTGTGTACAATGAACCAAATTTGTCGGAAAATATTCATGGTAAGGATGAACAAAATTTTGTATTTGAATCCTGCATTTTCTTATGGAAGATTACAAGTTTTGAGATGTCAGGTGTTCAGTGGTGGTGTCATATTAAATATACACATCTGAGCATGGTGAAGGGTACTAAAATTTAAAAAAGAAAAGAAAAGAAAAAAGTTACAAAAAAAAAAAACTAAAAGAAAAGTTACAACTGACAGTCTGACGATAACCATACTACCATTACCGTATATCGCCATCTTAAAAGGAACCCAGATAAAGGGAAAAATTATCTAAGTTTTAATTTACAGGGTGTGGTTTTGTATAAATATGAGCATGTTTATTCAACAGTCTCCGATACATGCCTTTTCCAAAACTTGCTGAGAGAAGATTTCAGGTTCACCGATTAGATATCACATGTTAGGTCACAAGGGCAAATAATTTGGGTATGTCTCAAATTATGAAAATGTAATTCATTATTGGTTACAGTTAGTGTATGAAATAAGCCAGAAACCCAGCCAGACATCAGGGCTGGTAACTTAAAAATGTTACCAGCCAAAAATGGATTTAACCAGACCAGACAATCTAAAGAAAAAACCTCAATTTTTAGTTACAATGAATAATTTAATGAACCTGAGACATGTATTTACTACTTGTTTGCAGAACTCTGTGCATCGATAGGTATCGCTGTTTTAGTGAAAATACATGTCAATGGAGTGCTCTGAGCTTGCGATACAATAGTTCAATGTTCAGTTATTGTCCAGTCTAAATCTAACGCTCAATTTGAAAACTAGATTTTAAGATATGGTATATTTACTCAGATGTATGTTATCTAAATTTTTTACCAGAGCATCGGGCTGGCCAGCTGTCAATTTAGATCATCCGTTAGTAATCTAGCCCAACTCGGGCGGTCGGACGGGCCTTATTTCATACACTGTTACAGTTTGGGCTAATATCATTAGATATGTATATGCAGTGCTGATCTAATTAACTGTTATGCCAGACTGACCTGGAAAAATTTGAGATGATCCTGTTTATGCTTACTTCCGGCTCTGCAATGGTGGAGACTGTTTATCTTTCACAATATACTGACTTCACAATATACTATTCGAACCGGGCTTACCCACAGCCCCCCTTTCACAATATACTAACGCTTAGTCTCTGAATATATATAATTTTGATAGTAACAAAGCAACCCATTTAAATTGAAAATGATCTCCAGGGAGAGCAGAGAACCTGGGGAAATCTAGACTTGCTTCATTCAGGGATTTAGCATTGCAGGGAGGGGTAGGGCTAGACAGTAGGGAAAATAATGTGATTCAGGGACTGAGAGAGACTACTTTCACCATGTCAGTTGGCTGGGCAGTCGTAATCAAAGCGAAGCTCATTTAAACTTTACTTGCAGAAAATGTACTGCACAAACATTGAATCTGCGTACAATAGAAATTTATATACCCAAATGGTTTTTGTAACAGTTATCTTGGACCAAACGCAGAGTTATACCATGAAACAACACCTGTGGCTATACTCAAGCCACCTTTCGGTACCTGAAGCCAGAAAGAAATGAATCAACACACCTGCAGTATTGCTTGTGACAATGTTCAGGCTTTTTTGTTGCATTTTTTCAGCTGTGTCTAGCATTCTCAGGAAACCAGTGCTTGAATTTTGCAGTAACTGACCATTTCATTTAATATAGCCACCTTTTGACTGTTAATCTTACTGTTGTGGTTCTTCTTGCCTCTTCCTGTGACAGATCCTGTGAACTTCGTTTTGATGCTATCTATTGATTGGCTACTGATTGTCTATGTGCATTAATAAAACAATCACCTGAGGCCACTGTGTGTAGTCCTTTGCTTGGAATGTTTATCAATCTCAGAATGTCTGTCTGCTTTCATTTATACAACTGTTTTTGATGAAACTATTGTAGACATATTCTTTTAATTGGCAAATTTAATCATAAGGATTGACAATGTATTTTTGGGGGTTCATTGAGGCATGACATGAAAAGCCAGTAGGCAGACTTTTGTCAGAAACCGCTACATGGATTCATACACTTGCACATAATTTTTTCTTACTGGTAAACAAAAATGCACCCAAACTATGGACATGTTTCAACCCTCTTGCAATGTAAAGATCTTTTGTATTTTCTTTCAGTCAGTAAGATCATGTTTGTGAGAGTCACCATACTGTACATGTTGTATGCAGCATAACATACAACTGTGAACATGTACATTATTGCAATACAAGTTAACAATATCACCAATGATCTTACTGTTCTTAAACTGCAAAAACAAAAGGTAAAACGTTCCTGAAATCATCTGATTTGTTTTGGCAAAGTGTTAATTTGTGTGACGTCAAATATATGAATTCTGTGTTGTGAAATGATTTCTTGATGAATAAATTATTAAAGCTGTGTGGTTGGTGGTATTAGAGGTGATCCACCATTTGCTACCCAAGAGCTGTACCGCAACTACTACACATACAATACAAAAATAGCTGCCGTCAGGCCAGAATGAGGCACAATCAGTTATCATAATAAGTTGGTACATATAAACAACAGGGGTCAATGAGGGCCGTTGCCCTGAAATATGCACAGACAGTAAAGAACAGAGTTGTCAGTCGCGCAAGATGTGCAATGACTGTAAACAAAAATGGATAAAAAGCATTTCAGTATGGATAGTCAGCAGTGTCTTTACCATTTCCTGTAACACAAATCCTGTTAAATGGCATGACAAAATTTCTTAAGACCTCTGTTCATAAAGCAGAGTATGGGTACCGTCGGTGGGATAAGTCATGTGACTATTAACCTTCAGCACTGTTACAAACGTGGATACCAGGCACCTATTGGGTTATCCTGGTGAGTAATAATAATCAGCACTTTTGAACTTCAAACTGATTCGCGTGGATACCAGATCAATTACTATTATTATCATTATTAATACAATGTTCCTACCTGGGATGAACACAGCTGATTATCATTATTATGGCAATGTTCCTACCTGGGATGTACAGCTGCAAGCGTGGTTGTACAGCTGCAAGCCCACCATGCGGACGTGGAAAGAATGTCATGGCAGGCCATCGTACATCCATGTATCTTTCTGGTGTGCCGTACAACAGAGCTCTCTTAGCATCCAGAGTCCCACACAGGTCCTGCTTCAGCTTCTGCCATGATGCACTGCGGTCCACAGTGTACCACTCAATAGATCCGCAGCGCACCTGAAAACAAGCACATGCACTTCACTAAATGTCACCAATTTCTGGTATTGATGACTTTATTTCGTTATTTCTCTTGCATTTATTGAAGGATATCAGTCACAAATTGTGTAGTTTACACTTAAGGCTAAATAATTTACTCATTGAAAAACAATAGATTTTAGAAAATTGCTTTAACCTTGATTCCATGCCTGCAAATCACAATCATGGAAGATGGGATAACACACACATTGAAGTTACTGGCTTATATCACATTTAACATTTTCACATAACAAATCAAAATCGAACGATATTTAAATTTGTCCTTTCAATTTTTTACTGTCCAAATGTACATTTGTGGTTTAACACAGTAATGAGCAAAACATCTGTCATTAATGAAACAGTTCCAAACAACACAATACACAAAAATCATCAAAAGACACTGCACAGCATCCAAGGGCTGTCACCGGGATCTGTTAAACAGCACATGTAATGTGAGAAACATAAGCAACATGTAGTTGTGGTCTCTGCCCTACCTTAGGTATACAGTTGTAGAGGAAGGCTGGAAGTCCAGTGGGCTGACATTTAAACACTCTATCCGGCCTCAGTCTATGTGGATGAAGAGGTAGAGAGATTTCATCCAAAACTGGATTCCGTTTCGGTGACTAGAAAAACAAATATGAACCATCAACAATGGTACCTGCATGATGCCAACAATGCAGTAAAGCATCTGAAATTATTATAAACAAGTGTTTGCCACTAATATAGCAATGTCCCCCACCGCTAAAGAATGGAATATTCATAGCATATTTACTACTGTTTATTTTTGGCTCACATACAAGATGCCTGAAATCACAGGTGTCTGCATAATCACCCAATGTAGTGAGTAAGTGAGTTTAGTTTTACGTCGCACTCAGCAATATTGCAGCTATATGGCGGCGGTCTGTAAATAATCGAGTCTGGACCAGACAATCCAGTGATCAACAGCATGAGCATCGATCTGCGCAATTGGGAACTGATGACATGTGTCAACCAAGTTAGTGAGCCTGACCACCCAATCCCGTTAGTCGCCTCTTACAACAAGCATAGTCGCCTTTTGTGACAAGCATGGGTTGCTGAAGACCTATTCTACCCCGGATCTTGGCGGGTCATCCAATGTAGGCTGTAGACATAATTGAAGACACTGGGTGCAATGCTTTATGAGATATCGCGTTTACATAAGTTTGAAAAGTGGTCAAAGTGTTGTGGTGACCTTGAAAATAAGGTCAAGGTCACCAAATCGACTGGTGTCTGGGGAATCCCCCAATGTAGGCTGTCACCAAATTTGAAGACATAGGGTACAACAGTTCATGAGATATCGCGTTAACAAGACTTTGAAAAGTGGTCAAAGTGTCATGGTGACCTTGAAAATAAGGTCAATGTCACCCAAGTCAACTGGTGTTTGCGTAATCCCCCAATGTAGGCTGTCACCAAATTTGAAGACATTGGGTATAACAGTTCATGAGATATCGCGTTAACAAGAGTTTGAAAAGTGGTCAAAGTGTCATGGTGACCTTGAAAATAAGGTCAAGGTCACCTAAATAAACTGGTGTCTGTGAAATCCCCCAATGTAGGCTGTCACCAAATCTGAAGACACTGGGTACAACAGTGCATGAGATATCACGTTAACAACAGTTTGAAAAGTGGTCAGTGTCGTGGTGACCTTGAAGATAAGGTTAAGGTCACCCAAATAAACTGGTGTCTGCATAATCCCTCAATGTAGGCTGTCACCAAATTTGAAGACATTGGGTACGACAGTTCATGAGATCACGTTAACAAGAGTTTGAAAAGTGGTCAGTGTTGTGACCTTGAAAATAAGTTCAAGGTCACCCAAATCAAACTGGTGTCTGGGTTATCCCCCAATGTAGGCTGTCACCAAATTTGAAGACATTGGATACAACAGTGCATGCGATGTCATGTTAACAACAGTTCGAAATAGTTCAAAGTGTCGTGGTGACCTTGAAGATAAGGTTAAGGTCACCAAAATCGACTGGTGTCTGGGTAATCCCCCAATGTAGGCTGTCACCATATTTGAAGACATTGGGTACAACAGTTCATGAGATATCGCGTTAACAAGAAATGGGATGTACGTACGTATTCAGGTGCTGAATACATAGAATACATAGTCCCCTGTTCCGCGTTGCGACGGGGGACAAAAATGTGTGTCACACTGATATTTAATAGTCACTTATGTCTACATATTGATAAGGAAGTTCAAGGATTTTGATAGAAGTGCCCTTCTTCATGGAACTCCTAAATTATTACTTCATAACATTGGGGTTGTGATAAGGACCTTTTGACTTTCATCTTAATATCAAACAGTGTATTACCTTGGTTGGAGAATGAGGCGGACTCAGCTGGTGCCTCTTCTGGGCAGCAGCTAGACGCAGATGTCGCAGACGGATCTGTCGATGACTAGCTGTCTCGCTGATGTAGTGAAGGACATGTGTTTCATGAGATGTGATTCTAGAGGTGGTGGAGGCAAACACAAGCTGGCGGAGGTTGGGACTTGCATCCAAGTTGGTGAATGAGGTAACTTCACACGGCTGAAGGAGCAGGAGCTGGTTCGAGAGTTGCTTGCTGGAATACAAGGCACACATTCCTTACACTGTAGTTCACCAGGTATAAGTGAACTAAAGTCCTATTTTCAAAGCATATCAGAAATGTGAGGCTGGCTGTTAAGTGTGAATGTTCATGGTAATATGCTGGTTTTAGCAATTATGGTGGGGACTCTAAGAATGGAGTTCAAACTCTATACCCATGTAGAGAATAGAAACCCAAAGTTTCCAACATGGCTAAGTATATGCTTGACAAACAACTGCTTTCCGTATTAACTGGTTGTGCAATGTGGTCTGTTTAATGTTGGAGGACATCACTGCATCAAAGTGACATTATACAATGCTTCAGATACTACAATGACCAAAGAAAAGTGTCATCTCTAGATTTGTTTTTTGCTTAATACCGCACTCAGCAATATTCCAGCTTTACATCGAGTCTGGACCTGACAATCCAGTGATCAACATCATGAGCATCAATCTACACAGTTGGGATACAATGACATGTCAGCGAGCATGATTACTTGGTTCCATTAGTCACCCATTACAAACTTGGGTTGCTGAAGACCAATTCAGGCCCGGATCTTCACGGGTATCATTCAGCATGCTGCTGAGATATGGACCAAATCCCACAGGAGATGAAAATGCTACTTTATGTATATGACTGAGAGTGATGACATTTAAATTCGAGGAAAGACCTCTTTGACCTACTTCTGTGTGTTTATGAGTGAGTGAGAGAGAGCCCCAAAAAAGAAAAGAAAAAAAAAGGATGCATACATTAATCTTTCCAACTCACCTGCCATTCTTGTGGCTCCAGCTGTCATAATGGTGTATCCTGTAAGCCTCTTTCAACCACAGGAAAACAGCTAGCCACCTGTATGTAACATGTCATCAAAAGTAATAACATAGCCGATCTCAGAGTAATTTATCACTTTGAAAAGAAAGACAGAGGCTTTCACAACCACAACAGATTTTGATAACATTTACATTTGACATTTCCTTTTTTTGTTCTTGTGGTATAAAGAAAGGGGATAGAATTCTCACATTTATGAAAACTACTATTATCATTTCATTATTTTCATGCAAATTTTAAACATAAAACTTTTTTTCTGAGAGCCACAGTGAAATACGGCCATCACCCTTAAATACTTCAATATATCTTTCATAATAGGTTGTATCATGAAGGGGCTTACACTGGTTTGTTACAGATAGTGTAATACAGTGTCTGGTTCTTGAAAGAATGCATCAGGTGAAAACGTTTAAGTCTATTTCTTGTGAACAGGCATGCATTTCACAGATTTTTGTTACACAGTGAAAGTATTCTGTAGAAGGTCTTGTCAATGCCACCTACCTGACCAACAGCCCTCCCATGTAAGCTGTCAGCTCTGCTGGGGACATGTTGATGAAGCGGAGAAATGAGAAACAACTATGTACATGTGAACCTGCAAGATAAAAAAACAAACATGTTCACTGGCCACACAATGTGCTCTACAAGGGTATCAAAGAGTTCTGAGCCTATCATACATAGACTTCAAATACTGTTGTATGCTGAATCATTTTTTAACATACGGTAGTCCCCATGCAGTTCAATACTCATTTTCCATCTCTTCTCCAGATTAGTTCTGGCTTGATGACATCTACCAGGCCTCCAGTGCTTGATCCTTGTTAAAGCAGTACAACTGATTCTTTTTCAAATGAGGAATCAAGTGGAAGCTATTGTAGAAGTTTGTATCCACATTCCCTAGAAGCAGCCATTACATGACTGGTGGGAAATGGTCCTGATAGAGCTGAGCACAATGTTGAAATTTGCTGTAATGCTTCTGTTTGATAACGCTTTGATATCTTTTGAATATCTTGCCATAACTTTCTTAGTGGATCTTGTTTCAAGTTTCTTGGCTGGGGCAGATCTATAGTGTTTCCAATTCTTGTTTAATCGAGGATAATAGTGATGGATCCAGGTCTCATCACCTGTTAGCGGCCTAAAATGGAAACCTTCTGGGTTGTGATTATATCAAGCAATAGAAGCAGTCTTCATTTTGTCTGATCACAATCTAGGAACACATCGGGCTGAAACCTTTGACACATAGGTGTTCACAAGGGATTGTTACAATCGACTTTCAACAGGAGTCAGTGGTCAAGGTCCCATTGTTCAACACCTGGTGATGCACAATATCAATATTTTCTTTTGTGATGCTAGAGTGGGTTGACCATGAAGAGGACATCTTCCAAAAACACTTGCCACATTAATTCACCAAATACTTAACTGTGGCATATGCTGGGGCATCCCCAAGACAGCTCATTGACCATCTTGGAAACGTTTATGACTGCTCCATTTCAATGCTAAGTACAGGTCAATGCAAATATTTATTACCTATGGGGGCGAAAATATCAGGGTTCATATTTTTCCTACGATGCCCTAGGGCAAAATATCACTTTGTCATGGTGACGTGACATCATGAACAATGCTATGACGCCACGTTTCTTATGTGACATTGCATTCTACATTTGGTGGCTGTTTGAAAGTAGATTTAGGTTTATTTTCCTCAATTTGACGACTTCGGTAATGAATAGAATATTATATTTGTGCCCATATCATACTATGTTTATGACACCCGTGCCTAAATATAGGTATAACCCTCGCTCTCTCTGCTCAGGAAATACCGACATTTAGGCACTCGCGTCGTAAACATAGTATGACATGGGCACTCATCTAATATCCTCTATACATGACAAGTAAGCATAACAATGATGTGCCAGGCTCAAAACATTCTGATATTCCCTCAAACATGCATTTACAATTTAAAATGCTACTTCATATTAGCACAGAGAGAGTTGTTTTACAGATTTTATTGGCAAAACTGCTATGTCAATTAAACAGACAGTTGACAACTAAAGAATCAAGACTTTCATTTGAAATTGAAGGTCACATATTTTAAGAACATCATACAGGAACTAAACTTACTGGAATGAGACTGGGGAAATAGTGTATGATGAATGTGTTCTGATGAAAATATGTACATCATGTTATACAAAACTTTGGCCTTGCTTGGCTGAGCACTTTCGAGAATACCTGCAAACAAAGGAGTGGTAATTATCATCCTTGATTATTAGTCATTTTAAGAGGAAACAAGTGGTACAAAAGCAAGATTGAGATATGAGAATCATGTGATAAATATGATCAGTCGCTAATGTTAAGGATGACATTGTTCATTTAGTCCAGTTGGACAAAAGTGTGACTAGAATAAAATTCTTCAATATAGCCTAATCAAAATGCAGACAAATGCCTGGCCAAATATATGTTATCTTCATTATGTCATGGAGTCTTTGATTAACTATTTAAGGTACACATTTCCTTACCTTCACGGTAGATAAGTTTTGGCACCAAATATGGCTCAAGAGCCATGTAGAAAGGGGACTTAGGTTCTCGCCTTTCAAACAGGTCAGGATGATTACAAACCTGCAAGAAAACAAAAGCTGAAAGTGAGTGAATGAATAAAATCTAAGGAATACTCATTTTCACACCAAAATGCTATATTGCAACATTATAGCAAACAAGTAAGTGAGTGAGCGAGTTTAGTTTTATACGCACTCAGCAATATTCCAGCTATATGGTGGTGGTCTGTAAATAATCGAGTCTGGACCAGACAATCCAGGGATCAACAACATGAACATCGATATACGCAATTGGGATACGATGACATGTGTCAACCCAGTCAGCGAGACTGCCCACCCGATCCCGTTAGTCGCCTATAGCAAACATACCATCTGCACTTCAATATCAGGAAATAATGCCTTAACAATTTTAAAGACTTGGCTTGGACGTAAACTGGTTAAAGACTGTAATTATTGTTTCCAGATGTATATATACAAATTTTAGCAAGTTAGACATGACACATAAAAGGACAAAAAACAACAAACCAAACAGTACCATTTCATAAATCAGGGACCCATGATTAGGATTGAAAAGAACAAAAGACTGTACTGGACAGTCTTAAAGGGATAACAATTGTGTGATTCTCTGTTTTGTTTACTATTCAATGAATCACTCAGCAATATTGCAGCCTGATGAAGGCTTTGGAACATAGTTATTGAAATTGTCAGCAAACATCCAATTTGAAAACAATGACATGCAAAGCACCAAGACACCTTGCCTAACTACCTAGTGAGTGAGTTTAGTTTTATGCCGCTTTTAGTAATATTCCAGCAATATCACGGCAGGGGACACCAGAAATGGGCTTCACACATTGTACCCATTTGGGGAATCGAACCCGGGTCTTCGTAGTGACGAGTGAATGCTTTAACCACTAGGCTACCCCGCCGCCCCTCCTAACTACCTATCATTAAGTCACATCTTATGAAAAGCATAAGTTGCTAGGTACAAATATTAACCCATCACTTGTACACAAATGTATTGTAGAGTGAGTGAGTGAGTTTAGTTTTATGCCACAGTCAGCAATATTCCAGCTATATGGCAGTGGTCTGTAAATAATCGAGTCTGGACCAGACAATCCAGTGATCAACAGCATGAGCATCGATCTGTGCAATGGGGAACCGATGACATGTGTCAACCAAGAGCCGATCCCGTTAGTCGCCTCTGACGACAAGCATGGGTTACTGAAGATCAATATTCTAACCCGGACCTTCACGGGTACATGCATTGTAGAGCGAGACTTGGACATACAACACACAGACCTTCCTGAACTGCATGACGAGGTTCATGAGACTGCTGGTGGTAGACTGAGCCTGGGAGGTGTTGGACGTTGCACTGTTGATGAGGTCCTCGATGGAAATCTTGTTTTTAACTGCCTGGTAAAGGAACTTCTGCCGTGATGTCAGAGGGCAGTACACCAACACCTCAATCTACAACAAATATGTCACACGTGTTGCTGTTACTCTCAACTCTAAAATTAAAAATAAATCAAGTGGGAATTATCACAAGTTAGGGCTAGCTGGCTTAAAGGTTTTGGCACAGTGTACAGCTGTACATTTTAAATTAGAAACCACATGAAAGGATTCAATGTTACCTTGTCTGACAGTTCATTTTCTACATCTTTCTTGACTCTCCTCAACATAAAAGGTTTCAGGATCATGTGGAGTCTTCCAAGTTGATCTGCAATAAAGAATCAACAAATTTTGAAGTCTGTACAAAGAGCTATTAATGTAATCAATCATCTGGTGTATGGAGTAATTTGATCACAGTGAAAATTTGTTTATTCATCCAAATAGTGTCACTTTTAAATCTTGCAGTGAATGAAATGTGTTTCAAAGAAGTGCCTTTTAATTTTACGATGTAAAAATGCAAATGAAGTGTCGTAAATCTCAATACAGACGAAGGACAGAAAGCAAGTTTAATGTAACTCTTCAGATGAGCAACTGTGTGTCTGCTAACTCATTTTGCTAATACAAAGATATTCTATTAGACAATTATTACTCTATTTTCATAGAAATATGCATGTAATAACCACCATATCCACATACAGACTGGAAATGGGGCACCATACACTGGAGGCAAACCTATATATACAAGTATTTCCACTGACAATTTCAAGTAAGAATTGAAATGTTAACAGCCCTACCTGCATCAATGCCTGACTGTTTCTCTGCATGACTCTCAATGTCTTTGGAGAACCATTCATTGAACTCATCGTGCGAGTCAAACAATGTTGGCATGATGAAATGCAACAAGGCCCACAACTGAAAGAGAATGTAATAAGTCTCTCAAGTGTCAAATAGTGGCATATAAAGAAGAATGTGAGAAACTATGTGACTGTCCTGTTTCTAAAGAATATTTCTTAACCATTGTCATTAAGTACCTGCTGTTGACCACTTTTCAGCTCAAAAGTGTGTGTGCAGTGATGATACACCAAAGATTATACATCAGACAAGTGTTTGCCACTAACATGGCAATGTACCCCGCTGCTAAAGAAGAATGAAATATAACGTACGCACAGTCGAACCCGTTTACTCGGACCCGTGATATCCGGAAACCCGCCTTCAAAACGAAACTTGCCTTCAGTAATTGTAATTGTTCGCGCTAGCGGACCCCCGGTCCTCGGACCTAGCCAGCGAAGAAGTTTCAAACCATTCCCATTGAAAAATGATCCAGTTATCGGATTTAAAAGATCTGTGCACATGTGCATGTGTATGTTTTGTATTGTTTGCATGGGATTGTTGTATTCAGTTGTTAATCTCTCGGCAGGCAGCTTGATGTGAATTGAATAAGTACCCATCAAAACATGGCGGAATGGCGTGTCACTTCAGTGGTGACAGGTGTGAGAACATCTCATCAGTTTCAGAAAACACATGTTAATGAGGATTAGGATTAAAGCTGCAGAATTTGATGCAGCAGTTATCCGAAACAGCTGAAGAAATCATCAACACACTGCAGTGACCGACAGATGACCAATCAGATGGCAATGAAGAACAACAATTAGTAGTTCTTCTTATTGTTTGTTGATCTTCTACTGAATGAATTAATGGTGACAGCACAAAGGTTCAGTGAATTTATTGATTGCAAGGAAGCAGACATCTATCCCAGACATTTTAAGGAAATAATGTGCATGCATTGATATGTGATATCGAGTCAACATAAGATGTACAATGTAAAATGTATAACATGAATCGAAACCGCGGTGCTCGGAAAGAAAGTTTATTGGTATCTGATTTATAGACTTGAATTATGATTATATGCACATTTGACTTTTGACTTACTGATATACATACATTAATAAATTTTTCAATATACATTATCCGATACATTCGTTTTGCTTGTTTGATGGCAACAGTTAACTCAGAGGCTATAATTGGGTGCCTTTTATGTGCTATCGGACATGGAAAAATTTCGTTAGTGTATGAGAAAGATATTGTCAAGGTCACCCAAATCAACTGGTGTATGCATAATTCCCCAATGTAGGCTGTCACCAAATTTGAAGACATTGGGTACAACAGTTCATGAGATACCATGTTAACAAGAATCGGGACGTACATATACAGATGGATCCTGCTGAATACCCATGTTCCGCATTGTGGCAAGGGACCATAAAATCTGAGAACTGAACCCATCATCAGCAGATCCTGACTGAGGGATACACCTATGCAGACAATTAAGGCATTTTCACCACTAGTGCCTCCTAAAAATGTCCCCACACCAATTGTGCCTTCTAACAAGCATCTATAAAGATCATGTTTACCTCAGCCATACTGTTCTGAATAGGGGTCCCTGTAAGCAGCAGCCTGTTCCGACAGTTGAATCCAAGCAGAATCTTCCATCGAACACTAAACAAGAAGATATACTTTAGAATGTAATTTGACTGTTTTATGTTTTTCACTATAAGGTAAGTAAATTCTACTCTAAATACATTCAAATCAATTTCAATGAACTTGATTGTTTTTACGTGTTCTACTAATAAGGATGTAAACTGTACTCTAATAACAAAAGTCAATTTCCACAATGATTCCATGACTTCACAATGAAAAGCTTAGCATAATATTTGGCATGGGGAGACAATTTAGCCACACTGAGGTAGTTATCACACAATAATGTAACAGCCTTCTGATTTCTTTGTATAAAATTTCAGTGGCTCTGTGAAATTGTTAGCTTACACAGTGTGGAATAATGATAAGCTGAGTGTAACAGGCTAACCTTGAGCTACTTTTCAGGGCCTGAGCTTCATCTAGTATCATATATTGCCACTTGATTCTCTGAAAGTACTTGACATCCTGAATGACCAGCTGGTAGCTGGTGATCACCACATGGAATGATGCATCTTCTGTGTGAAGACTCCGCTGATCCCAGAACTTGCGTAGAATCCTTCGGTCCTGAGCATTGCCCCAATATGGGACAACCTGAAAGTTACAGAATCAGTTGAAAGTACAGCGTTGAGTGGTAATTATAGTCTGACTATCCAAACTTTGCAAAATGATGACCCAACACTTTGAGTTTACACTTCTTTAACTATAGGCTGATTGAGAAATTATGCATGGATCTAGTCATACCTACCTTGAACTTGGAGACAAATCTGGCACACTCTTGCTGCCAGTTGTGAAGTGTTGAGGCAGGAGCTATGATGAGGAAGGGCCCCCATATTGACTGAAACTATGAAACAAAATACACAAATGAATGAGAGTTTAGTATTACGGCGCTTTTAGCAACATTCCAGCAATATCACAGCTGGGGACACCAGAAATGGGCTTCACACAATGTACCCATGTGGGGAATTGAACCTGGGTCTTGGTGTGACGAGCGAACGCTTTAACCACTACGCTACCCCACTGTCTCATACACAAATGAGAGTTTCTGTACTGACAACAGACAATTCTCATTTCAACTGAGATACATTAACTGTTCTAACCTTCCAAATCCAGAACAAACATCTATTAATTTTCTGACTGTCTCTGGCCTGTTATCAAGGGAACAAAATGCTTAACTGTCTGGCATACATACACATGCCTTGCTCCCCATTCCATAAGCGGTTTATCGCTAAGGTGATCATAAATCCAATATATTTACATAGACATTTGTAATTATTATGATTGCTGTGTAAAGCCCTGCATCAGATTCCACATATCACATATTGTGGCATACACAGTGAGACAATTTGGTGTCACACTGTCAACACGCACACTGCATTCATGTACTGGAGTTCTATGAGACCAAGCATCATATAAAAGAACAGAAGACAAACATGTTTTCATTGCAGATAAGGGATCATGTATGTGCTGGTGATGTGCTTCAGTTAGGGTGGCTTTATAGATGGGGACACAAATTAGCAGGTTTACACATGGAAGTCGCCTTGTATAGGGCAAAACACAGCAAGTTTTGTCATACCTCTGCCAGATGTGCCAGGAATGCTATACTCTGAACTGTCTTTCCCAGTCCCATCTCATCAGCCAGGATGCCGTTTATACCCTGGTTGTACAAGGTTGCCAGCCAGTTCATGCCCTGAAATTCGTAACATAGTTGACTGTATATGGTTACAGGCTTTTAACCGATGAAGTAATGTGCTTCCAGTAGGCACCAATATCTAGAATGGATACAGAATGAAAATACAATACATCCTGAAGGATGCATTGTAATATTTATTGTAACAAATATGATGGTCCTGTGACTAAAGCAATCGGAAAATCTTACAAAGAATAGAAATTAGGTTTACAAGCCTGGATAGTGATAACAAATAGAAGAAATCTGATCACAGTATATGTTTGTTATCTATCAGCCCTACTGAAACCTATGACATTAGTGAACAGACTCAGAGCTAATTTCTTCCATTGCTTACAAGACACTATATCATATCATTACTTTACAGGGCCCTCATATCTCATGTAAGGACATTTGAAATAAATTATTAGGGATAGTTTGGACACTTTGTTTTGTCAGTTAAGTTAAAACCCTGCAGTAATATATAACATATGGTAAAAATGGCAACATAAACATAAACAGAATTTTCAGGTATAACAATATCAATTCACAGAAACATTTTAAAATATGTTTGGTTTTGAAATATGAAACTGGAAGGGTGAACTTCCTTGCTTCATATATTACATTAACTTTAACAATTAATTGCTTCATTTGAACACACCTTCAGTTGGTAGCCTTTCAGAGTGCCCTGAAATATGCTTGGCTGTGGCCTCTCTTCTTCACTGGCCAGGACAGGGTTGGCAAGACTAGAACCCACTGAAAGACGTTCACAAATTAGACCTTACATGCCTTTGTATGCACACTACATGTGAAGATCCTGGTCTTCAGAAACCCAACAGAATCGGGTGGTCAGGGCCCCGTTTCACAAAGCTCTCGTAAGCCTAAGATCTCGTAACTTTCCTCGTAGCATTCGTACCTCCTATACTGTAACATAGGAGGTACAACGCTACGAGAAAAGTTACGAGAACTTAGGCTTATGAGAGCTTTGTGAAACGGGGCCCAGGTTTGCTGACTTGGTTGACACACGTCATTATATCCCAATTGAGTAGATTGATGCTCAAGCTGTTGATCACTGGATTGTCTGGTCCAGATTTGATTATTTACAGACAGCCGCCATATACATGTAGCTGGAATATTGCTGAATGCGGCATTAAACAAACCAACCAGCCAATTGCATGTATACAGTAAAATCTGATAAAGTAACATTATACAAATATTTCCTTAGTCTGTGATAGTGAACTATGTTGGTTTTTAGTAGTTGTTTAGAAGAACAAAATCAAAATATGAAACACAAAGATGACTTACACAACTCATTGCCATTGGTTTTGCTCAACCTGTCATCAAATGAAGAGGTCTGAAGAACAGAAAATATGGGTTTGTCAAAACATTTGACCAACTTTTGTACCTGACTAATTATCAAGAGGATTTTTACACAGAACTGTTTTAATTTAACTTTCTGAGACATCAATATTTGAAATGCATGAACAGCTGCAATACTGCATTTATACACTCATCATGATAAACTGAACGAGTGAACATAGTTTTTAATCCATTTCAGAAAGATTCAAGCAATATCCAAATACTAACAACAGGTTTCATGTTCTGGACTAAATTTGGAGCCTCATGTTCATTTGATTGATCTCATGAAGAGCTCTGTTGGCCTTTCATCAGAGGACCTCCTGGAAATACTCTGTGGGTATGTACCTTAGATTGATGAATCTGGAATGCTTGCTCAGCATTAGTTAGAGCTATCTTCTTCATTTCTTCACTATCTGGAAAATTGTTAGAAAAAATAGCTATTCAACAAGTGAAGCATAAAGAATGTAATTTTTAGAGTAAAATTGATATTTTATACTTATCCTGACTCATGCTCTTTTTGCTTGTCTTCTTCTTCTTGCGAACATAGTGGAACACTTGTATCTCCCTAATTGAAGCTCCCTTCAATGTAAAATCACTAATTAGTACACCACGAGTTACCTCCCTTCCACAAGCGCGGGAACGAGGGCGCATCCTCCACCCATGTGCCTCACTCTCTCCTCATATACTGAGCCCAACATTTGAATTTACAGGGAAATCCAAAGTGTTATGTGGGGAGGATGGGAGGGCTTACCTCATGAGTCAGGATAAGTATAAAATATCAATTTTACTCTAAAAATTACATATTTTTCCTTATCCTGACTCATGCTCTTTTTGCTTGTAGAATCCTACGGAAAAGGAGGTGGGTATATATAATACTTTGGATTTAAATAATTAGTGATTTGAACTGTGATGATTGTAATAACCCTATGGGAACTTCATAAAGGCACTGAACTGATGAATTCCTGCTGCTAACTTATCAGCTGCCATATAAAGGTTATTACAATGTACTTATTATGATAAAGTATATATAACATTAATACAATGCTTAAGACTAATAGACTTAAGCTTGTTAATATGCTAGTATAAACTCCTTAGAGTTTGTTAGCTAAAATACTTTAAGATATAACATAGTACTAAGCTTAAGATATGATTAAACTTAAGCTAATTATATAATAGCAAAACTCTTTAGAGTTTGTTAGCTAATATACTTATATGATATAGACATAGTGCTGAGCTTAAGATATGAATAAGCTTTAACTACATATATAATAGCAAACTCTATAGAGTTTGTTAGCTAATATATTTTTACAATATGAGTATAGTAGTGTGCTTAAGATATAAGTAACTTAAGCTACATATACAATAGCCAAAAACTCTGTAGAGTTTATTAGCTAATAGACTTATAATGTAACCATAGTACTAAGCTTAAGATATGATTAGACTTAAGCTAAATGTATATAGCAAAAAACTCCTTAGAGTTTATTAACTAATATACTTTTTATGTTATAAACATAGTACTGAGCTTAAGATATGATTAAACTTAAGCTATATATATATAAAAGCAAAACTCCGTGAGAGTTTGTTAGCTAATACATTTTATAATGTAACCATACTGCTTAAGATATGATGAACTTAAGCTAATTATATAATAGCAAAAAACCCTTTAGAGTTTGTTAGCTAGAATACTTATATGATATACACCTAGTATTGAGCTTAAGATATGAAGGAAAACCTTAAGCTAATTATATAATAGCAAAAAACCCTTTAGAGTTTGTTAGCTAGAATACTTATATGATATAAACATAGTATTGAGCTTAAGATATGAAGGAAACCTTAAGCTACATATATAATAGCAAAAAACTCCGTAGAGTTTGTTAGCTAATACATGTTATAATGTAACCATAAAGCTTAAAATATGATGAAACTTAAGCCAAATATATAATAGAAAAACTCTTTTAGAGTTTGATAGCTAATATACCTATATGATATAAACATAGTACTGCGCTTAAGATATGAATAAGCTGAAGTTACATATATAATAGCAAAAACTCCGTAGAGTTTGGTAGCTAATACATGTTATAATGTAACCATAATGCTTAAGATATGATGAAACTTAAGCCAACTAGCAAAAAACTCTTTAGAGTTTGTTAGCTAATATACTTATATGATATAAACATAGTACTGAGCTTAAGATATGAATAAGCTTAAGCTACCTATATAATAGCAAAAACTCTGTAGAGTTTGTAAGCTAATATATTTTTACAATATGAGTATAGTACTATGCTTAAGATATAATTAACTTAAGCTACGTATATAATAGCCAAAAACTCTGTAGAGTTTGTTAGCTAATGCATTTATAATGTAACCATAGTACTAAAGCTTTAAGATATGATTAACTTAAGGTAAATATATAATAACAAACTCTGTAGAGTTGTTAACTTATATATTGTATGATGTAATAATCATAGTACTGTGATGATAAAAAAGAACTTAAGCAAATTATATATAGCATGTAGCTATTTAGTACTGTTATAAGATAAGTAGAAATCTGTAAGATTGACTTATCTTCTCCGAGGAACTGTCAACTGTTGTGCGAGGACCATGGGACCGAATTGGTGGATACCTGAGACGTCCTCGGCGGTGATATCTCTCAGATAATGGTTGGCAACCACCATATCGGATCTCCAGAATTAACCCCTCCATAATTTCAAATAACATTTGTGTAGATCAATTGTAGAAGTTAGTGCTCTAATATCATGAGTATTAGAAGCTCATGGAGGGTCGGATCGGGTCCATCAGTCTTGAAGGCACGCAGTATGACAGTTCTGATCCAAAAGGAGATGGTAGTACATGAGACTTCAGTCTGCGTAACTTGATGATAGAGGAAATAATCTGATGCATTTTTCCCTCCTGTTTGGTTCGGTGGAGATAAATTTACAGTGCTCTTGCTGGCCATCGTGATATAATCATTGTATCATGAAGTCCAAGTATGTCATCCAGGCGTGTTCATAAACCTCACTTGTGAGGTGTTGGAGCACTATATACAGATCCCCAAGTTGGAGCGTGAAACTTCCGTTTTAATCCTCCAATCAGAAAGCTTAAGTAGGTTTACTAACCATCTAGTTGTGTTAGTGGCTTGATGATGAAATTCAGCTGTAGTCTGAGATGCTGTGGATTTAGATCCACTTGTATCCCGTCGTCTAGGTAAATTCGCTGTGAAATCCTTGACGATGTAGGTGCACAACCAGGTGTGTCTGTCCTCGTTGAACTTTATGTAAAATCGCCTGACTGCCTTGCCCTCGTCCTAACTTGACAGGGGAGGTCTCTAACCTGAAGAAAGCAGCCCAATCATGAAGGTTCAGATTAACTGGACTGTAAGGAGGCTTGCTCGTTCACTGATATATAGTTGTCACTTGTAACGTAAGTCTTGAACTGTGAACTAAGATCGACCTCTGTGTAGGGCGTTGTCCATCGCGGTCCAATCAGAACAAGGCATTTTGATTCTGTAGAATACCCGCGCTGTGATGTCACCGGTGTAGCAGGAAAAAACCTTGTATAAAATCTTGCCGTCGTTTATATTAGCATAATCGCCGGTCTTCACCGTAGCTTCCTGAAGTTACCCGAGTGAGCACGTGTTTCGAGGGTTAATGGTAAACGCGCGAAACCTCCGGCGCGAAATACCTCGCTCTGTAATATTAATGCTGGGTAGGTTATTTTCCTGGCTGTCGTGAAAGTAACTTCAGTTTTGAATATAATTCCGACTTCCTTATATAAAGGTACAATAAACTTGCAAGTTGTCAGCTTGTACACTGTATACATGAATGTATCGTCATAATTGTAGAATAAAAAGCTGAACTTGTTGTACATATTACTTCTCAGAAACGTTGATGATTATGAGTTATACTCGTTGTAACAAGGCTGCTGTTCAATTTCGATATTGAATTGTCTGCAGATCTGCGTAATGGTCACGCATGTAGATAATCGTATCGTAGTGCGGGATAGCATATTCTAGCAATCTATACGGAAAGTTGATTTCTGTGAAGATCTATGAAACGTCGTTGACTAATTAATATCGCGACGTTTTGTGTTGTAAATAGCCTGTGCAAATGTCTTCGCGTAGGCTTATAGACGGCATATGGCATACAGTTGATAGACAACTTATGCGATGTCTTGAACGGACTGACGAGTAGCTATATATGACGAGTGGCTAGTATATGGAGACCTTGGAGGATACTTCCTCGGTGAACGCCGGAGACTTCACGAAGCTCTCGAAGTATCCCTTCTAGATCTTCTGGGTGAAGTAGACTTGGAGCCACTTAGCCAGCGACCGCCATAAAGGTATCGAGTCAGAGCCCGATCAGTATATATATATGTAATTTTTAGAGTAAAATTGATATTTTATACTTATCCTGACTCATGCTTGCTTCTTCGCGGAAGCGACCTCTGTGTTCAACAGGATGTGGGGTCGACAAAGCGCTACTCCTCCGTGGCGTCCCTTGTAACTGGTGAGGCTCTAGTTCCTTCAGCGGAGGCAGCCTGGGACTTCCTTAGCGAAGTGTCTAGAGTCCGATCAATATATGGCGTTAGCTTCATACAGGGTGTGGTTCTTGCTGGTTCTGCATAAGTAGAGCCGAGTAGATCATCCTATCATCTTCAGAAGTCGTGTTACGAAATCTGGTGATAAGAATCTCATTGATCGTTCTAGATCTATTAAGGCCAAAGAATATACGCCTCTGGCGTTGAACTTACATGGCTTAATGGTAGGCTGTGTCAACATTCTGTGGCACCGCAGCAATCGGGTCGATCGGAGGTAGGGTGACGACGTCTGCATCGTCTTCCTTCATCAGGTATGTCTGCGCTGAGTTGCCACTCTTGGATGGTGAAGATATCTAGGTTGTTTACCATCCAATATCTTATCTCAGCGTCTGAGAAGATGATGCCTCCATCATCTTCTGTACCAGCATCGGTGATGAGAGGTTGATGCTCTTCTGATGGTGACCTGTGTGCTGCTATCTCTATGTCGGGTGACGCTTGGGGAGACCTGACTATAGACTTGTGTGCCGACTTGTGTGGTGACCTGCGAGGTGATCGACGTGGTGATGTACGTGGAGATCGGCGTGGTGAACTGGCGTGGAGATCGTCTAGGTGATCTACGTCTATGGGATGACCTTGAGTCCGCATCTGAGGATGAGGCCGAGGACGGTGACGATCTCTCCCGTCTTCGCGAAGGCCTTCGCGAAGACTGTACATCTGGGTCCTTCGTCGAGGTGGTCTGTGACTTCCTTCTCGAAGGCTGCTTCGTCGTGGCTGCTACGCTGACTGGGGGTGCCTCTGGGGTGTCGTCTGCGTTGCTCAGACCCTGGGCTGGCTGCTTCTCCCGTCTGTAGTGGCCCTCCATCATGGTCATGATCTGCCGCAACAGCTCGTCTGGGATGGTCTGCGACGAAGTGGTCGGTGCCCTCTCTGCGATGACAGCTGCTGAGCCCTCAGGGACATCAGTGACATCAGTGTAGAGACATCAGGCTGCATGGCGATCTCTGCTGATGTCACTGGTCGCTTCTTGTGGTGTACGCCGGGGATGATGATCGGTTGATCATCGTAGAGGCCCAGTTCAGCGGCTGGAACAATCTCGGTTGCGAAAGTCCTAGTAGACTTCGTTGATTTCCCCTCAGAGGTCGACGCTGCCCTGGGGGTGCGAAGTCTGCGTTGAGTGTTGGTAGCGACGGGACCCTCAGGAAGATCATCGAATATCAGCGTTGGTACATCAGGCTGCATGTTGATCTGCGCTGACATCACTGTTGCCGACATCGGTCATTCTTTTGATGTACATCAGGTATGATGATAGGCTGATCATCATACAGGCCCAAATCTGCGACGGGAACAATCTCAGCTGAGAAAGTTCTAGTAGACTTCGTTGATTTCCCCTCAGAGGTCGACGCTGCCCTGGGGGTGTGAAGTCTGCGTTGAGATGCAGTAGAAGCCCTCTAGTCTTCGGCTGCGACGATGGGATGTCTGGGGAAGCAGGACGCTTCTTGGAGGCGGCGGACTACGTCCCACGCCTCTCCACCACTCTAAGCGGAACACCAGGCGGGAAGGGGTCGACCAACAGCAGTAGACTGGCGAGGGGTTCAGGTGTATCAGTCATGGCTAGACTCTGCATACGCGACCTATCTGCTGCGCGTCTCAAACATAAAGTAATTATTTATTAAAGGCAGAATTGGATAAATTAGTACCGCAACTGCCACGTGAATAAAATGAACATGGCGCAGTACAGCTAGGGCATATTAAATGCGGATCAGCAGCAGAATAAAAAACGTAATCTGCAACAGTACAGAATTTTTCAACGTAATCCACAGAACAAACATGGCGTCCCGTGAATAAACAGTAGAAACACGACTAAATATCAATATATAATTGTTGAAGGATACTAGCTAAACCTCTATAGATGTCTATATGAGGTAACTAACTAAATATAATCAAAGGATATAGTGTGTCGGGAGACACAGGCGCTCTCACGTCCAGCTCACTGGGCGAAGAAGGAGAGAGTGAGGCACATGGGTGGAGGTGGCACCCTCGTTCCCGCGCTTGTGGAAGGGAGGTAACTCGTGGTGTACTAATTAGTGATTTTACATTGAAGGGAGCTTCAATTAGGGAGATACAAGTGTTCCACTATGTTCGCAAGAAGAAGAAGACAAGCAAAAAGAGCATGAGTCAGGATAAGGAAAAATAAATGCACTTAATAGTCTTGACTTGTGCATGTATATACCATCAAAACCTCTCAAAACCAGCATAAATGTAGTCTCAGCAACAATAGATCCAACAACAACGTCGAATGTGAAATATATAAATACTTCATAGAATTATTGGCAGAAGTCAATCAGGACAAACTGACAGTCATTTTCTTAGAATCGGCTATTTCAGTAAAGCAATAAAGCCATGCAATATTTTTAGCTACACAGTTATGACCAATGCTGTACTTGCCATAGTCATCATCCAAACTTGATAGTTCACACTGTTTAATCATCATCTCACTGTCATCCAGCTGTCTCAGAATCTTTTCCTTTGCTGCTTCAGAGTCACCTATCAACTTTCGTGCCATAAAATGTGCATACAGTTCTGTTTGTGTGATCAGGAAATTTAATTTCCGCTGCTGTCGTCTTGCCTAGAAAATGAAAAAACGAACAAACTCTTAAATCATGCTGTTGCCATGGCAAGTTACATTCCCTGATTTTCATTAGAACTTTTAACAACCAGTCAAACTTAGACAAAAGGGAAATGGAACCAGTAAGGGAGATAACTCATATTATCAATAAAAACAAAGCAACTGTTCTGCTGCTTTTCTGGCCATGAAGACATCCTGTCCCACAAAAAAAAGAAAAAAAGAAGATGTTTGAGGGCTTCATTTTGCTGGCCAGTCAGTTGTTCAATATTTAATTTCTCTCAAACTTGATCATAATCAATGGAAATGTCCACCATGTTCTTGATATTGCAAACCCAAAATTGACACCCTGTTTGTAACAGGCATTCTGATTGGTATGGCTAATAAAGCAGCATAGCCAATCAAATTGGCAAATGGAAATCAAGGGCGGATAATTTTAGATAGTGAAGAACAAAGGAATGCATCTACAGGCTACATATTAGTATAATGTGGAAAGTGACGTAAGTCATTCACCACTTTGGTGAGCATATTAGGCATTGTGCTAATTAATAAAAGATCAGTTTCATCAAGCATGCTGGATTCAACACATGATCAGCAGGTCTTCTCATAAGGGACAGAATTCTCCACAGCAAAATTTGATGCCACAAAGAAATCCAATGCCACTTATCACAGCAAGATTTGTGTGGAATTCACCCTCAATCTTTTTCAAATGATTTGTGCCATAACCAAAACAATCAGGTGTGCCACTGTAGTCATCTGATTATGATATATTTTATTCAATTGAAAAACATGGTGTATTCTGCTCCAGAGCACCAAAGGCCCTCTTTAAAATCGAAATGGTTAAATACTCTACAACAGACAGAATCGACATGAAAACCAAGTATGGTTAACATGGGACCTACTCAGCTTCATAATCCATAGTGGTCAACAAAAGACTTATCCCCCCCACCATTGCAATCGACTGACAGACTGAGTTTGGTTTTATGCCGCTTTTAGCAATATTCCAGCAACATCACGGCAGGGGAAACCAGAAATGGGCTTCACACATTGTACCCATGTGGGGATTTGAACCCGGGTCTTCGGCGTGACGAGCCAACGCTTTTACCACTAGGCTACCCCACCGCCCCCACTGCAATTGAAGGGGTCCTCATTAAAAAATTCAATGCATGAGAAATGTGTTAGGATGCTCCATGTTATCCTTGTTACCTACCTCTCTCAGCTCCAGGTCCATCTTCCTCTGTTCCAGAGCCTCCTTTTCAGCCTTCCGCCTGTGCTCCTTCTCTACTTTGTCGAACCTCTTCCAATATAGCAACATCTCCCTAGTGATTCGTCGTGCACGTGATGGCGTTTCCTTCATTACCTTCTGAGACTGGATGGCTGCTCGACGACACTCCTTCATACACTGTGTTGACACCTGGAGAGACAGTTCTTCATTAACACTTGCTTTCACTCCCGAATTTCACAAAGCTGTTTCACATAGGTAGAGGATATGTTCACATGACTCAGTCACAGTAAACTATGCTTGTAGGGAACTGAACCAGGGATGAGAATGAAGTTTTGAGAAAAACTCTGAAAACTAGCCGAACTCCTGATATTTAGGCATTTTAGACCTTTAAAACTGGCTCAGAAATGACAATATCAAGCACGCAGCAACAATTAAAAAACTTTAAATCTGCTGAAGCACATTCATACAATTGTCAACGGGTTTAGACGATTCACAAAAATGACCCTTGCCCTTATGAAATTCCCGGAATTCCGTGGATCCGCGGAAAATTCTCATCCCTGACTGACTGACATAACAAACTGGGGTTTTCTGTCCTGGCCAATTGCTGTATATAATATATATTGTCAACAAACAAAGGTCATAACAAACTATTTGTGATCCCAATGAGTTCATTTACCATAGTTTCCTGTTTCTTTATCTTTTGTTATAAGGGACCGTTCATAATTTATGGCTAGGGGGTGATGATGATTTTATGGAGAAGCATGTACAATGTGACTGACCCCACCCCCAAAAAAATTTATGTACAAAGTAAGTCAACCCCACCCCTGCTTGTCAGGTACAAAATCAATGACCCTCCCTTCAGATATTTTTCACTCATAAATTTTCAAATATTTTTATGTACAAAATTGATGACACCCCCAGTGCATGTGTACAAAATTGATGACCCCCTACCACCCAGAACAAAATGGATGACAACCCCCTCCCCTAAAAATCATCATCACCCCCATAAATTATGAACGGTCCCTAAAATCGTATGGTTGAACTTGAAAACAAGCCACAAAGGAAAGTTTTTAATTAAAGCATTCTTTACCTTCTTCAACAACGTAAGCATTTCTTTCCTTGCAGATGCTTTCTGCTTTTGTGCCTGAAATGATAATTTTATAAGTAACACCATCTAAACTGTAACACAAAGAAAAACCTACATTCAAACATGGATTTCACAGAAGGAAATGATTCATTCCTGGCTAAGAAACCAGGCACATGGTTCCCAGGCAATACCTTTGGCTAAGTAACTTTATATATTACAAAATAGTCACATGGCTATGTATTATGAATTATGAAGACATAATGCCAGCCATGTTTGGATGTAGAATTCTGAGTGCAATTTTTATAGAAAGTTCCAGCTCCATTAGTAATGTAGTTTAGGTTAAATGTTGAAAATTTAAATGTTAACCATGGACACATACAGAACACACGCCACAACATAACCACTCACCGACTCAGAGCTTACAAGTGTGCTTGATTTAGAATCTACATATATGATATATATATCTATGCTTTTTTATCCAAAAAGGTGAAAATGAATATCATAAAGTGGAATATTATTAGTTTGAAAACTTGAACATGAGCCTTATACTGAGTTAGGACACTAAGATACCTTTGGAATTTCTTTCTTTGCAATAGCTATCCATATTCTCTTTCTCTTGATGTCAGCTTGTTCTGGGGTGAGTTTCTTCTGCTTGCCTGACCGTTTGGCCATCCGAGACTGATGCATTAGCATCTCCAGAACAGCAGGGTCTATCTCACCAAGACTCTGAAACATGTACATGGAAACTATAAAGCATATATTAATAATGATGAGCAATCTATTTTCAAAGTGGGTCCAATTCATGGATGACATAGGAAACACTTGGTGGCCACAAGATTTCCATAGTGTAAATAAATCCCATATAAAAATCCATTTTCTTATCAAAATGAGTAAACTGTTTTGAGTTTTGTAAACTGTCATTTTGTAAAGGGAGGCTACTACATTTAGATATCATTCCATCAATATGCCGACAAGCAGATTTTCTAGAATCTAGGATCTAGATTTTCGAAGCTCTCTTAGTGCTAAGATAGTCGTAAGTGCCATACATTAACATTAACTTGCGACTATCTTAGCGCTAAGAGAGCTTTGAAAATCTAGGCCCAGGTCTGTTTACCAGCTGCCTAATCTGAGTACATAAATGGGTGTTTCTCAACACAGGTTTACTGGATGGAATTAGAAATTTGTCACTTTCACAGAATGCCTATATTTTATATAAACCACAAAGAAAAGTTACTTGTGCTTCCTGAATTTTAAAACCCAGATGCAAGCCAGCATTATAAGTGAAACATTTTTATCAATTTTTTCATTTTGCCCATGGATATAATCTGTTGTGCTTAACAAACAAAAGATACGAGTGCAGTTACAAGTTAACCATCAATACATAATTCAAAATACTGCTCCAATAATCCACATTAAATTGGTGTTGTAAAGTGTGCTATTAATCTCACCTCCAAATCTCCATTTTCTTGATCTTTCTCCCTTTTAAGCTTCTTCAGTTTGGCTTAAAAGGTCAAAACATAAATTGTGAAATCTTGACAAAAATTATATCTACACAATAATCATTGTTATTGGACAGAGATTAACATAAAATATTAATCCTACATAAACATTAAGAGGCTATTTGACATTACTTTGTTACATAAAACTTATGGCAACATTCTTACCTTTAACTTTCTTTTCCATTTTCTTCTGTTCCCTTGATATCTTCTTCCTTGGCCCAGCAATAGCCTTGAAGTGTTCAGGGTACTTGTCATAGTTGGAAAGAAGCCCTGTGCTGTAATACTGGTACTGGTGCAGCTGAAATAGGAGTGAGTGGTTGAGTGTGGTTTTAAGCCGCCTTTTCACAATATTCTATCAATATTCCAGCAAAATTGTGGCGGGGGACACCAAAAATGGGCTTCACACATTGTACCCATGTGGGGAATCAAACTGGGGGCCTTCAGCATGACGAGCGAACGCATGAACCATTAAGCTACCCACCGCACCGCTTTCACACTACATACTAAGCAACGTGAACATCAGAATATACTATTGGATAAGCAGCAATATTCCAGCTATTTGACAGTGGAGTCTGAATGATTGAGCCTGAATAATTCAGTTACAGATATCATCCGTAACAGTTTACGTCACTGGGGTATGAAAATATACTATCAACCAAGCCAATGAGCCTAACTACCTGATCCATCTCACAACCAGCAAAGGCTCCAAAGAATTTATTCAAACCCATATGAGCCCAAAGAGCACAATATCATGACTCAATGTGTACCATGTGGTGGCATGTGGTCCTGTGCATGTTGCTCAGGTCACAAATCAGTTGAAGTTATGCAACGGTAGGTGCTGAGAGTCCTTGGATGGGTGTCCGTGTTTGGTAGCTTGACTCCTGCAAGTTTCTAGGACTTCAGTCCTGCCCACACAGAGAAGCGCACGTTATACATGTGGTCTCACCTTAGGCAAGTGAGTTTGTTGAAACATGCCTCTGCTCACCCAGCAGAAAATGGGTACCTAGTGGGATAAGTCATGTGACTATAACCTTCTAGTGCCTCACAGAAGGTTTGTTTGTAGCACTTCGAGCATGCACTTGGTGCATGGAATTTAGAGCCATAGAAGAACACATTATTATTACTATATACCATATCTGGGTGTATATGCATGCAGCTAATATCTATAACCCTAAGTTCTCTCTAATGATAATCGGTGACCTTCACCTACCATCTTAGCCAAACACACAACAAGAATGTCCCATCTTCAGTGGACATAAGACTGGTGAAGGTCAAATTAAACCACAACTTTGACTACCTCATTATCAAAGAGAGCTGCATATTTTTCCGATGGTTGAGTCAAAACATTTTAGGGCTGAGTGAACATACCCCAGTATCCTGGTAGAAATGCATCTGATGTTTCTTCTGGAACTTGTGGAATTTGAGCATGGACTGCAACTCCTCTTGTGAGATTGATCGGTCGTCATCTTCGTCAGATGAGCTGTCACTTAGCAGAATATTCTGGGGAAAAAAGCAGGAATTACAGAGAGATGTTCTCCTATTTGAAATATGTACGTTTCACTACAAATTCAAAATAGAACTGAGTTATAAATGTGAATTACACGTTTCATTCAAAAAACGTTTTCTCAGTTTTAATTGACATTCAGATTTTCTTCAATATCCTGTTATCTTCCTTCGAGATGCCATATTTTAAAGATCACCTGAAAAGCCCAGTTGACTGACACATGGTGTCTTGAAAGCTACTTTTAATTTTTTGTCCAATTTGGTAACAAAGTGTATATAGGAAACAAAAGTACAAAGGAAATATTAGACATGGAATCTGTACACAAAGCAAGAGCCTGATGGAAGGAGGTGAAATGTTTGTGAGCATTTGTCTTGTCTGGACCTGTGACCTAAGGAACATATGTAAAGTCAGTTGTTTACTAAACAAACAAGATAACATGGTCATCAATATCCCGTACCACAGTGTTCTGTTCCTATTTGGTTCCTGTTTTTTAACTCCACCATGACATTCATGTCCTGAAAACACATACCACATTTGGTTTCCCTTTCTATAACGGTTAATGAGAAAATCTGTTCCCATTTGGGGTAGTGTGCACTAAGTAAAAAAATGCATGACAAGGGCCATAACTCTGTAAAGAATCGTAACACGGTTTCCGTTTTCGAACTCCATCAAAGCATGTGTCCTGAAAATACACATCACATTTGATTTCCCTATCTGTAACGTTTTTTTGAGAAAATCTGTCTCCATTGAAGATAACGTGCACTAAGTCAAGAAACGCATGACATGGGCCATAACTCTGTAACAAATTGTAACACGGTTTCCATTTTCGAACTCCATCAAGGAAGTCATGTCCTGAAAACATAACAAATTTGATTTCCCTATCTATAACTGTTTTTGAGAAAACCCGTCCTCATTATCTCAGACGGACGGAGCTCAAACCTATATCCCCCTCCCACTTCGTGGTGGGGGATAAGAAGTACAACACTGGATGCCAGGAACTGCTATATCTCAAACAGGGATTGGGAAAGGCAGGGGCCATGGGCCATTTTGCACATTAGAATAAAAAATGGCCCATTAAAATTTTGAAGTTTACTTTTGATACAAGTGCAGTGGCCCATTCTAAATTCAGAAAATTGCTAATAATCCTGAAAATAGCCCAGTGTTAAAAATTCTCTATCCCAATCCCTGCTCAAATATCACATATGTCAATGTAAAGATATTTACAATGATAAATGGTTTCTTTTACCATATACTTTCAAATAAAAACACATTTACATTTAAATCATCCACAAACGTCAAAAATAAATTAAAAAAGATAACATGAGTGATTTACAGAGATTAGTTGAGCTTCATGTGGGCAGGATGTAGCATTGTGTGACATGCTCACATCCAACTGGCACTTTCTGTGGGTTGTCAGCAAAACATGTCAGTCAACAATGTACAAAAGGGCAAGGTAAACTTGTAATCACTGTGGTGAAAGGTAAACTTGTAATCACTGTGTGTCATGCATACTTCCCAATATACTCAGGGACCTCAGTGGTACAAATAAAGGGAACTTACTTTTAACCACTTGCGACTTTTCTTCACTCTACTAAAGTTGTAGAGTCTAGTTTTATCTGCTCTTCTTTCTGCAATAAAAGATTCCAATGCCCTCAAAATTATTAGATTATAATATTTTTTCATCTGAATTTTAAAGGCAGTAAATTTTCTTTTTTTCTCCATGTTCAGTTTAGTTAGCTGCTCCACTATATATTATAAAAATAAATTGTTGCATTTACATTTAAAAACTGACATAATAGATAAAGATTCAGTTAAAAAATAAATTATTTTAAAAAATATCTTATGAACTGTGATTTTCCATTACTTTACAAGCAATCTGTATGAAAGTTAAAATTCGAAACCTAAGTTACTTGGTCTACCGTAATTAGGCTTCAGTGATGTGTCAGTATAAATGACATGTGACTGACTATTTCTCGTATCACCGTACCATCTTTAGTGATTGTTATGCCATTGAGGATCTTGTTTCCTTCTCCATCTTTTAAACACGGCTTGAGAATATCGGTCTCTGCATCTGTGTCAGTTCCATCACTGGCAAAACAAGGAAGTGATACATATTTTAAAAAATCAGCATGAATGGACAAATCTATTTGGAAGTTTTACAGCTGACCTTTTACTGTTATAATACACCTCATCCAAAAACCTACATTATGTTTTGTACATTAAACTTAGTTTTCAGTGACATCTGCAATGTTCTTCTGATATCCTGTTTGTATAAATGGGGCAATATTGGAAATCACAAAGAATATTACAATAATGACTGATGGTCAAATCATTTAGGGTCTTTTTCACCGAGAGTCACAAAACATTTAGAAAAGAAAAGCCTTTAGCAAATACAATGTCCATCCAAAGAATTCCTGAAATCAATCTCTGAGAGCTGCTAATTTGATTGTTTAATTAGGACAATAAATTTCTCTAAGATGTCAAGCCTAATCACTTCAAAATGCCAATAATATTAAAACCTTAAAGAGTTACACATACCTTTCACCAATTGGTTCTGTTAGTAAGTTTTCAACATATGTGAGAAGTGGTGCAAGATTGAGAGAGCGCTCTAAACCCTGAACAGGTAACGGTTTTGCCAGCTGTTGTCCATAGTTATGTTCCAAGGAGGCCTCTGAGGACATTGTGCATTGTCCTGAAACCAAGCAGAGATCTAGTATTTTAACAAGTACAGACAACTCTGTATGCCTTCCCGTTTGACAATCACTAAACTGAAGTCTTTCCCTAATTTGTCATACCGACCCTGAAACCAACATATCCAAGAAAGCTCATGCAAGTCTAAAATATGTGGCAAGTCTATATTGCCACAGCTCTGCAGATGAGTTCAGTCTCTGAAAATGAAGAAAGTCTCTTGGCTCCTTTTCATTATATTTTATGTTTAAAATTTATGAACCATTTTTTCCTTTGCAAAATATGTTCATTTCAGAGACTAGATGTAAGTCTAGCCTTCCCCATAAACTTCACAAATTAGAAACTTTCTCTGTGATGAGAACTTGGTTGTCTTGTCATGGTGGTCTTAAAGCTTGCCGTCCTGCCCACTTTGTGTATGAGAAATGCATGGAGTAATCAGGGGTGGAAATAACTTTAAAATTGCTAGTGTACTCCGGAACAGTGGCACGTGTAAAATCACTAGCCCTGATAATTTTTCCACTATACCGGCCGTTTTCTTGTTGATTTTTTAAATAAATAACATAAGTAATATTGGAAATTCAACTGGACACCGGTACAGTGTGATATACAAATTTGCTTGCCCGACAGAAAAAAACACTGGACTCGGACGTCGGGCAATGGGTTATTTCCACCCCTGAGTAATGTGTTTCATAAATGGACTATTATTCTCTAAATATCAATATTTATTTTATTCATGTGAAACAGACATTTTTGTGTACGCATGTTGTTAATTCAACAATGCACTGAAGTGCAAACAAACCTAATGAACATTTCTTCAACCCATTTTTCCATTTGGTCAAAGGTAAAATCAGTTGGCATTTCTGTTTTCTATGTTAGAATCTATTTCCCATAAACTCTACATGTTAAAAAACCTATGTGCCTGAAAGTCAACCTGAATGCAGGACCATAGCACTTATTTGTTAAGTCACACTATTGTAAATCAAGGAGACAAGGATCACCTAATCATACTGATCAATACCTACAATTGCATTTGTCCACATGCTTGTCACAGATCAAATGATAGTGAAATTCATTAAAAACCATTATTTTATCCTGTATTAGAGTTAAGGTATGGCAAGTTCAGTTTCCAATATGCTCACTTGAGCATCTTCATTAAAAACATGAAAAGATTTAGAAAATATTTGTCAATGCTCATCTAATGGTAAACATGCTTTGCTGATCAAAATCAGTTTACAAACAGGATGTCAATTAAGTTTTGTGATTCTGATTGGATTATGGCTAAGCTTGTTAGTCCAGCAATAACATAACTCTGAAATTCAAGGCTAGTTCAGCAAGGGAGAAACCTGACTTTCATTGTTGGTTAACTCCAATGCATTGAGGAGATTCATTCTATCACATTACTAGACTACCTACTAATGCTTCTTAGGGAGTGAGATTAAAAAACTAAAAACATCTAAAAATTGAGAACAAATATTAAAGTAGGAGTGAGTGAGTTAAAATTCAATGTCACCTCGGCAATATTTCAGCCTTATAGTGACGAGAAAGGTTGTACATACACAATAAATACAAGTAGGTAAATAACCAGTCATCAACGGACTATAAAATAACTAGAGTATCACAAAAAGAGTTCAAACTAGTTAGCATATATCTTTACAAGTAGAAAACTACCTCGGACAATACAATGTAAAAATGGACTATTGATCGCCAACAACTGAAGGTAGATGACCATACTACCGACCATGGGGACTTACAGTACCTTTGCTACCTGCATGGACCCTAGCTGGATTTACACCATCCCTACAGCTGCTGGCGATTATAGGCAAATTTAGCCACAAATTAAAATAACAATAGTACTACGAGTAAAAATGTGGAAGACTAAATATTACTTCAAATGTTTTGGGACTTACGTATCCTCTCAGGAGGACAATAATTTTACGGTACTTCAACCTCCCTTGAGGATACTGCCACTAATAATCCAAGTTGCTAATTTAACTAACAATAATAAAATGTTAATCTATATACAAAACATATCAATCAAAATTTATCAATTAGTTCAATTTCTTTTAAAAATTAAAAAATAAATGATAATTATTATTGCTAAAAAGATCCTTAACTGTTTTTGCACTGAGTGAGTGAGTTTAGTTTTACACCGCACTCAGCAATATTCCAGCTATAAGGTGGCGGTCTGTAAATAATCGAGTCTGGACCAGACAATCCAGTGATCAACAGCTTGAGCATCGATCTGTGCAATTGGGAACCGATGACATGTGTCAACCAAGCCAGTGAGCCTGACCACCTGATTCCCGTTAGTCGCCTCTTACGACAAACATGGGTTACTGAAGGCCAATTCTAACCCGGACCTTCACAGGTAGTTTTTGCACTGAAATATTTCCCCCTTGTGATGGAAAAATCAATACAGTCAAGCAGGACAATGTAAAGTATGATGTCACATCTTAATGTTTAACTGATATCAAATCAAAGAAAACAAAGCAGGACAGGTTGTTGTCCTTTGATATTGACTAAAACACCATCAGTTCTTCATTATTTAGCATGCTTGGAAATTCCATACACTCTGTTGTAGCTTACTGCTATTTGATTTATAAAGTTTATCACTGAGGTTATGTTATACAGGTAGGGTATGACATCACCAAATCAAAACAATCAACATCAAAACATCATGAAAACATAGATCAATCAGGTAATGCTGAAGAAATGTCATATACCAGAAAAGGACTTTTTTGTTATGGTTGTTGCCAATGCAAAACCTCCCTGAAGTCAACATGTTTGATAAGTAATGCAGGGGCACATGACAATAGCCAACTTCAACTATCAAAATAAGGAAAATGAGATTGCTGTGAAGGGTTTTCAATGCATCAATGCTTTAAGGTCACCATACAACAGTTATATCAACAAAATATCAAATTACACACTGGTTAAATTGGTGAGAGGTTGTCCTGTATGACATTTCTAACATGGCTGGAAAAATTTAGTGAGTGAGTGAGTGAGTTCAGTTTTACGCCGCTTTTAACCATATTCCAGCTATATCACGGCAGGGGACACCAGAAATGGGTTTCACATATTGTACCCATGTGGGAAATCGAACCCGGGTCTTCGGCATGACGAGAAACGCTTTAACCACTAGGCTACCCCACTGCCCCGAAAAATTTAGAGGGCAATTTGAAACCACTGCAGGAATGACAAGAAATTACAGTTCCAACTGTATTCAATGTAAATTACATGGGAAATAGACTTTGTTGCTCCTTGACAAAAGCTGTTGCTTTTGAGGAGACAATAAAATGGTTTAAAGTCAGAATACTAGTGTTGTAATCTGTAACTACATTACAACCCAAATTAACCCCGACCCAATTCATTTGAGATAGACATTATCCCCCATTTTGAAGTACATATATATCTCATACTTAGACAGGGTTATACCTCCATTGGGTTAGAATAAGCATATGTATTTCTATTTTTGTATCATAATATATCTTGATACATGTCCATATGCATCATGCTGCATCAATATTGTCTCACCCTTTAAGTTTAGTGGAATGGTCAAATTGCAAAGGTCAAATTGCAAAGGTCAGATGATGGTCAAAATTAAAACAATCAATTAAAACAGGATATGGCTTTAGCCTTACTAACTAAACACACCCCAATTTCAACTTTGAAAAAGATCAGCCGAGAGTACTGAGTAATGGTCATGAATAAGGTTGAGTGAGTGAGTGAGTTTAGTTTTACGCCACTGTTAGCAATATCATGGCAGGTAACACCAGAATTGGGCTTTACACATTGTGCCCATGCCGGGAATCGGACCCTGGGAACTGGTCTTCAGTGTGACGAGTGAACGCTTTAACCCCAAAACATTGATCTGATGTAAACTGTTTTAAGAGAAATTACCTGCAACAATAACAAATATCTCTCAAGACTCGACATTTTTAAGCGTGAAATCCATTGTCAACTTGGCGATGTCTACTAACAACAATTCTCATTGGATAATTTGCTCGGCGTCAACCAATCATGTTTCGCCTTATTTCAGCGCTCAAAACTGAGTTTGAGATTTCTGTAAAATTATTTCTTAACAGTACAATTATTGCAGTGATAAAAAGCTTTAAAGCCGCTTCTCACTGGCCATGCTATCGTTCAATAAATATAACTCTTGCAAAGCTGAAATGTCATTATTATGAAAATTTTAGTGGGAAATATTCAGACATTTGTGAATTCACGAAAGACTTGTGGAAGAAAGTTAGCTTTGGAAATTGCCAAGATACGGCTTCAATTCAGATTTTATAGGAAATATGTCATATCAATATTCACATTACAAGCATAATTTTGTGTAAATAAGGACACACTAACTTTTTTTGTAACTTTCTTTTCAAATTCCACAGAAATTCTGATCATCTTAGCAGCAGTGATATAACACTAAAGCTAATGGGAAAAGAAAGCCCTGGTTTACAATATATACTTTAACCATGCCTGTCATCGACCAAAGCCGTGATGTAACTCAAAAACATGAAAGAAAAATTATGATTTCTTACTCCAATCTTTGAAAAATAACTGTATTTAGTCCCAATTCACTCGTACTATTTGTTTGTGATGCGAGCGTAACCTGAATCAAATGACATTATTATTATTAGACCACGGTCTCATTTGAGATTTCATCAAAGAATCGTTGTTTTTGTTATTCACGTTGTCGTATGTAGAGAATGTCATTTATTATTATGGCAATGGAAAGGAAGTAGGACGATGAGTATCTTTCCACGTGCTTGCGATTTCCAAGGTAATGTATTTATCAAGGTTATTTCTTATAACATCCCGATGAGTTTCGGATCAATTTCCAGTGTTTTAAATAATTGTGTATAGGCACGTAAGTAGATTAATCAACAAGTTGGCTCATGTGGCTGTCAATATGTACTTCGAATGAGATTTATTGCATATAACAACACAGCACTGCGGTCCCCGCGACCTCGTGCTTCTTATTCTTCCTTCGACTGCTCGTCAGCATTTCCTTCGTTCTCTCGCTAAAATCATCAACCTTGTTTCAAAACCGGCAAAAGCAGACGAAAACATGTCTACGAATGCGAAGGCAATGACAACAAATGATTGTTTCATACCTTCTTGGTAGTATTATGCACAAAATGTCTGCTTGCATCCGGAGCAAAGTCCCCAGAACGCCAGCTACCAATATGGCGATTTGCGAGTTGTAGTATTGGGAGCGGGCAATGGCAGGCAGCCGCAAATAAACCATGACTTTCCTCTCGCTACGCAGGGGGTCTCCCGCCATTATTCGCATTCATCTCGAACGCAAAATGTTATGTTGTGTTTGCACAACAGCAACATGTGAGACGGCTGATTTCTATCGCAAAAACCTCTAAAATTATATTTTATATTTTGGATGAAGTTGTGAAGTGTTTTGTTATCAAATTGAAAAGATATTTACAAAATACATTTCGGATAGTGTGAGAGTGTGACCTACTTTGAACATTACGGGAGTTCACGGGAATAAATAAATGCAAAGTTTCGTCGTTTAAAGTAACAAATGTATCACGTTATAGTTTTGTAATTTATATAAGATACCTATCGTGTAATAATTAAGACAAAAAGGTTTCCTATTAAAAAACTTTAAAGATAATAATACGCTTTACTATTACCCAGAATTCCATAATGCAATACAAGCTGGGCTCTGTCTTCATAGCAAAATCATAATGTAGTCCATATTTGCACAATGTAAGGAATATATACATTCTTATGATTTGGTTGTTCACCAGTTTACAGATGTGTGCTTTTCAATAGCAAGAATATTTTGTGCTTTTTTCCTACAAAATCAAACATACACGTATTAATTACTCTGTTTTGGTTTTGTTTTCAGTGATGGAGCATTGTACGACCACATTTACCCAGTTGAGGATGGCAAAAGACATAAAAAATGAAAACAAAAATCCCTGACCAAACAATTAAGATTCCACATAGAAATCACGTCAGTTGAGACCTGATGGTTCGTTCCTCAAACGACATACATAGAATTTACGTCTTTGGTTCCTCACATCGACGGACCGTGACAGATCCGTCTTAAATTGTCTTCTTTCATGACTGAAGGAAGAAGACAAAGTTTTCGATACCCTCTGCACCCGTGAAAATCCGCTTTAGAATTGGTCTTCAGCAACCAATGCTTGTCGCAAGAGGCATGCTGTTGATCACTGGATTGTCTGGTCTTGACTTGATTATTTACAGAGTGCGGCGTTAAACAACAAGTAAGCTCACACCAATTCCTCGAATTTGTGAGTGTGTGAATACAGTTTTACGTCTTTTAAGGACTATTCCAACAAAATCATGGCTTGAGAAACCATAAACAGACTTCACACATCGAGTAGTCGAACTAAGGCCTTTTTGTGAAAAGACTATTCTTGGTATGTCTGCCAAGTGTGCAATATTGCTTGACATCGGGTTTGTTATACAAATTAACTATTCCACTAGAACATACGGTTTTAAATGTATATTTTAATGTACGATAGTAGGTAATATTTCGAAGGTTTCAAAGAGAACTACTTATATTGCCCTGTACTACGTACACTGAACAGGAACTACATATCTCCAGTACTAGTAAACGTAATTTCTCTCTTTACCATCACCATCATCGTGGGAATATATATACAATCAAAATAACAACATTTCCAGAAGAAACTTTATTCTGGCAATTTTCGTTGACTGATGGCAACATGTGTCTCATTTGTTTACACCGAGAAGGCATGGTACCCTCTAAGCCTATAATGAACACCTGCTTCACACAACCCATATGTCCTTAACAGTAAAACTGTGTAACGATCATCATGTTAACATCATATCTTGTAATATAATATTAAATGTCCAGCTAATTTCTTGCTCGCATAAACTAGCATCAAAGGGTGCCATTGACAGGACTCCGGGGTGGGGGTGAGTTCTGCCAGGTTGATAGTCTCCCTTTAAACAATGAATGAGGTGTGTGATTGAGTTTAGTTTAACGCCACACTCAGCAATATTCCAGCTATATGGCGGCGGACTGTGAATAATCGAGTCTGAACCAGACAATCCAGTGATCAACAGCATGAGGATCGATCTATGTAATTGGGATACGATGACGGGTCAAGCAAGTCAGTGAGCCTGACCACCCGATCCCGTTAGTCGCTTCTTACGACAAGCATGGCTTGCTGAAGATCAATTCTAACCCGGATCTTCACCAGTCTAAGTAAACTTAGGCTCAGTCTTATGAGTATAGTAGTGTAACGAATAATACTAAGCCTAAGTTTACTTAGACTGGATCTTCACGGGTGTCTTCAACTGTCATTGGTGATCTGTAGGCTGAAGATAGCGGAAATACACTGACCACAATCCCTTTGATTTATGTTTCAGTCACTTGGAAATATTTTTAAAATAACATTCACAAGGAAAGTATGAAAAACGTGCGGTTTGAAATGTTTAGGTTCCGGTCTTATTCGTGTTCTTGAGCATTTTGTATCACCTTTTAAATAAGAAAATAATATATTAAATAATCAGTGATGAAATACTATATTTGTCTTCAAAAATGTAATCTATATTTCATTCGAGTGTCGGAACTACTATGAGTCAATCTCATAAGATCATGAAAATCATGGAATAAAATACAGAATAAACGGAGCATCTGTAATTTGTATTGTTGATGCCATGTCTTAACATGGAACATTGACCAAAGAGTACATACAGACAGGCGCCTGTGCCCACAATACACGAGGTTCGCCAATAACGACTGTAAACTACCTAACCATGTATCGACTGCGCCACTCACGAAAATGTCAACTCGATGTGTTAAACATGTTATCTGACAAGAACTGACAAATATCCTCAACTTATTCGAGTGAGTGAGTGAGTTTAGTTAACGCTGCTTTCAGTAATATGCCGACAATATCACGACACCAGAAATGGGCTTCACATATTGCACCCATGTGGGGAATCGAACCCGGCGTGACGAGCGACCGCTTTAACCACCAGGCTACCCCCATGAAATGTCCTCGTGTACTTATGAAATATCCTCGTGCGAAATAAATAGTACTTTAGATGAACTGATTCAGTGGGCGGAAATGCCCAGGCTTTTACATTACTCAAGAAAATGTACACAGACCGACGTGGTGAAGAATATTTCATTATTTTCATTGCTAAAATTAACGTTAAGAAATCTAATGGAAAATATTTAAAATAGCTGTAAATGTCAGTAAAAGTGTACATAACTTCGCAGTTGTATTTATTTTTTAAAAAGTGACAATTTAGTTTTGGGAAGGCAAAGGCATCACAAATGAATAAGACCTGAAACTCGTCTGAAATGATGCGGATTTTCAATATGGACAAACAATGTCTCAATTGCCTACGTCTGTGTTCTTTCTTATATCACGTGTATATATAATGCAAACACGCATGGTTGCATTAGTGAATGCGTATCATGTAACAAACTCTAGTATAAAGGATTGCGCAAAGCTCAGTGGGTAATCAAAACCTATTGTCACGTGACAATAGACTGGGTTTCTCACAGCGGAGAAGCCGCTTTTCTTGCGTTTGACACCATGACTAAACGCGCACAGACGGTTGCGCAAGTCAACAGTGAATACTAGTTTAGCGTGGTAGTAGCCATCTTGTTTGCAGAAAAGGACGAAGGTTTGTAAATGGATATTTTGAACAATTTTCTTCTTTTCTAACTTCATATAATCAGATTAGTTTGAAGCACAGCTGAATCATTGCAATGTTGAAAATAATTATGAATAATGTTGCCCAATATGCAATTGTTTTAGTGAGCTTTGGTCCACTTTCCCACCAAGTTGTGGCACATGTTCGTTAGGGCATGTTATGATGTTCACAGTTCTGTTTATCATGTTTATATCCTGACCAATGCATAGACGTTTTCTCTACGATTTCGACGGTTGTGCAGCGTATACATTCGAGTGATAACGTAATCACCCACGTTTTCGTCGTTATTGCAACGTATTTGGTTGGTATATATGCGTCAACGTGCAATTAATAGCAGTTCATTTTCGAGGTCGTTTGTTGGCGGTAGGTTCGTTTTAGATTTTCTCATTAGAGAGGAGAATGATCAGCCTTTGAATGGTGCAAGAGCACAGCGTAAAAAAAAGTAACAGCCACCACTCTCGCCGATCAACTATATAAGTGCCCTATAACCACAAGATGCCATTTAGCATCTGAGACGAGACAAGCAGTGTGACAAATGCAGGACACTGTCCTTTGATTTGATGCTACACAGAACTTTCCCTTGTAGCAAGGGAGCTGGATTTTGTCCCTTCATGAAGTTCATGTATACAAATACAATCATAACTGGCACTTGCATAACATGAACCATATTATCTTGAGTATAGTGTGCACTTTTCTACTATTAACGGTTAGACTTCCGCCCGTATCCCCCCTAAATTTTAACGATGAGGAAAACTTTCCTTGTGTTGCATTTTTAGAAATAGAATGTCTTTCAGTATGTCCAGATACAATTAACGAAACATGTTAAAATGTATCCTTATGAGATGAGGAATATATTTTATTCAGGTGATATAATTTGACTAGAATGAAATTTAAGGAGGGGTACGAAGTCTTTCCGTATACTGAGAGGTTCTATTTCAGGACATGAACTTGACAACGTGCAGTCTTTCTTATTGTTTCTCATATTACAGATCAAATATAAATAACAAACACTAACATTTAAACTTTATTATATGTTTAAAATTAATTGAAATGGCAAAATACCCAATTGAGTTTGAGTGAGGTGAGGGCAATTTATTTGGTTACTCAAAGGAAAATTAGGATACCCAATTAAGATGAACACAAGCGAGTACATAACTCAATGACCCAAAAAGTTATCTGTAGCTCTGTGTCACCAATCTATACTGTAGTATGAAATATCATGTGGTTATTAAACAATCGGGTAATAAAAAATGTTTAATGTATGTATGAGCTTATATTTGTAATCGATTTCATTAAATTTATTAATAAAATGTATCAGATATTATGTAGATCAGGAACTCGATGATCCTTACCCACAGATATTTGGACCCAAATATTAATAGTGGACTCCTAATGTTTGACAACCTGTAACAAAACATCTGTAGGAAAGTATGTTTATATTGTTATGTTTGTTAAATCAAGACATAAACAACTGATGCATTTTCATAGTATTACTTGGTGACCATTTCATTTGCACAATGTTATGATTGTATCCTGTTATTGCCCACATGAGTTTTGTGTTTTGTGGTAGGGTTTTCAATCAAAAACGATTATTGATGGGTTACTGAGCTCTGATTCTGGATCTGCATATTGTGATTGATAACCAGCACTAATTGTTTGAATTCTAAACTGTCAGTGAACTAATGAAATTATATGCAGTGACCTGGAAATGATGTTTGAGACTGGGATGCTGTGGTGACCAATAGCTTAAAACCAGAAAAACTGGTTACTAATTTCAGTCGCTATAAGCATGTTCTCAAATAAGATTTACTGGTAGTTTGATTCATGTTTCATGTAACACATGAGTACAATCAACAACCATAAATCTTGTAACTCCCGACTTCCAAGACCGCCTCTGTGGTTAGAGCGGAAGGTTGCTGGTTCGATCTCCGTCCCCCTCATACCAAAAGACGTTAAAATATGGTACTTGTTGGTCCCTGTCTGGCGCTCAGCTTAAGTCTGGACTAGTACAAGCAGATGCACATACACACTCATGCACATCGTCATATGAGCGAAATATTCTTAAGCACAACATTTAACCCAATTTCACCTCACTTCACCCGACCGTCTCCGTGGTGTAGTGGTTAGAGCTTCGGCCGGAGAGCGGAAGGTTGCTGGTTCGATTCTCCATCCCCCTCTTACCAAAAGACATTAAAATATGGTACTTGTTGGTCCCTGCCTGGCGCTCGGCATTTATGGGTACACCAAGGACTGGTCGGCTCAGTCAGTATAATGTGTCTGAGTGGGGTATTCATGCTTCACTGCGGCATGGTATCTCAGTGGGCCAGCACTATAAAACCAGCTTATGTCTGGGCTAGTACAAGCAGGTGCACATACACATACAAACACATGCACGTCGTCATATGAGCGAAATATTCTCAAGCATGATGTTAAACCCAATTTCACCTCACCTCACTTGTAAAGATATGTGCTAACTAGTTTTAACTCTTTTTGTGATACTCTAGTTATTTTAATATAGTCCGTCGATGACTGGTTATTTACCTACTTGTATTTATTGTGTATGTACAACCTTTCTCGTCACTATAAGGCTGAAATATTGCTGAGGTGACATTGAATTTTAACTCCCTCACTCTTACTTTAATATTGTGAATACTTATAGTGAATTTATAACAGAACTGTAATATCTAGACATTTTATAGTTTGCCAATGTGAATCATAATTCGCACACACACCCTAGTGTATGTTGTCTGTCTCATTATACTTCACGGCGAAAACAATGATTCTGTTGAATGCTACGACAAATGAATAAAAAACAAAATGCAAATATTAAAATTAAAACAGATTAAAGTTATAGGAACAATATCAGGCCATTACCTTGTTTGAGGAATGTATCCATCAATATCCACAAAACTGTTCCAAATGATGTGTCTTTTAACAGTTTAATATACCTAAAAAGTGATAAATCTTTTTCAGGTATTGGTGTATAGTCTCATTGGTCACCCAAGATAGCTCACCTGGCAACTAATTGCATAATGTCCGCCTTTCATTAAAAACAGTAATTTAGTTAGCCAATAATGGGCAATCAATCAATGTATTGCCGGTTAATCCTTTGAAAGAAGGACGTTTTTTACGCAGAGACACCGACACGCAGAGTGTATTCAGTATAGATTAGTAAATCTACATACATAAACACTACCTTTTGACAATTCCGCTGTGTAAGATAAAAGTAATTAATCAGCAGCGTGTTATCGGTTAATCCTTTGATCGATGTTTATAATGTTGAATATTTACTCCAGACACAAGAAATGCCAAATTGGAACCTTTGTCGGGTAATCTAAGTGTGTTACCACTAATTATACCTGTTATAAATTCATTAACTGACCATCAAGTGAATGATGACAAATAACATGTGTAGGTTTATACCACCTAACACGGGTTACAGCAAGGGAGTATTAATTGCTGTATTGCATGTGAAAACTTATGGGCCGACACTGTTTTGAGAATACAAACAGATTTTTACATGACATGATTAAATATCGAGGGTAAAAAAAAACACAGAAATGGGATCAATTTAGATCAGTCATTATACAAATAGGGCCTAACGACACCAATCAATTGTGACAGAAGCGCCTATGAAAACAAGTTGTAACTTTCGAAACTAGGCAAAGCAGGAGACAAAATTAAATGCCAGTAGATTGTGACAACATATAGCTTTCATTTTCCACAACAATTGTCACGATTTCAGGTTTATACAAGCCTGTAAACAAGATAATTTACCCCCTAAAATGTAGATGAATTCTGCATCGGCCCTCAAAGCTATTCCTCATATGACGTCACAGAATCGCGCCGCTCTGATTGGTTGAAATTTCGTTCGTGGGTGAGAATTGTGCACTGTTGTCAAAAAGGTCGATTTAAGTCAATTAAAGGTCGAAATGAGTAGTTTTAATGACGGGGTTTCATTTATAACGATGCCAATTAGTGATTTATGTACTTTCACCCCTAGGGTTTATGTGACCTTTAACATAATCATTATCAAATGGGAAGCATTCATTATCATTGATTTAATGCAAATTGATGGACCCCCCAATTTTAGAAATGGACTCTCAAAAAAATATGCCCTCAGTCCCCAGGACTCCCAGTTTCGAAGAGCTATGTAAAACCCTGACTAAGGGCCCAATTCACTGCATATTTGAGAAAATTTGTGAGTCAAATACGCATGTTTTTTGCATCACGGCAAACACTGGTGTTGAAATGGTGTAGTGTACTTTACAGTATTTTGGGTTTTATGCATCCTTTCTCTATATTTGTGTGTACTGGACGCACATTTGTGTGTCGCGTAAACCTTGTAACGCTGTCACTAACACACGCACATGTAACAGTAAGCACAGGTTTTGGTTGATTTAGGAGTTGAGATTGATAATACGATGTGCCGTTGAGATTGACATCCAATGACCTTGGGGAAAAATATCAGTGCCTTGAGCATGTACTACTTGCGTGGATATGTGCGCTATATAAATATCCAATAATAATAATGTAGGACAATAATGTCATCCAGTTAAAATATTGATGTATCCAGTTAAAATATTGATGTATGACATGTCAATTGCAGGCCCGCAATAAATTTGGCCACCAAATGGAAATTTTCAATTGGTGGTTGATATATATTTGATTTATCTGTTTCTTTTTCATAAAGAAATTAAAAAATAAACATCTATATTTCAATACTGTCAAAATTGTGACGTTTGTTCTGCTTTTTTTTACCTACGGCTATGAATTAGTATGATTTATGTGAAATGTTGACTAAAAGTAATACAAACTTTGAAGGGCATTTAGAAGTGGAATACGTAAGAAAAGCAAGATATATGGATGTCAACTTCTTTATTGTGAATAACACGACGTTTCGGAGCATGTAATCAGGTGATTAAGGAGCAAGCATACGCTCGGAAACGTGTTATTCGCGATAAAGAAGTTGACATCCACATATCTTGCTTTTCTTTTTTCTTAAAAATAATTCCTGACCCCATAAGTATTTTAGCATGTTCCTTATCTTCCAAGTCTCTGGTCTGTCCTTGAGTATTGTATTGACACCCACTATTGTCCGCAGTAGCAATCATAATCTACTAAATCTTAAGGTCATCACACTCTTGTGATGGAAATGAAAACTGCTGAAGGTTCCTAGTGAAATAACTTGTGCCCATGCATGAACCCTTCTGTATTTTATAACATATTTTGGGCTCTCATAGTTGTTTTTCACTGCTGAAAATGAACTCAGAAAGGTTCAATTTTCAGGAAACGCTTTGAGAATCATTATGGGTAGAAATGTTTAAAAGTATGTTTTAATTACTATAAGGTGATGGGTATGTTCTCCATCCACAATGATCCATGTTGCTGTCTTGAAGCAAGGTGAATTCAAAATGATTTCCTGAAATGACACATTCTTGATGTTTGTTCCTGTTCATTTAGTTTTTATGTTAATTCCAGGACAAAATGGGAACTAGGGTGTATGTTGGGCGTTTGTCATACCATGTTCGAGAAAAGGATTTGGAGAGATTCTTCAGAAACTATGGAAGAATGAGAGACCTCATGCTGAAGAACGGATATGGTTTTGTGGTAAGTATTCATTACTGAAGTTTTATGGAATTCTATAGAAATTGTGTTCATTATTCAGAGTATATAATATGGTCAAACCAAACTAATTTTGAAAGATATTACTGTGATTGATACACATGACTCTAAGAAACTACATAACCTGACAGCTTGTTATATGTTAGTGATAAATGTCGGAGAAAATTCACAAGATTTAAGATAAGTCGTCCGTGTATGCTTTGTTCTACTTTTCGTGGTTATAAATGGAATGACAAGTGCATTCTCACTCCGTGACAATAAGCAGGTTTGTTTTGAAATCTTCACAATCAATTTGTTGAAATATTATTAATTCAAGTGTTTTCAATATCAGGAATTTGAGGATTATCGTGATGCAGAAGATGCGGTTTATGAGCTCAATGGAAAAGAACTCTGCGGTGAAAGGTTTGTAAAGATCCTTATGTACATCAGACAGACACATTTAGAATGGTAGATGTTACAAAATGTTTATTTAGGCAACTATCTTTAAATCATAAATGTGATTAATTCAGTCAGGATTTTTTAATGCTTATTTCCAAATTGAAGAGGGGCGGTGGGGTAGCCTAGTGGTTAAAGCGTTGACTCGTCACGCCGAAGATCCAGGTTCACCCGACCACTTCACCCGACCGCCTCCGTGGTGTTGTGGTTAGAGCGTCCGCCGGGAGTGCGGAAGGACGCTGGTTCGATCTCCAGCCCCCTCATACCAAAAGACGTTAAAATATGGTACTTGTTGGTCCCTGCCTGGCGCTCAGCTTAAGTCTGGACTAGTACAAGCAGAAGCACATACACACACATGCACGTCGTCATATGAGCGAAATATTCTCAAGCACAACGTTAAACACAATTTCACTTCACTTCACCCGACCGCCTCCGTGGTGTTGTGGTTAGAGCGTCCGCCGGGAGTGCGGAAGGACGCTGGTTCGATCTCCATCCCCCTCATTCCAAAAGACATTAAAATATGGTACTGTTTGGTCCCTGCCTGGTGCTCAGCATTAATGGGTACACCAAGGACTGGTCGGCTCAGTCAGTATAATGTGTCTGAGTGGGGAAATCATGCTTCACTGTGGCATGGTATCTCAGTGGGCCAGCACTATAAAACCAGCTTAAGTCTGGGCTAGTACAAGCAGGTGCACATACACATACACACACATGCACGTCATCATATGAGCGAAATATTCTCAAGCACGACGTTAAACCCAATTTCACCTCACCTCACCCGACTTCCAAACCTACTTAGTTTAAATACAGCAATAATATGCCCCCTCAGCCAATTGAGTTTACTCAATTTTTTAATTCTAATATTTTGAGTTTATTAAACAGATACGGACTGTTCAGTCATTTACTGTCAAGGTGCAACAGGGGCCGTGGGGTAGCCTAGTGGTTAAAGCGTTGGCTCGTCATGCCGAAGATCCGGTTCGATTCCCTACATGGGCACAATGTGTGAAGCCCATTTCTGGTGTCGTGATATTGCTGGAATATTGCTAAAAGCGGCGTAAAACTAAACTCAGTCAGTCAGTCCAAATTGTAGAAATGACTGGTTTCATTTTGATGCTAATATCTGGTGTGATCTGGTGCAAAAATAAAATCAGTTGATGCTCATTAAATTTGGAATTACACAGTGGGTTGGCCTGATACAAGCAATTGGCACACCTTAAATCTGAGATTTAATCAATATGCATTGGTACCTTGATGTTTTCCTTCATTTCCAATATTTGTTGAAAGTAATATAAAACCATACTGAAAACTCTAAGCCCCAAATCATGCAAAAGTTCTTTCAATTGTGTGTTTCAGAGTAATTGTCGAACATGCTCGAGGCACAAGAGGCGGTGGCGGCGGCGGTGATGATTGGCGAGATCGCGGCTATCCATCCAGACGTCGTGGTGGTGGTGGAGGTGGAAGAGACAAGTAAGGGTTTTTCTTCACCAATACTGGTTTATTTCCCAAACTGTACATGCAAATATTCTGATTTTGAAACTTTTATTTTCAAGAAATATTGTAGTTTTCCACTATGCGAAGTAATCTAACTAATTAAATCAGGTGTTGATTCAGCTACCAAAGATCTGAGCACATATCGTTATGATATGACATTACTCCCATAAGGCTCTGGAAGACCAGTGAAGATACAGGTTAGAATTGGTCTTCAGCAACCCATGCTTGTCGTAAGAGGCTACTAATGGGATCGGGTGGTTAGGCTAGCTGGCTTGGTTGACACGTCATTGTATCCCAATTGTGTAAATTGATGCTCATCGATGTTGATCACTGTATTGTTTGGTCCAGACTAGATTATTTACAGACCACCGCCATATAACTGGAATAATGCCGAGTGCGCCATTAAACAAACCACATCATGAGGCTCTGGGTATTTTTGTTCAGATGTTTAATTATTGAAACCACAGATAGTGGGTGACTTTAAAGGAAAGATTGTTAAGAAATGTTTTTTTTATTTCAGATATGGACCGCCAACAAGGACAGAGTTCCGTCTTATCATTGAGAACCTTTCTTCAAGGGTCAGCTGGCAGGTTTGTATTTACTGAAAGCCATGTAAAGTTTTCACTTTTCCTGTCTCAATTTCATCTGTGGAAACCTTTTCACTAGGTGTCAAAAGAGTGGTGATGTTATGAATTATGTAAGAAGTAAAGTTTCTTTTTGTTTCTACGAAATTAAAGCTGAAGAATAAGTTGATATATGATACTCTAAGATACTGTCTTGGTCACAAGGTTTAGTTTGAATTGACTCTCTTGATCAAAGATCAGACGAGTTACTTGGAGCCTGCACTGTCTGTTCTAATTCCATATGTATGTGGTAGATTTTTTTCTTATTGAATCTCTTTATCATAATTTTGTTTAAAATATTTAGACTGTTTGTGAACTGTTAATCATGGTAATGGAATAAATATCCACAATTAACTTTAACACTTTAGAAACTATGTTTTCAGACCAGTTGAGCACAACCTCTTCATTGAAACGGTTCCTGTCTGGTTCTTTTTACTTATTTGTGTCCTTGACTCGTATGTATGGTTAGGTGAAGCAAATCAGATAAAACGATCCTAATAGTAATTGTTTATAAGCGCACAGATAGCATCTGCGTAGTATATGAGTAGAAAACAGTCTTTGGCAAATTCTTCATTTTAAATTCTTATCTTCCTTCCCTCAAAGATGACCGCTCAGATGACAAGAGGCTAGACGGGGCAAAAGTCATTCTTAGAGGTCATGGTCACACATACCCGAGGGTCCTTAGGTGTGATGACGGGCACCTAGTGTTGAACGTGCTTGGTTCGCGCATCGGAGTCAGACGAGGGACTCTCAGGGCTGACAGAAAGATGACCCTGCAACACCCTTGACCAGGTGTATACCTGTCAAGAGATGAAAAATCACTTTTCCAAAAGGGGAAAAATTTGGAAACCTTCAGACGTCCTGAAGTCAAAAGTTGTAAAAGGGAAATTGACCGTTTTGTGATGAGACGTCATGGTGACTCCTGTAGATGAATTGGCCGTAAATGTAGAGTCTGCCCTCCTCAGATGTAATGTCGATAGAAAAACAAAACCTAGACGTGTCCCCTGCTTCCTCGATGTTGTCGTCATGGCCAGTTGACTGACCTGTGATGTGTGGTGTCCATTTGACCTCTGAGGTTGAGTGCCAGTCTCATAGGGTTCCATTCCAGCTTTGACTATTGCTTTCGGGCAGCAGGTAACAAACAAAGAGTTTTCTCTTTCAAAACAAATGTCTGAATCTTTCTTGTCTTGTTTCATTGTGCTGGGTGTGTCTTCATTTCAGATGTATGTTAACCAAAATAATGTCCCTAAGGGGATAATAAATGGGCTTGTTTTACATGATATTTTATTGAAATAAGCAACAAGATATATAGCTGCAGGTCCAATATCGGTGTTTTGAGTTTAGCTTATGATATTACAAAAAATGCTGCATCTGTTCGAGTCTGTCTGAAACCATACAGCAATGTAAATGTAAATACAAACACCGTAGACCATTCTCAGGGCTTAGGAATGGTTGTGGTAATGAAAATTTAGCTTGAAGCCTTTTCTCCTCCCCAGAAGTTATAAATGAAGAAATGTGCAACACAATAGGATGTTTTTCTTGCTAAAGATATTTTTCTTTACCGTTAAGAGATCTTGTGATTGTGATACTTAATGCACTTTAATTCACGTAACTATGAAAATGCATGCACATTGTATATTCTCCGTACCCTATACTTGTCTTAAGAGGCGAGGATCTGATCTCTTTGTCTGATAAGCTGTTGAGTATGAAGTTTGGTTGGTTCATCGTCGACCTGCCAGAGTCTGGACCATTTACATACCATTGACATGTTTCTCACTGTCAACTACAAATTTAGTCTGTCCTACTGCCTGTGGGAATGACAATGGCATAACAAGCCATTTGTTCAAGTGCTCATTGCCAGCATATCTGGGTGTGTAGTTGTGTATCTAAATGTGTAACTGGGTCAGCTTAGTTCGTGTTGTGACCCATGTTTCTCTCTGTTGCAAAGGACCTAAAGGACTACATGCGTCAGGCTGGAGAGGTCACCTATGCAGATGCACACAAGAAGCATAAAAATGAAGGGTACGTGAATAGCACTTTGAATTAATAACATGATTTTACAATTGTCTTAGGTTTCATTATCTTATTTACTAAAAGGGACCAACAGAATATTCCTGGCAAGTATAGGCCACTGTACACCTTTTCGAGACACATGTGTTTATTATGTTTAATGCTTGCATTTTCACATCTGTTATATAGTGGTATGTATTATTATCCCCCGCAATGCGTTTTGCAGGGGGTATTAAAATGGACTCTGTCCGTGCATCCGTCCGTCCGTGCACATTTGTCTTTTCCGGAACAGAACTCTAAAACCGTTCAATATTTCTTCACCAAACTTGGCACATAGATAGATCTGGTGGTTTACTGGTGCCTTTTGGTAGTTTTGGAATTCTGAATAAAATATTTTTGGCGTTTCCGTGGCAACAAGTTTTGACTTAGCCTGAAATTGGTGGTAGTACACTTTTCCGGAGCTGAACTCTAAAACCGTTCACTATTTCTTCACCAAACTTGACACATAGATTGGTCTGGTGGTGTACTGGTGCCTTTTGGTAGTTTTGGAATTCTGAATAAAATATTTTTGGCTTTTCCGTGGCATCAAGTTTGACTTAGCCTGAAATTGGTGGTAGTGCTCTTTTCCGGAGCTGAACTCTAAAACCGTTCACTATTTCTTCACCAAACTTGACACATAGATTGGTCTGGTGGTGTACTGGTTCCTTTTTGGTAGTTTTCGAATTCTGAATAAAATATTTTTGGTGTTTCCATGGCAACAAGTTTGATGACTAAAACAGAAATTAGTGGTAGTGCACTTTTCCGGAGCAGAACTCTAAAACCGTTCAATGTTTCTTCACCAAACTTGGCACATAGATAGATCTGGTGGTGTACTGGTGCCTTTTGGTAGTTTTGGATTTCTGAATAAAATATTTTTGGCATTTCCATGGCAACAGGTTTGACATAGACTGAAATTGGTGATAGTGCTCCTTTCTGGAGCAGAACTTTAAAAACCTTTCAATACTCTCCTTCCACTTTTCTATATACACACCTAAATATTTGACATAATCATAACTCGTAGACATAATCATGAAGAGTATTTTGCCATTGCGGGGGATATTGATGACTTTGTCTTCTTGTTTGTATTATTTGATTGTCATTACCTGATTTTCATGGTTTGTTTCTTTGTAGCATTGTGGAGTTTGCTACCCACTCAGATATGAAAGCAGCAATTGACAAATTGGACAACACAGAAATCAATGGAAGAAGGATCCATATTGTTGAAGATAGACCCAAAAGAAGAAGGTAATTGTGAAATCTAAATATTGAAATATTGATCATCGCATTAATACACTATATTTTATGACCCCCATTTTAATAGTGAGATGGAATAGTTGTTCTTGTTGAAAGAGCCAACTAAAACAAGAGTCCATTGATCAGCGTGGAACTGGCTGATTATGTAGTTACAAAAGACTAAGGCTTGTTGCTCATACAAACAGTTTCTTGTATGTTTGACACCTCCCCCTTATTTCTTGTGAGCGCCTCCGTGGTGTAGTGGTTAGAGCGTCCGCCCGGAGAGCGGAAGGTCGCTGGTTCGATCCCCGCCCCCCCCATACCAAAAGACTATTGGGAGCAGAAACCAACTCTGTCAGCAAAATATTTTACAAGACAATGAAAGACAAATGGAAAAAAAATTCCACGTTGGATGAAGCCTCCAGCAAATTTTGCATTTTTGTAGTAAGCAAACAGTATGATATTCTCATAATATAATTCACTTTTTTGTGAGATCCAAACTTAAGTTATTTACAGGCCACTGCTTATGACTGGATTATTAACATGATCTTTCTTTTGCTGCAGATCCTACTCCAGAAGCCGTAGCAGGAGTCGCAGCCGTTCACGTTCTCGCCGAGGCCGATCAAGGAGCAGGTCGAGGAGCAGGAGCCGTAGTCGCAGCAGGAGCCGAAGTAGGAGTCCCCGTAGCAACAGGAGCAGGTCAGCCACTCCAGCTAAGAGATCAAGATCACGCTCATATTCTCGTTCTAAATCCAGAACACCAGATAAAGATGGATCTCCAAGCCGAGATGAAACAAGGCAGCAGTCAGATAATGAAGATTAGATATCTCACATGAGAGATCACATATAAAGGATGGTATCAAATCTCAACACTCATATGTTTAGAATTTATTCATGATATTGAGCATCTTGAAAGAAAGTGTGAACAACTTAATGTCTTGTTTAAAATTTTCTAAATAATCATATATTATCTACAGGTCATTTTCAGACCTGACATCATCCATTTGTTGCATTTCATCATACTCAACTTGTGCTCATCAGTCCTTGGTTAGGATTGTCTCCCCTTGTAACATTGATCATGTTTTTTTAATTGTTCATGCTTAAAGATTAGATTCCTTTTAAAGGAGTTAATGTGTTTTTGAGGCATATACTTCATCATTCAAGAATATTATATCTTGAGATGGAAAATGTCTTTGTGGAGATTCATACCATGTTCATTGTGCCTGTTTACGCAATCAGAAAATATATGTAGTTTTTTAGCCTTCACTGATCTAATAAAACATCATGGTAATCCATAATATCTTCTGTTATTAGTAACATGTGATCTGTATCATACAAATGGCAGCAGAACAGTTCAAAGCCAAATGAGCTTATGTGATGCTCTGTGTGCCCAATGTCTGGCAATCCTACCTGCATAAGTAAAGTCAGTCAGTCAGTCAGTGAGACCAATGAAGTTTGAAAGTTCATGTACTTGTTCCAATAATAATGCTACCCAAACCTTTTACTATCTGTGATCACAAGGTTAGAGTTGAAGGTTGATGGTTTCATTTCGTTGAATTATACCACAAATGTTGAGGGATGGTACTTTTACCCTGCATGCACCCAGCTTTATGGGGTTTGGTTGTTGTTTAATGGCGCACTCAGCAATATTCTAGCTATTGTAAATAATCGAGTCTGGACCAACAATCCAGTTATAACAGCATGAACATTGATCTACACAACTGGGATACTATGACATGTCAGCGAGTTTGGCCACCCGATCCCGTCAGTTGCCTCTTGCAGCATTATGGGGACAATAACCAGTGAATCTGAAAGAGACTTGTTTCCTGCAATAAAATCTGAATTCAGAGGTTTGGATCTGAAAACAATATGGGAGTTATGTTATTATTTTAGGTAGCAATGTCAAATTGTGTGCATCTGTTGCCAGAGTGAATGTTTAATAAACAATATTTTCCTCAGGTGCCAGACATTGTCAACGGACATATGGCCAATTGTCAGTCAAAATGAGCATATCTGACTGAAATAAAGTGGCCCCCCCCAAAAAAAACCCAAAAAAAACCCCACGAAGATAAATTCATTGTCCAAAAAAAGCTATCTCAATTACCATATATGCTCCCATTAAGTTTGTGGATGCTTACCAAGGGAAGATTTATCCTCTCCTCAGTAAGAACATTGCCAAGGATCTGTCACCTTGACATGGCTTCAAGGGGAGGGGGTGGCAGTGCCATGTGCTCAATAAAGGTTTAAGTCCCGTGACTGGCCTGGCCACTCCAGGCAGACAAAGGTTTCCTGCTCTGAGCAAGTATCGACAATCCTGGTACACTGAGGTCATGTGTGATTGTCTGATGTTTTGTGCGATTTCACCAGCATACAGTGACCCATGCATCCAGAATGTCGACCACGTAGGGTGTGGGACATACAGATCGGTTTATTACAGTTCTTCTGATCCCACCGGAAATCATGATGGAGCCACCTTTGGGAATCAAGAAATCTTTTTCCTTTGTCACACTCAACCATAACAGTCTGTGAAATCTAAACAGTATCTGTATTCATCAGTGAACGGTACTGGAGCCTAGTCCTGGGCCCCGTTTCACAAAGCAATTGTAACGCTATGACTATCGTAAGTCAATGTGAAAGTATGGGAGTTACGATCACTTTCGTGCTATGATCGCTTGGTGAAATGGGGCCCTCGTCTGTTTTATTAATGTCTCGACCCATTCCAAACATGCCTGTCTGTGATGTCTGGTCAGTGAAATGCAACTCCAAGCCCTTCCTAATCAGAGATTCCATGCCCTGCTGATCACACTTCAGCAGACACCACATACATTTGCAATGTGACATGGAGTTAACCCAGTTTCCAGCATTTCTATTGATCTGCCAAATATTCAGTTGCTAAGTTTACCTGGACATTTGTTTACTGTTGTCATTCAAACCAGACATGAGGAAAGGTGTGATGGTAGGTAGTGGTTGTTGAAGGTAATATATCATGATAAAATCAGCTCGATCCACTTGGTTATTGAGGATGAAGAATCCAATGCCTTTTGGACAAATGTGTTACACTGATGAGGATTCGATACCTAGTTTGTGACTTGGCTCATGGAGTGAATGTTGTCTTAACCAGTGTCAGGAGCATTTGTTTCATATTGATCACTGGATTGTCTGGTCCAGATTCTATTATTTACAGACCCCCACCATAAAGCTGTAATATTGCTGAGTGCATCGTTAAACAACAAACCAACTAACAGCCCATCATATTGATGAGCAAAATAAAGACAACACTACACCAATGTACAGCAAACAGATCATGTAGATATAAAAATAGAAATAGAACTTCTACCAATATTGTTCACAAAAAACACTGCATTCTTCTGTCTGTAAAATTTATTCACATCTGTACAAAACTATACAATTACCAAGGAACAGTATAAACATCTATTAGCTGAGTTAAGCACCCATGAAGTGTTGAAGTGCGTGATGTCCATCAGTATCCATATTTGGCATTCAGATGAGTTTTGCCATCCCCACTCTGGCCTACAACACAATGTATAATGTATCAGTACATACTGTCACAAAGTGTAAGGCTCTCATCAATAGTCACGTACATACCACTGGTTGTGCAAGTTTAATGTGACCTTCAAGACATATGTGGAGCATTTTATGTTTGTAAACTTATTCATCAAGTCTAATAGAAGGGTGAGTGCCTAAACACAGTTACCCATGAAAACATTGTAAAATGTGCAGCGAAATCAACTGAAGATGTGAAGCTATCAAAACACACTGATTCTTAGAAGTCATCTTACAAGTGTCTTACAAATTCAGCATTCTTCATAGCAGGGTAATAACCTCAAACTCTATTGGTTGGTGTAATGAGATTTTCATATACTTAATGTGACATTAAGCACATTTGAAGGGGCAGAGAAGTATTGAAATCTTAATTTTCTTTCACCAACACTTATGGAAATCAAACACTAATATTTCAAACAAACTGAATCTGTCACACATATTAAACTGACAACATGAGATAATCAAGTTTTTATGTCTCTTTTACCAGTGACAAGAAACAATACCTTGGGGCGGCATCCATACAGCATAATCAGGATCTGTGTCATCATAACCACCTGTCTGCTTACTGCCACTAGTCTTTGGCTTCTTGCTCTTCACCTGAATAACAACCAGACTCGGGGTCAGACAAAATGGCCGACATTGTCAGCCATGTTAACGTGGTGGGGTAGCCTGATAGTTAAAGGCACAATGTCACACATTTTCAACCATATTTGGCCTATATTATACATATTGGGGCATATGCACTCACTTTAGCTTTCTATTGATACAATAAAAGACTTATTATCGCTTACAACTTGCCTGAAATTGATAATTGAAACTTCGAGGCGAAGAGCTTCCAAACTGAGAACACTTGCCAAATATGGAATGTAAACAATTGTTCTGTACATCGAAAACTGTCGCACGCGTGTGTTGTCAGTGTTTGCCAAACTGGTTGGAATCACAAGTAGTGGGTAGGATATTTGTAAAGAGTGATCCACGGGACATAAGTCTATGGGGTTCGCTTGAAATAATGTCCGGCCGGTAGAGGGTGCAAGAGTCTATTTACTGCAACTTTGCTTTAATTCATTCAAACTTTTTAATTCAACATTGTAATCTAAATACATAATTTTGGGGGGAATCAACTTCCCTGAGGGCTGACAATTGATAGAAATGCATCATTTATTTTTAGAGAGGTGGGGTGTGATATAGAGCCTTTAAAGTGTCTACTCGTTACGCTGAAGACCTGGGCTCGATTTTCCACATAGATACAATGTGTGAAGTCCATTTCTGGTGTCCCCCATCATGGAATATTGCTAAAAGTGGCATAAAACCATTCTTACTCACTCACTCATGTCAAAATGTGAGTACCTTTTAGAAAAACTTTCGCTAGGATCCACCATGCAAAGTGGTGAAAGTGGAAAATGTCACTGACTGAGTTTGTTTCACACTGCTTTGAACAAAAGTTCCCTTAAATCACTTGTGTCAACTGAGAGGAAACCTTGCAGTGACCACTTTGGTGAAAGCCATGAACACAGGTATTATTTTGACAAACCTAAAAACATAATCAGGGTGAACCAGGATTAGAACGTATGATCAAAGGTTTCCCAAGAGATGCCACACTACAAAATTCTACATATTGCCTTAGATTAATGGGCCACCTGTGCTCTTGTAAAAGTTAAGATGGACAGACGAGGATGGACAACAGCCCTTCACATACACAGACCTCACACAGGATAAGTTGAGCACCGACCTGACAACTGACCTGTATTAGCATGTATGAGTGCAGCCCAGTGGCACTTGCCATTGTGAGCGAAGGGGCTCCAGGTTGTCCGTGATCAAATGGAGTGCTACACCTACCATGTGAGAGTCTTATGAACAAGGCGTGTGCAGCTACGCACGGAATCAATTTCATCGTCATGCACTGCACTTGCACTAGCCTATATCTACTCTACCTTTCACAAACCAAATGGGTTTGCTCATTGCCATGCACTGCATACTTCCTCGTAAACACGTTCTCGCGCCAGTCCAACTTATCCTTGTTTGCCAGTAGTAACAAGATAACAATCCTTCACATATTTAGACCTCAACACTTAGTAACAAGAATGTCATGTCATTTACCACTTCTACAGCAAATGTTAGCTGTTGGGGTTAACATGACAAAAGTCTTAATGAGAGCTGCATTCCAACAAAATATGATGGCAGCTGACTCTGTGATGCTTGAATCATAGGGATAAAAGAACCCACCTTGACATCATCCAAAGAAGATCGTTTCTTGGCTTTTGTATCAACATTCTTTTGACTTAGTTCTGAAATATATGATTGAAAGATCAATAAAGAAAAAAAAAAACAAGCATTGTCACTAAGGTGACATAATCCCCCAACGCAAATTATCAAATCAAAATTATAAAGTAATGAAAGTTTAAGATGAAGTTAAATGTCAACAAAAACATGATGACTCAGTCAACCTGCTCTTGATATCTTGCTTGCAAGACTGACTTTTTAGTTGTTCAAACATGCAAACATATACTTTTGCTTAAAGAAGTCTCTGTGAACTGTTCTTAAAAATTAAGCTGAAGGTCACCAAAATCGACTGGGCCCTGCGCCTTCCCTAGATAAAGCTTGGTTTTACAATGTAAATATGAAGAAAATCCAGTGAACGGTTCTTGAGATAGCTTAACATGCAGGTAAAACGTTAAAGTCCCCTTGTGACCTTGAAATGAAGGTAAAGGTCACCAAACCTGAGTTGGACCTTTCTTATACTGTGATGAACATAGGTACCAAATATGAAAACAATCTAGAGAAAGGTTCTTAAGATATTCCAATTTGTACGTACGGACGGACGTAGCCTAATACTATATCCCTTGCTTCGTGCTAAACGTGCGGTGGGGGATAACAAGTATCATCAACCACCTTAATACAAATTTATATTAACTACAAATAACAATAAAAAAATAGCTGTTACAGATGCATACACTTATACAAAAACATACAGTGCTAACGGAAAATAATTTTTCATTAGCCCCCTCATGGAATCCACTGTCCGCGACACATTACCATACCGGTAATTAGGCTGATAAAACATACAATTATATCTACAAAAACAAATCTTTGAAATGATAAATTCTTTCCATGTAGCAAATCTAGGCTGTACAGAAGTTTATATAAAACTTGAAACTTTCTGTACAGATAATCATAATTCCTGTATTTTCATGAGAAACTGCACATTCTTTCCTTTGTTAGAAAGTGCAACATCAGTATGTAATGCTAATCAGAGTAGTTGTTTGGCAATGTTATTGTAAATAAATAAGTAAACAAAGGCATATCGTGTATCATGTGTGTATGACACATGTAAATTATCATTTAACTTGAACTGTGAGACACTTGCATGACACATTATTGACTCCTGTTACACCAATGACCTTCACCACATGACACTTACCCTCTGTACTGTCAGGAACTCCGGAGCCAGCAGGACTCGGAGAGGCCTTGCCATGTGCTTTGACACTGCTAGAACTCACACTCTCAGCTGATTGGCTGGGAGCTGAAGGGGGCGGAGGCATGGCAGGACCTTTAACAGTGCTTGATGACACGCTTTCCATTGAGACGGAAGGAGGCACCTTAGCGGGGGCTTTAACCTTGCCTGATGTACTGTCTGGCTCTTCAGACTGCAGTCTCTCACCACCCACCATGGAGGTGTTCCTATTACAGTCTGTAGATGTAACACTTTCTTCCTCCTCCTCTTCTTCTTCTTCCTCATCAGCTCCTTTTGATATTGTAGTTCTTGTTTGTGTTGGCTACAAATTGGTACAGGTAACCAATATGAAATGGATTTTGTACACATAAAAATAAACTCTGTTTATGCAGTAGTTCTTATGTAAAGATGATCAGTCACTCATGTACTGACTGACTGAGTTTGGTTTTACGCCGCAATATTCCAGCAACATCACGACAGGGGACACCAAAAATGGGCTTCACACATTGTACCCATGTGGGGATTCGAACCCGGGTCTTCGGCGTGACGAGTCAACGCTTTAACCACTAGGCTACCCCACCGCCCCAGTCACTCATGTAGGTACAGAAAGCCTGTTCATAGCTTTACCAGTTCTGTTCAGGATACTATGACCTAACATTTAAAAAATGAAAATATCATGGTATGACTAACATCTGTTAACGTTGTCCTATGAAAAGTCTGAAAGATAAACTGACCTTTACATTCAAATGTAATAATTATTGTTAATTGACAGGAACATAGTTTTAACGGAGCATTCTGAAGATGCAATGCAGAAGTTTGGAGTATCTTCACATTCTTCTAGACAGAGAATGTGAAATAGATATTTGGATAGTCTGTATATTTCCTGGGAATATAAAAAAAAATACTCCCCTGATGTGAAAATTTCAGTGAAATGGTTACTATTGCCTTTAACATTTTACAAGAATAGTTCGTTTTGGATATGGCAAATGTCTTAATACTTCTGCTATAAGCTCTAACATAAGTCACTGAAAAAATAGCTATATGGGAAGGTATTTTTGGACTTGACAACAAAGGCCTAAAGTATACATATGACATCATCTTTTGTCATAAGTATACTTTAAACTGTTGTTGTACCAACAGTTAAGTGTTCAGTGAAATCCTCTTCGTCAAAAGGATTCTACTGGGAACCATACTGAAGTGTTAACATTGTTTCCCTTCATGTGAACGACCTTCACATGATACAGAATCCTTCCAATGGGCCAATGGGGTAGCCTAGTGGTTAAAGTGTTGGGTTGTCGCGCTAAAGACCCGGGTTCGATTCCCCACAAGGGTACAATGTGTGAAGCTCATTTCTGGCGTCCCCTGCCGTGATAATGCTGGAATATTGCTAAAAGCGGCAAAAATCTGAACTCACTCACTCGGACCAGGTTACATATTTATGCAACTACTATCAAGGTGAGAGCATCGTTATGAAATCTCCATCAGTGACGCTGGGCATACACACCACTGGTAAGTGTTTCCTGGGTCCCACATGGATCTTCCCGACTGAAGGAATGGCAGCTTTCACCACAGGCTTCGGTGGAGGGGGGACAAATCTGGAACCACAGAAACTACACATCAACAGAATTACCAAATATATTTGAGAGTAGCTGAGACCAAGGATATCTCATCCCATCTGCCTACAACTAACTGATAAAACAACAGAGCACCCCAGCCATCATTACTAATTAATCTTATCAGCTATGTATGTTTCTTCTGCCTCATGAACAGTTGGCTTCCTGCAGTTGTTACTGTTTTGATTACCAAATGATCCCAATACATCTGTGCTGTAGTACTTCACTCTTGCTTGACAACGGTGTAAGAATCTATACGAAACATTGCATCATGATATAATAAGGAGGTGACATGCATAAAATATCCTACCTTTCTTATTACATCATAGAATACACCAGAGAAATTATCAACATCAGCAGTGAATGGTATGAACAGCATCAATACCATCAGAATACAATTGCACACATTTAGCAGTTTGTGCAATTAAACAAGACTATATAATACAGCTAATTACATACATTGGTGAACGTGAGCAGGAAGGGGGTCATTGGGAAATAACAAACACAGATTAGCAGTACTTACTTCTTGAGTTCTGGGAGTGAAGCAGGTTTAGCTAGATTGACAAGTCTACGTAGTTTCTGTTCTTCCTGCTTCAACTCAATCAGCTGACGTTTGAGCTTCATCTTTGTCTTAGTATCCATGACACCAGACTTGATTGCACTCATGTAGGCATCCAGAGCATCAACTTCCTCATTATCGAAGGCAGCAGCATCTGAGATACGAAATGTTTTAAAGTATATTTCATCATTACAAGCAGGATAGATAAATGAGTGAGTGAGTTTTAGTTTTACGCCGCACTCAGCAATATTCCAGTTATATGGTGGCGGTCTGTAAATAATCGAGTCTGGACCAGACAATCCAGTGATCAACAGCATGAGCATCGATCTGCGCAATTGGGAACCGATGACATGTGTCAACCAGGTCAGCGAGTCTGACCACCCGATCCCGTTAGTCGCCTTTCACGACAAGCATGGGTTACTGAAGGCACATTCTAACCCGGACCTTCACGGGTCGGATAGATAAGTGGTTTCATACACTCTCAATTAAAAGTAAGTGAGTGAGTTTCTCAATTAAAAGTAAAAGCTGAAGCCCATGACTCTACCAGTGAATGTTTTCAGCCAAAACACAACATTTCTTACAGACTAACAGCTATGGGTTCTGAGTCTTTCCGAAAAGTGTTTTAGTAAGCTCAAAGGCTTGGTATAGCATGGCATAGGGCCTAAAAAATTAATGTTGTGGTTCCGATTACCCGACCAACCCTTGAATTCTGGTGCCGACCCTACTTTTTTTAAAGCAGTATGAATAAAATAACTGTTAAAATACAATTCTTTTTTCTGTCCGCACTGTCGGACATCGGTCATTCTGATAGAGAAAGTCGAAATGGTGGCTGCAAGCTTGTTTAAATAAACAATTACACATTGATAAATGTGTTATTAGTTTGTACGTTACTTCTAAAAAAACCCATAATTTTTAAATTCCTACCTACCTACCCTAAATTTAAAAGAGCTGTAATCGGAGCCACAACATTTTTTATATTTGGCCTAGTGTGAAATATGATGTTGCTGGGAAATCAGTCTTTTCATTTTCTGTAATCTTGAAGTAGCAATAAAATATGTTAATGTGAAGTTCTATACCAGGTGATATGAAGTACGTCTTTAGCCTTGGCTTGATACAGCATGTCCTGATATCACAGGTACACACTGACAAGTGAGTATGTGACATAGTTAGAAGATAAAGCTACTCTGTTTTCAATTTTGCGGTCCTTTATGATGATTTGTTATAAGAACGCTAAATGTAATTTAAAAAACTGAACGCGTTAGGTTTTAAATTACATTTAGCGGTCTTAAATCATCGATAAAGGACTGAAAACAGAGTAGCTTTATCTTCATTCTAGCACAACTGATAAACGTTTTAAAAATGAACTGTTTGGCGCACAAGGCTCAAAGGGGCCTTTTTCCTGGAAATTGCTTGGAATCGTCCCGTTGATGGACAGGTTGTGTAATGAACAAAATAAGACATTTTTCAACAACATAATTGCTTTATTTAAGGAACCAGTATGCTTGTATTTGTAACAAGTAACATATACTAGGCACATAAAGAAACTGTGCATACAAAAAGATAAAACCTAAATTTATCAAACCTGTGCAGACACATAAGGATTTGAACTCAGAGATTAGTGACATGTATCCAACATGCATGCATGTGCCACGTCCCGTGACATCAGTGGGTTCGTCCTTGAGACGTGCAATACGTTCTTGCGCGTGCATTCCGGGAAAGAGAAACAGAGCAAATGAATGCCACACAATACTGTCACTTTGGAAAGATCAACCCTGCCCTTGCGATCGTTCAAAAAATTAAACGGCTATTGAAACACATAGCATGCCAAGGCTCACGCCTGCACAACGTCATGAGGCCATTGTGATGGTCCGTGGGGGAATGTCTCAACTACAAGTGGCTGCACATTTCCACTGCCACCGGAACACCATTTCTGCACTGGTGAGACGCTACCAGAACACAAATGACGTCATCGATCGGCCACGTTCTGGACGTCCACGTGTAACAACGCCAAGACAGGACAGATGGATAAGGGTGACCCATCTTTGCCACAGGTTTCAGACTGCAGTGATGACTGCCCGAACCATCCCAGGACTTTGCCGTATCCATCCCAACACAGTTCGACAGCGTTTACGTCATCACGGGATCAGACCATGACGTCTCACCATATGGCCTATCGTGACACAACGTCATCGACAAGCTCGCCGAATCTGGTGCCAAAATCATGTCCGCAGACCCTTGTTTTGGTGGAGAAATGTTATTTTTACAGATGAGTCCAGGTTTAACATTTCCCATAGTGATGGACGTCAACGTGCCTATAGACGCGTGGGAGAACGTTATGCACAGGCCTGTGTCTTGGAGAGGAATCGCTTTGGTGGTGGTTCCGTGATGATTTAGGGTGGAATAACGGCACGCCAAAGCACTCCTTTGGTGATTGTTCAGGGCAACTTAACTGGTGTGGGCTACAGGGATCAGATTCTTCAACCTGTGGCAATTCCTTTTCTGCAACGTTATGGCCCTGGGTTAACATTCCAACAGGACAATGCCCGCCCTCATACAGCAAGGGTTGCTATGGATTTCTTGCAACATCACAACGTTGACTTACTGCCTTGGCCTGCAAATTCACCGGATCTCTCCCCGATAGAGCATGTTTGGGATGAGATGGATCGACGTCTACACCGTCTTCATCATCCGCCAGATAACGTCCTTGACCTTGCAACAGAACTTGAGAGAATCTGGCGTGACATCCCACAAGCCTTCCTTGCACGTTTGATAGGCTCTATGTGTCGTTGATGCACTGCTGTTCTCAATGCCGATGGTGGACATACCCGTTATTGAGCTTGTGACATGGTCGTGTGACCCCTGTCCCGCTTGTGGACTCGTGACGTCATTGTGATTGACTTTTCAATTGAAATTCTCCCGACTTTTTATGGTCTCATGATCCCTCCATTAAAGTTTATATGTACCAATGACATTGTTATCGTACTTATCAACTGGGATAATATTTTGACAATGCACAGCTTCTTCATGTGGCTAGTATACATAAATAAAAAAAATACAGTTTATACTGTGAGCAAGTACAATAATTTGAGTTTTCTCAAGCGAATTATTGATCTCCCCTACTGTATGACAATCGACTCGCCCAAATTCAAGCCATGAACTCGCTAAGTTTAGTCGCCGCTAACTTTATTCACGGAAATAATTGTTGGTAACCACCCTACTATTCCCAATTTGGAAAAGACCTGACATGCCACGATTTATGTGGGATACATGGACAGTGGAAGTGGAAGGACTGGGCATTATGGCCGAGACAGAAGCGGTCAGGTTAGGACGTGTGGGCCGACGTCAACACGCGTAGATCTGGACCCGGTTTGAAGATACTACTGCCGCTTTTGCGCTGCTGACGGACTTTCCAGCTTCGTAGTTTCTTCACTAAGATTAGGGTCAAGAAATTCTTCTTCAAACCATTCGCTTTTTACTTAAAAAACAACAAAGATGCTGCCGAGATAGAAATTGCCGATGTCCGACATATTTGTTTACAAACAATAGGGTCAACGAGTTCGTTGTATTCATACGCAGTGAATCGGTCACTTTAATTGGCGGTCTTTAAACTGCCATTTAAGTACGGTTTTGATGAGCTCTCAGCCAATCAGAATCGAGTATCACACAATGTCGTGCTAGAATGTGGGTTAACACCACCAGAAACAGTATATACAGTGTCAGCCCAGTGTGGGAGGTAAACGCAAGTCTGACTTATAAAGAATCTTTATTAGGGCAAATGTTGGCTTTGAACCTATTCTCATTGCAGACTGGTATTCCTAAAAGACACAACTCTGAACAGAAAATTGTTTCACCTTACAGTCCTGGGCAGTCAATGTCTCTGTAGTGAGTGAGTTTAGTTTTACGCCGATTTCAGCAATATTCCAGCAATATCACGGCAGGGGACACCAGAAATGGGCTTCACACATTGTACCCATGTGGGGAATTGAACCTGGGTCTTCAGCATGATGAGCTAACACTTTAACAATGTCTCTGTAGGTACATACCGTTAACATACACCCTGCCACTGGTGGTAACACTGAAATCTGTCTAGCCCTAAACCTTTTCCTCCTGTACAATACCACAAAAAGTAAATTTGACTCTAAATATTGTATATAAAATTTACCTGCTTTAGCCTTCTCAAGCTTGGCTTCAATTTCTTCAATTTCCTTGGATACATTAGTATGTTTTGTCATCTGAAAAAAATACACACAGCTCTATATACATGTCTGACAGAATCATTTCATCTATCACGGTCACAACAAATTAAGAATGTGTATGTGTACGACATCCCTGCATGTTATATCACTTTACACCCATGCTTAGCTTTTGTGATGCATTTATGAAATTATATCTCATGAAAAAAACCCATATAAATATTGTAATTCTGTAAAGTCAGAAGGTGTAGTATATTTCTACCAGAAGGTGTAGTATATTTCTACCAGAAGGTGTAGTATATTTCTACCAGGTGTAGTATATTTCTACCAGAAGGTGTAGTGTATTTCTACCAGAAGGTGTAGTATATTTCTACCAGAGGGTGTAGTGTATTTCTACCAGAAGTTGTAGTATATTTCTTCCAGGTGTAGTATATTTCTACCAGAAGGTGTAGTATATTTCTACCAGAAGGTGTAGTATCAGAAGGTGTAGTATATTTCTACCAGAAGGTGTAGTATATTTCTACCAGGTGTAGTATATTTCTTCCAGAAGGTGTAGTATATTTCTACCAGAAGGCGCAGTATATTTCTACCAGAAGGTATAGCATATTTCTACCAGAAGATGCAGTATATTTCTACCAGAAGGTGTAGTATATTTCTACCAGAAGGTGCAGTATATTTCTACCAGAAGGTGGAGTATATTTCTACCAGAAGGTGCAGTATATTTCTACCAGAAGGTGTAGTATATTTCTACCAGAAAGTGTAGTATATTTCTACCAGAAGGTGTAGTATATTTCTACCAGAAGGTGTGGTATATTTCTACCAGGTGTAGTATATTTCTACCAGAAGGTGCAGTATATTTCTACCAGAAATGTGTAGTATATTTCCACTACCAGGTGTAGTATATTTCTACCAGAAGGTGTAGTATATTTCACCAGAAGGTGTAGTATACTTCTACCAGGTGTAGTATATTTCTACCAGAAGGTGTAGTATATTTAGGTGTAGTATATTTCTACCAGGTGTAGTATATTTCTACCAGAAGGTGTAGTATATTTCTACCAGGTGTAGTATATTTCTACCAGAAGGTGTAGTATATTTCTACCAGAAGGTGTAGTATATTCTACCAGAAGGTGTAGTATACTTCTACCAGGTGTAGTATACTTCTACCAGAAGGTGTAGTATATTTCTACCAGAAGGTGTAGTATATTTCTACCAGGTGTAGTATATTTCTACCAGAAGGTGTAGTATATTTCTACCAGAAGGTGTAGTATACTTCTACCAGGTGTAGTATACTTCTACCAGAAGGTGTAGTATATTTCTACCAGAAGGTGTAGTATATTTCTACCAGGTGTAGTATATTTCTACCAGAAGGTGTAGTATATTTCTACCAGGTGTAGTATATTTCTACCAGAAGGTGTAGTATATTCTACCAGAAGGTGTAGTATATTCTACCAGAAGGTGCAGTATATTTCTACCAGAAGGTGTAGTATATTTCTACCAGAAGGTGTAGTATATTTCTACCAGGTGTAGTATATTTCTACCAGAAGGTGTAGTATATTTCTACCAGAAGGTGTAGTATATTTTACCGAGGGTAATAGAACCTTTGAAGCCACCTGGTATTTTGAGGAAAACTCTCTAGATTAAAAAAGCTGGCCAGTCCTCATGTACATAAATCATGGTATTTATTTCTGATGGTACTTGAGATGAATACAACTGGGTTCTGTGTGTCAACTCACCAGGGAGTCATATGTCTCTGCCTTGTCTTCTATCTTCCCTGCTTTCTTCATTCTCTGGACACGTTTCTTCTCTATTGTACCAGTCCGATCTAAGAAAGTATCTTCATCACTGTCATAGAAATCATTGTCTTCCCAGTTCTTTTCTTTCCTCTTGTGACTTTCTGAAATAAATATGGTTTATCTTTCATGACTTTCATCACATGAACACAGCACCTCACAATGTAGCAACAGAACAAGGGCTTTGGTCAAGATCTTATGTCAAAATGTCAAGGAAGTTAGAAGCTAACAATAATGGTGCTGTCTTTTCGACACAAGCAACCTTGTATGTCCAGAAACATCAATATACAACTGATATTGGTGCAAATTGTTACCAGTTTGAGATGTCTGCTGAAAGTATAAATCTATTGTTCTGCAGATCTTTTTTTCAGAGTTTTTAGTTTTTAATTAAAAATGTGATGTAAACAATGTTGTTCTGGGTTGTGAGGCTCCACGCAAATAGTGATAAGCAAATTGACATTCCTGCACTCAAACCAGAAATGCTGAAACTTGTCTTCAGAACAAATACAGACATGGAGTTGTGTAATATTGAAGAGATGTTTGTTTCAGGTGTCCAACAGTCTAACAAGTGAGAATGTTGTTTAAGGTAGTTAACAATATTTTTGTCAGATTTAATGACAAGCATTGGGTACTTGGGACTGACAAATAGAAAACAGGGGAAGACATAAAAATTGTATCTTAAATAGCCCCAAACATCAAAAACTGAAATGTACAATTGCAGAACTAAAAACTCTGAAAAATGATCTGCAAATTCATCAAATTTGGACATAATGGGGAAGAAATTACAGGGAAAGGAAATCCCTACCTAGCAACACCTAGTTACCATTTCTGCTACAGTGTCTATTCATCCCTACACAGTATTCACAGTAAAAAGAAACATATACCATGTTTGGACTTCCGAAGCTCCCCATACTTGTCCAGCAAGCGGCATGCCTCCAGGGCACAGGCAACAACAGCATCCTTCCTCTTCCCCGACACCACCACCTCTGCAACAACCGGCTCCCCAGTCGGGGTATCTACAGGCAACCTGCACACACACACATACTGATCAGAGCAGCAGGATGCAGAGACAACAGGATCAAGGCACTGGTGCTCACCTGATACATTCAAAGTCAGCTGAATGTTTAATGCAGCTAAATCTTTCACCATTAGCAAGGAATGTGAGGAGCTTATTTGAGTGTGTATTTGTGATGTGGCCTGTTTTAAAGGGGAGGTGAAATGATCTAAATCTGATATTCCTTAAATCATAAAACATATTTTATGTTAACAAACATTCATGAAAAGTTTCCATTTGTAACAAAAACAGTAAATCTAAATGCCATAATTTAATCCTAAAGTACCCTACAAAAACAGCTATAAGATGAAGCTTAAATTTTTTTTCCAAATTAAAGTATTCTGCTATTGGGGAAATTTTGTGAATAAATACAGCAACGAAGTGGCATTCCCTTATTTCATCCCACCAGTACGTTTCCCTTGTACCTACTCAACCATACACTTGTGTTTCCCTTGTCCACACTCTACAAACTGGTATTCCGGTAAATCATAGCCTGAAAAATAACAAAGATTATTGAATGATTTATATGGTGAGAATAACAACAATTCGGCATTACAATGGCAGCTGTCAACTCAACTCATTTAACTCATACCTATGAAAAAATACTTTTACAACAAATGGTTCAACTGAAAACTTCACAAAAGTATCCCACCTTCTCGCTCAAAATAGCCTTTAAGAGCTTTCTTGGGATCATCAATATAGAGATGTTCATTTTCTGGGATCAGTGACGATGGCATGAATGGACTGTCTTCATTAGCTTCTTCAGCATCTTCATCTACAACAAGGAAATATAATTAATCATAATTAATTCACCTTAATTCTCTTAAATTCCATCATGTCTAAAGGGCATGCCTAAACGCCTTTGTAAGTGCCCTGTGTAACACATGAAAAACATTTCTGTCCCTGAAATTCTCTTTTCCTTCTAAACTACTTTTAAATGGGTGAAGTCAGAGTGCATGGCAAGTTATATATGTGGGGTCTCTCACTGTTATATTAAGCCTAATGAATCCACACATCCTGAAGGGCATAGCAAATGGGCATAACCTCTTCTAATCCCTACAGCCTTGAAGTTGAGATTCAGCTCCCTTTGGAGTGAAAGATGGCAAGTGCAGTTCAAAATCTAAACACCAGCCAGAGTACAGGATGCTTTATTTTGTGAGATAAATATATTTAGTTGCTCCAAATGTTCATGTTATGCATCCTACCTATTCCCCATGTGCATCCCTTGTCTTCCAGCCTCTGTTTCTCCTTCTGCATTCTAGTTTCTTCCTCTATTAGTTCTGCCTGGTGAAGGACCTCTGCTTCCTTCTTTTGTCGTTCTCTCTGTTCCTTTATCTCAGTAACACTCAAATCAGATTCCTCCTCCTTATCATCATCAGGGCCCTATGAAAAGAAGCATCAGAATGAAGATGATCAAACCAAGTGGTGCATATTTGACAAATTGACTTGAGAACAATTTCAAGAAGTGGTTGTTTTCAAAAACAACTACAGGTACATACAGAGCACCAGTGAGCACAATCTCTGACACAAGTTACATGTTACTAAAACAAACAATTTTTGGTGAGACTATTGGGAATATAGCAACTAATAAATTGTCCCAGTAAGCTAACAGACTTAGTTTTGCACATACATTTGAACATAGTTGATAGCAACATCGGGACCGTTTTGCACCAGGCCAATTTGGGGCCATTTTAGTCAAGCAAAATTGGGGCCGTTTTGTCATGGGGCCGTTTAAGCCTGATCCCCATTTGACGATTATTTACCTAATCCCGCCTAAATTGTTACGGAACTGAAAGGAAACAACTGAAATCATGACAAGTGAAACTGCTTTGAGTGGCAGTAGCATGACAGTTTCCTTCAGCAAAATATTCAATGTCATGTTATTTCATCTATATTTTGTATGAAGGATAAATGCAACTGAACACTTGAAAGTAGTAATATGTTATAAGAATACCCGGAAACATGCATGCTTTGACAGTTGCTTCCCTTGTTTCAAAATGCAGATGCTGTTACAACCCCCTAAGACCTACACAGATCCTACCCATTGTTGTTATTACAAACTTCATTGGTTTGTCTACAGCAGATACATTATCAAATAAATATCCTGTTGTTTCCCATCTGGCCACAAAACAAATTTTACACATTACATTATGAAGTATTGTGATGTGTATGTACACTTAGTGGTAATGAATAGTAAAGGTAGGTTGTAGTAACAATATTCAGACTTATGACTGAAAGTCAAAGGAATCCTTGTTAAACCTAGTATTAAGGTGAGGTGAAATTGGGTTTAACGTCGTGCTTGAGAATATTTCGCTCATATGATGACGTGCATGCATGTGTATGTGTATGTGCGGCTGCTTGTACTAGCCCAGACTTAATCTGGTTTTTATAGTGCTAGCCCACTTAGATACCATGCCGCAGTGAAGCATGAATACCCCACTCAGACACATTATACTGACTCCGAGCCGACCAGTCCTTGTTGTACCCATTAATGCCGAGCGCCAGGCAGGGACGAACAAGTACCATATTTTAACGTCTTTTGGTATGATGCGGTCGGGGATCGAACCCACGACCTTCCGCTCTCCGGGCAGATGCTCTAACCACTACACCACGGAGGCGGTTACCTAGTATTAAAAGGTGAAGATCCAGTAGGTTGCAGTCAGAAGTAATCCAGGTTATATGACGTTATATTTTTCTGCATTAAAAAATGCATTTATTAACAAATGGTCAACAATCAATATTCATGTTAAATACTTGGGAACCTTGCTGCTCAAGAATCTGCACTCTATGACAGAAATACATACCTGGAGAATGTGTAGCCTAGAACTTCCTCCAAACTTCACAACATGGCCAACTCGAACTCTGTTGTATACTTTTGGCTTAACCTTAACTTTGTTGATCCAAGTTCCATGTGTGCTATCTAAATCATACAAATACCACCCTTTCGCTCGTTTTTCACTGTCACTTGCTGAAAATTGTACAACAGCATGGTAACGAGATAAGGAAGGATGTTCCATTGTCACATCACAGCTGGGCAGTCGACCAAAAACATAGAATGGCTGTTTGGTTAGATCAACGTTATCAATAATAGAACCATTTTTGAGCACTTCAAACTGGTATGATTCGTCGCATAGTCCGCTCCATGAAGGTTCTTTGTACGGAATAGTGACTTGTGCATTTCTTAATTGTTCTGCAGGAGAAAAGCCTGAAGCATTTGATTTCGTGTCAGTCTTCTGTTTACTGTTAGTGTCTTGTCCGGATGAGTTTACTGTTGCATTATTTTCTTTCGCCTCTGTGTCTTCTTCTGAAGAATTTGATTTTGTTTTAAGTTTTACCTCTGACGAAAGAGGGCTTGTTGTTGGCACTGGCATGCTACCTGGCACTTTGAAATCCAGGCAATCCATTGTGACCGTGTTCTCGTCAATTGTTTTACCAGAATCAACCGACGTTACTGTGTTGTCTGTGTCTGTTGGTGTGTGCGTTGTGGTTGATTCCCCCGAAACGGGAGGGGAACGTTCGTTGTCTTCCATGCTTTTCTCTTATGCCTCAAACATCAATAACAACATAACGATTTTGATATTCGATTGATTGCAGACTTTATATGTCAAAAGTCGGAGAAAACCACAACGATTTTGTTAAAAACATATATATTTTATTTCACTGTCGTATGAGCGTTAGCATATATCGAAATGCAAGAAATTCATTGCTACAAGCGACAGAACGCCAGACGATAAACTGGTCATTTTCATCTGTTGCGCACAACTCGTTTTTCGCTTTGCTGGCCCAATATACAGACTAACAACTAGTCTCTGAAATGAACATATTTTTACAGAACAAACAGTTCATAGTAAAAATGAGAAAATATAATGAACAGGAGCCCTGAGACTTTCTTCATTTTCAGAAACTGAAAATCAAGACTTGCCATATATTCTAGACTTGCATGGGCTTTCTTGGATATATTTGTTTTGAACAGTGTCTGTATAACCAGGGACACTTTATAACGTAGTAGATGAACCCCTGTATGACAGACTAACTTGCGCTACTCACTATGTGGAGTCGGGGACAGCGAGGCCATCTGTAACTACCGTAGGTTTTTGTTAGCCTGCATGGTGACACTGCTTGTCAGCCCGCTTGCTGACCTGGCGGTTTCATTGCATAATAATAAGCGCTACAACGTTTAAGATTATTTCTTTACACTGTGTAGATGAATTGTGTAACTTTTAACTTAAAATGATTGTCTGGCCAACAGAATAATAAGTGCCAAGACGTTGTGTGGCACAAATCAAAACTAAAAGTGATAAGTGATGCTTTGGCAACGGTGACATTGCTGGTACATGCATTTCGAATCCTGGATGGGAGTCAATCACAAAAGAACGATAATTTGTGCTTTACTGAGAAAGTGTAGTCCCAAATACAACACTTGTTACACGTGACTGCGTTCTTAAAGGCATCCGGCATTGTGTATCCATGTTTGTTATTCCCGCCCAAGAGAAGTGTCCATTTTAGTGTCCCTGATATGCCTCGACGGCGGCAATCACATCATCGTTGCAGGTGTTCCATGCAGGTCTTATATGTGTTTAGGGAAAGAATAATTCATGCGCGTAGCGAACCAAATTGTTCGCGTAAGCCCGATATATAGGTTGCAAAGTTTTATATTTAGATAGTATTAAGGGCTTGCCCAACCTTTTTTTTAGCAACAATCATGTGTAAGCCCGGGCTTTTTTTACAATGGTAGCTACTCCCCCTGTAATTCAAAGCCACAATCTTCACCTTTAGCCATTGTCACCGGTGAAGTGTGCATTGGCCTGAAGTAGTAGCTCACCTAAACGGAGTGTTCCTCATGCATCTGACGTAGTTTCGTGGCATTGACGCCACGGTTATTCCCTTAAAGCCAAGGAGAACCAAAGTTCTCTGGCGCCACCAGTTTGTTTTTTTTACTTATTTCTTATGTATATTGGCATACGGTTATCATAATACGTTTTAGTTAGTATTCGACCTATGTCTGGTGAACACATCCATGGAAGTATTTTGTCGGGTCGGCTTCTGATCAACATTCTGCGCACCCTTCTAGCTGATGTGGATGGCGTCAGTTAAAAAAGACTTCAGCTCCCAAAAGTGTCAGTGAAATGCTGAATAGTAACAGTCTAGGTGGGTAACTAAAATTTTCATTCAGTAGGTGTGTATTTATATGTTACCACTACCCCATTTAAATTCCGCAGCCAATTTCGCAATAGACGAATAAAAAGGGAAGTGCTCCCGAGGAGAATTTTTTATGTTATCTTTTATTTCCTTCTTGGCGCGATCTCAAAAACTCGCTCGCAATCTCAATCTCTCAGTTTTTCTCACCCGATAGGTTCTCTACTTGACTTCTCAATAAACGGAAGTTATCACATGGTACATTTTCAAAGTGATGATATTCTATATACACGTGTAGAAACCTCCAATTACAAAGTAATATATACATATGAATGAGGACACTAACCTTTCCACTCTGACTTGTGCTTAGAAAATAGAAACACTGGCATATCAGTCAATTCAGCTTATGTATAACAGTGAAGTAGTGACGTATTAATTGACATTTTTGTTCAGGAATTTTTTTAGATTGTCAGTAATGTCATTGAGATTCTTGAGAGGCATTTAGAAGTTGGTGAATATATGAGACGAGTATATGGATGGCAACTTCTTGTTTATTGTACAACAACGTTTCTGGGTTACTTCTTGCCCCTTCTTCAGGTGAAGATGAAATGCACCTTTAAACACCTTTACATGACACCGAGGTCAGTGCCCAGAGTCACTCGCTCATATTGAGTCAAGTGTCAAGATGACACCGAGACCATAGCCCGGTGAGTCACTATCTCCCACTGAGTGTAGTGTCAACATAAAATTCGGAATTGGTCTGGGCTGGATGGATACACTTTGGCCTCGTCAAGAATATACTCAGGTGTATAAACTGGGCTAGCCTATAGTTTACCCCGGGGTATAATCTGGTGTGTGTTATTCTGGGCTGCTACACCGGGTTCGATTCCCCATATGGGCACAATGTGGGTGGGAAGCCATTCTCCCGTGGTGATATGGTTGGAATATTACGGAAATGTGTATCAAACTTGACTTACTCTCCACTAAACATTCGGCTTCGGATGTGAAGAACCAGTTAGTGACATTACTGACAATCAACAACATCCAGACAGATGAATTCACTATTAGCCCTACTTCCCGCGGGAGTTGAATGACTGTAAAGATCCAGGTTTCCAACCTAGAAGGAGGGCTTTTATAGTCAGAAAGCTTCAATCAGCCATGGTTCAGACAACCAGAGCATCCGATCCCAGTCGGCTCTTTGACAAAACCTAAGCATTCTTAAGAAGGAACATACGACTTTCCTCACATAGAAAGTCTTGACCTAAACAGAAAATGGTTATTTTTTTAATCATAATTCCCTTACGAATGGATGCTCGTTTTTCAATGACATGGCGGGTCTTAGTTTCGTAAGAGTCCTTCTCTTGGTTGTCCAAAAGGTAATCTACAACTGCTATCAGGTCATCGAGTTAACATGAGATCCGGTAGGAGCTTTTTCCATGCTTGTGGCCTGCTGAATGTGAAGCTGTCAGCAGTTCACAATAAGGTTTGTGCTGGAGATCAATGCCAAACTCGTCATCACGACAGTGATGGTAATGATAAAGTACTGCTGAGGCTTGTCCTTCGGTATATGGTCTCTGGTTATAGCCATGGCAAAGACCTATATTTGCACTGGTGCATTGTCCTGACGGAAGATATCACTTTTGGCAGATTCCCACGTCTCTGTCTTAATTTCATCAGCAATTGCAACATATATCCAGCTGAGGTGATATTGCTTGTCATTTTTCGGTTGTTATGGTGGCATCAAATGTTTTGATTGTTGTTTGGACTCCGGCAGGAAGTGGTGACTCGTGGTTTCATCCCAAATCGTTTCAAGAACATACCGCGTCGGCTTAAAACCACGGAGCTTACGAAGACACAAACTCCCAAATTACGGCTTTGATTTTTGACATGGGTCTCATTTTGTAGCTAAATCTATTGGCTTGAAATGTGTGTGTAGTTTTTGAGGAGCATTTTAGTGAGAAGTGTCGAATGCGTCCTAGAATGAATTTGAGCCTGGTGACCTCGTTATATCCATTTTATTTTAAATTGTGCTAAGACCCCCCAGAAACAAGATACAATATAATGCTATTTTTTGCGATACAGGCTCTTTCTGCTCCAAACAAAGTTAGTTTTTAAAGAGAAACGTGAGCCTATTCTTTTCCTTCAATGCCAAAGTTCGAGAGATAATGGAATGTACCCATGGGAAATGCCAAATATCTCTACCACGTTCAGTCATTCATCTGTTTGTCATTACCATTGTAGATTTTCTTGATCATTCTGGTGGTGTTGAGGTCACGTGTCCACCAGGAGGATGTCGTCTTCGAGGCTCTCCATGTTATCTGTCTTGATGACTTATGTTCGGCCAGTTTCAAAAGGTCAAAGGCCCCTGCTTTTTTTACTTCTTTGTCACAGCGACACAATTGACAAGCTTTCTGTTGAAATTACATCATATAATGTCTAAAACAAAACACTTCAATATTATTTAGTTCCTTCAACATGAGGCTCAGAACTAAACTATCAGTCAGGGAGTGTATTTTCGCTACACTATCAGTAGAAAGAGAGAGCTGAAATACATTTACTAGTACAAGGTATGTACTGATAAAAACTGGCATTTGGGGGGGAATTCTTCATCGTAACTTTGGAACAAACATCCTTTGCATTAGTTTTCGTTGTCTGATCTTGTGTTTTGATGTCAGCCATAGATGCTGGTAACTGTTTGCTGAGAAAATAAGTTCTTATGACTTCTTGTCCTCTGTTTGTGCCATGAAGAGATCAAACAGTAAAGACATTCAAATAGTTTTCATAAAGAAAATACTTTATATAACAACATACATACAAGCATGTCATCATCACATATGCTGAAATTATCCGCGGGATCCTCTGATCCATTCCAGACATTAAATAACTGTGTGAAGGAAGTCATGTCTCAACATACAACACAGGTATGTACTTACACCTTATCCAGGAAAGCAATTTAATCACCACCAAATCTTGGCACAGTCTTCCAATAAAACACAGTTTACTTAAGGTCCTGATCTTTCCCTTTTAATATTATTTATATACTAAATAGATTAACATCCACATCACTGGATCATACTCCACCAACTAGCTGGTCATTTGTGAACGTCAGTTACTGCAGTTGTGAAGATGTGTAAGAAGTCAGTTTTCTTCTCTCACCAGAAGCCACCTAAATGTATTGCAGATAGGCCCATGCTTCCTATTCTGGTTCTTAAGTGGGTCTCATCCACTAACAAACATTTCATTCAACGTTGTGGCATCATTTCTTGGTAGTGTCCAGTAATCGTAGAGATACAAGGAATAAACTCTTGCCTGGTTCAGCAACCATTTCATCAAAGATGAAGGTTAGGTGGGTCACAAGAATCAAACACTGAAAGTCCCATGGGCCCTGCCCGTCTTTAGATTTTGAACACTGCCATATGATCACTTCTTGGCTGCATCCAGTAACTGTAATGGTACAAGGACTCGTACTTTGCTTGTCTCTCCAACATAACCATTAACAATCATTTCATCTAACACCATGTGCACCCGCTCAGTATTAGACACTATCTGGGAACAGGGTTAAGGCCAAGTTTAAAAACATGTTTGTTTATATGCTCAGAGTCTGGTTACTTTAGGAACAGTCAAGCTAAAGACCTATAGGAAAATAACATAACAAAATCTTAACTTCAACCACTGGAATGGATCCAGGGCTAAGTGTTAGTGAATTGAATGAGAACCCTGGAGATTGAGCAGCTGATTGAATGCAGGAATCATATCTACGGTACATGGAATACCAAAATACAAACAAATGACTCTTTTTCAGGCTCATCAGCATATATATGACATGTGTGTTTGGGCAACACATGATGCAAGTTAGAAGTCAACATTTCAAGGGGGAAATAAGTCTGTTCTCTGGTTAAAAAAACCCCAAGAACATTGGATCCATGGGGTCATAGCATACGGAATACCCAATATATACTACACAAATCCAATGTGATGGGTGTCATATGAGTAACACCTTAAAACGCAAGCAATTATCTGATGTGTTTACAATGAAACCAGGCATCAGGAATGGATTTTGTTATTATATAGGCTATTTTGCCTGTTAGAATAGTTCACATTTGCAAGGATACATCTACCTCAGTCTGAAACAGAAGAACAAAACCAGATGTCAGAAACTGAAGTAGCAAACTAGGTTGGAACCACACATAAGCAAATAAAGATTAGGCCTTAATAAACACAAGCCATCTCAGCTAAATTTTAAACAACAAAATTTCATAGTTGCAGAAACTTGAACATACTTCATGCAATAGTTAAGAAAAAGATACCTATCATTATTGAAACACGAATTGTATATACATTTCTGTCGAAGGCACATTTTACATCTACAAGGGGAGTTAGCTCATTCAGGAGCTAGTCAAACTTCAAAGTTATTTTATGATAGATGCGTGGAACTCAAAAACACTGATCTCTGAATAAATATCCACGAATCCTGACAAAATAATTTCCTCTATAGAAATCAATATGAATAATAACATTATCGAAGTGAACAAGAACATCTTGAAATTCATATAATTTTTTTAGAGGATATTCACCATATTTTAGCAAACTACAATACTGTGTATCCAACATAGGTGGTATCTGAGTAAGCCTTTATCACATAAGAAACAAAACAACAACTTACAACTTTCTGAAAATACTGGTCCAGGGTTTCCAAGATATTCTGCATCAGCTCCAACACTGCTAGCTCATTCTGGATGGGGATTTGCAAGTTGAACACAAATTCTGCTAACTTATGATAACTTTGCATGATCAGGTGGCAATATATTTTCCTGGTCTTTTAAATAAAGAATTTGATGTTTTCACACACAAATATAAAGTAAGTTTATATCATATCTCAATGTACATTAAATTATGTTAAAGTGACATGTGAGAATCTACATTGGATAGCGGCATTTTAAAGAAACCATATACAGAAAAACTAATGAGATCACAAATTTTGCTAACAAATATCTTTGTGAAGAGAAAATAGTGTGTGTTTTTTTTAAAGAAAAAAACCCTGGTTTTTCTGCGACCTTCCGTGGTACGTACCGGCTCATGGAAAAAACCATGGTTTACTGGTTAACCGGTAAAACCACCCATCTCTAAATATTTTACAATAACACTCGGCAACATTACAAATCAGAAAAAGGCTTTTCAAACAGTATTCATACAAGCTCAATTATTACATCCCATGAACATTTTTTCCGGGGGAAGTAAAACCATAATAAATTAATCATAAATCTTATGAAAATAGTAACATCAAATCTGAATGAAAACAATATAAAACAAAATTTATGCTGAACTGAACATTTTCCCCAGTATTTCAGACTTGTTTATTACAATGGAGAACCGATGATGTGTTTTGGTGCAATTGACCAACTTCAATGCCAGGTTAAGTGCCACTAAGACTGGTCGTTATAATAGTCATGCTGGGAACCAGCCAATAAAATCATGTCCTCTTAATACCACAGTGTTTCAGTTACACTGAAACCTGAAACATACCTCATCTGGAGTTACAGCTGATATCATGTACAGGCTCACATATTTCCTGTAAACTATCGTAGGCCCTTCAGCTCAAAAATGTTGCACTGAGGAAAATACATGTGAAAAGGACTAAGGACTATTATATATATGTTATGGAGCTGTATGATCATTTCATTCTGTGTATTTCATCTTAAAATAACAGTCTGTATATGCTTTACCTGACATATATACAATTTAGATCCAAACAGGACAAAAACTTTTGCATTAATCTCGTGAAATATATTGTCAACAGACACACAAATCTAGTGTTTCCATCACAAACCGGGAATCGGGTGTGTCACAAGAACTTTGACTCTTAGTTAAAAGGTAGGCACTGACATTTGAAACTATTACTACAACCCCATTTTTATCTTGGAAAATTGGAAAAAATGCTCTAGAACACACACTTTAGTAGTTGAAAGTCCTACTTTGGAGTTGGGCTAAACACCTCTTTAACCATAATCAAAGATGAATCCTGTAATTTACCTGTTTATCAGATCTTTCCATGACACTCCTGATGATACTGGTTTGCAGCTGATTCCTTTCCTTTAAGCCCATGTGTTGGAAATACCTGCAAGTAGAAAACTGGGTAGTAAAATATTTTTTTGAGACAATATGTTTAATTAAACAATGCACAGGTAACCGTATCAAAACAATGTGCTTTGCACTTGCCAATCAGGATATAAAAAATTGTCAATTTGATCTGTTTTGATTTACTGTCGATTTCAATTCATTTCTGACGATTCAACCAATTCCATCTTTTCCATTCATATGTTAATTTTCTTTTCATAAGTCAAATTAGATTAGCCAGATACTGGTGGGCATGATTTTATTTGAATATTAAAAATGATAATAGTATCCTTTCAGTAAAAGGGTATCCTTTTGGGTTAAAATGTGGAGGGAAAAAAAGGGAGTTTCAGCTAAAATAATCCATTAACTGTTATTAACTTAGTAGTGTTTCAAGCCTGGTCTTTGACTGATGTGTGTCTGATGCCACTTTCGCCACACTTTGACAAACGCCTAAATATGAACTCAAGTAACAGTTCAAATTTAAAAACTTACATTTAGCTCATGACTAAGATACAGTTTGTTTCATTAAAACAAATAATTTAGAAAATATGAAATCTCCCATTGTTTTCATTTGAGCTAGGATGGAAACAATGTGTTTCACGTGTTAAATAACATTTGTAGGAAATGTTCAAACAATGATCTACAATATGCTGTTAATATTATCTTACTGGACTCGTAGTAAAATAATGTGACCTTTGTATTTCTTATCTTTCATTGGCTTAATGAATAACAGGGGTTGTTCACTTGCTTTGAACTCAGAACGAAACAGCAGTACTAACAATACCTGGAAAGCCTAAGCACCCCTTGCTTATTAATAATGTAGAGAAATTTAATCATCGTGTTTAGTCAATGACTCTGATGATTCATGTCATTCCATCTGACAAAGGATCCACTGGGCTTATCTAGGATGAGATCAATGTAGCCAGACACCTCTCAACTATCGTCAGGTCACTCTAACCCTCGGGCATTTTCCGTATCGACCACAAGCGTCGTCTTATCTCGTAGCTAACAGGCGCTGTTGTTGCATAAAGATCTATCACTCAACATTCCGGTGCTAGCAATGGAAGTGAACATGCATCAAGAGCTGTCACTCCACGAAATGAACGCCAGTGGAGGAGGTGAAAGATAATCTTGGGATTCCTTGATTTTCTTGAATGACGTCATGACTTGATCAGCGCCCCCTTTCCCAAAATGGACATATTCTACTTGTTCAACGACTAGTTACTGTTAACCACCCTGTTGCGAACATTCATTGTTTCGTGTGTGTACGTTTTAGAATCTGAGTTGTTCCATGGACTGACATTGATTGTAAACCAAAGCAAAAGAGCAATTTCCATCATTAATAATGTAACTTCTCATTTCCTCTCAATACAGCCGCATATAGATTTCAACAATATTTCTATATAAAATCAATTCGTGTTTGAATAAACATTTAAGTTGAAAGTATAATGTTTGTAGTTTTATTTTACGGAATTATAGTTAATTATGAAGTTTGGTTGACATTAGTTAACGGATAAGAGTAAAGCGGCGTTATGCATGACCATTGTGTTAGAATGTGGCTGAACCATGTAAATCTTCGTCACATTATTGCACACTTGAACGTGAATCAAACATGCGTGGCTTGTTTTGAAGACCGTCCATTTTTAATTATTACATAAGCATTTACCAGATTTATTACAAGTTGACTGACAACAAAGTAGTAACAAAGTGTAGATAAAGTATTTTAATAAACTGTAACATCAGCGTTTCGTATAATGTTTTTACAGTTGTCGAACAAGACCAGAATAATGAGAATAATGAACATTTTACAGAACCATACATGGCAGGTGAAGGATAACGGTAACATCATCGTTAACACCAGTAAGTTAGATAATAACATTGTCGCCTTGGGGGTATTTTTGTATTTTGTTTCTAACAATTTGAAAAAGTATGTAAGTCCATACAAAAAACCCCACTTCAATTAAAATTTGGCTGCGAAAAGTATGAATGGTTTTCACTTGCAAATTTGCTGTTTATTCTGTCTCAAACGGCAAAGTGAAGTGTACATTGAACTGTTGCAATCCCGTAATTTTAACCAGAAGGAACCATTAGGGATAAGAAATATTGAAATCAGGTTCTTGCGTGAGTGATTGCGTGTAATCATAACCTGTCGACTTGAGTTGTTACTCGTAATATCAATCACTGTTTTTTCTACCACGGACTCGGTAATTGTTTATTGTGGCGTTAAACAAACAATCGTTCGTAAACAACAAACGTCTATCTGCTTCGTGAGGCAGCTATGGCGTTGTCAGGTGAAGAGGCACTCTGAGCGATTTAGGTATCCATTTGATCTTGACAAATCTATTAATCTGATTTACAATGTAACGATATAATCTCGTGTTAAGCAGATCAATCAGTTCAGTTGAAATAATTGTTGGAAAACACCTGAAGGAGTTAATTTGGACGACTGAAAGTCAAGCTGGTGACACTCGTTGCTGCAGTACTTGTTATATAGTCTGTGCAAATGTGATCTTTTCGAATACATTTATACGTGACCTGTGGTTCACACAAAACTGTTTTATTTTCTGAATTGGTGGAAGGGAATTTATATTGCTTTGATTTAGCGGTGGATGTATTTCCCCAGTAGAAGGCAGTATGAAACAAGTGTAAAGAACTAGTCGTCGCGCTAGTAGCTTCAATTCTTGAGAAAGCAACTTGTAATGGCGGCCATGCGAAGATGATCGAAGACGGTCCAGGTTCTCAACACGGCGGCCAGGTCGGCCCAGGATCAGGAATAAGCATCGGCATGGTCACTAAACAACAACAAGATGGCGAATCGGTCCAGAGACCACAATATTCCATGCCTGGGATTTTACATTTTCTGCAAACGGAATGGGCTCGTTTCGAGATGGAACGATCGCAATGGGAAGTCGAAAGGGCTGAACTTCAAGTAAGTTTATAAAGTGATCTGGGGCTTGTTGCATAACAATTGCCATGTCATTGTTTAGAAGGTGTTTGTAGATTCATTCTGTGTGCATTAGACAGTGTATGTTAAGCTACGATCGATTGTCTACAGATGTTTTTCTGAGTTTGACAAGTGCAGATTTTTTCCGCCATCTTGGAAAATGGCGTCCATTCCATTCATAAGTCATAATGAGCCGACGTAATTAGTATGACTAAATCGCTTTACTTTGAGCCCAAACTGTGTGACAGTTTAAATTTTTACATCGGTTTTGTATTCCTGAAGCAATTATCTAAAGCCTTTCACTGTTAGGATGTTAGTTTTGGCCAGCATAAAGTACAGCTGGAGATGTTGACATGTTTTGGCAACTGTCAGATCGCAGGAATCTGCCCTAAATTCATAGTCCATTGTCAACACAGGTGCAAATAAGTCTAAAGGGTGTTGCTCATTTGGAAATAAGGTTACAGTAACAGCATGATGGATTTGCTTGTTTTTTTCTTGTATGTTGACTCGTTTTTATTTCTAAATGTGTTACTGTTTATTAACTTTTGTTTACTAATTAGTATCAGTGCTTGACCATTTGCACCTTCTTGTGAAACATTTGGTTGTTTTGCTGAATGACAATTTAATATTAAAACTAATCTTGCTTATTAGTGATTTGAACTGTACATGTTGAAGTCAATCCATAAGCATAACAGGAATGTTTAAAACACACAAAAAACCCATAGATCTGTTATGGTATGAAGGAAATTGATCTAGCATTTGACATGATGGATGCTTTCTTGTGTAATATTGTGCCAAATGCTACGAGTAAGACATGCTGATGGCCACATGTAACTGGGATTCAAGTCTGTAAAATGAAAGTTTGGCCTAGTAATGTAACCAACCAATCATAACATGCATTTTATTGCAGTGGTCTGTTTGTTTGAAAGATATCAGATTACTGAATGTGAACTAAACACTTTGAAGGCTATGGTAATTGATTCATGCATTGCAATTACTAAAATGTGTTCAAATTTGACAGAGATTTGAGTCAGTAGCATCAATGCATTTTTGTTTTTGAGTATTATATTTTGCCTCCTGGCATATTCAATATCCTCATGGTCACATTCTGAAAGAAACGCTGGATCATCCGTTCAGTCGATTCTTTTGAAAGTCATATGCATTTTACTATTTGACATGTGTATGTTATTGTTATGATCACCATAAAAACCTTGAAAATAAGATACTGATCGCCACCAGTCTTTGAGTTTGAAATTTTTATACTAGTTGTAGTTGTTTTATACCACGTTCTGTTAAATGGGTAGTCTGATATAAGCTGTGGATTTGTTGGAAAATGCCAATGGCGTGTACTGTGGAATGATGTTTTGTTATTGCAACACACCTGTAACTATATGGACACTGATTGTTTTGGTTTAAGTTTTGTAAATCCTTTATTTCTGACCCATTTTGTATAACTGACATTTTGATTTTGGAGTTATGTCAATTTTACTTTCTTTTCAGGCAAGAATTGCATTTCTACAAGGAGAGAGAAAGGGACAGGAAAATCTGAAACAAGATTTGGTGCGACGCATCAAAATGCTGGAATTTGCCTTGAAACAAGAAAGGTACAGCTCTTTCCAAGTGTTTGTAGTTCATGTTACTGTTTGTTTGATTCAAAATGAGAATGATGAATTGCAAAAGAACTCAAAATCTGGAATATTCTTTCAAGTGTCAATACGCTACATATCAATGAATATCCTGTACACAGCAATATCTGTTGTAAGTCAGTTCTTAGTTTTGCACCCCCTTATATAAAAGATATCAACATGTTTTCATGACAACATGATAGTTTCTTAAACAGCTTTTTTCAGGTGATTTGTATGATTATAACAAGCAGCAGCTGTTGTAGGGTACAGGGTATTCATTGTCATGTACCCGGCTGACATTTAATAGACTGTTCACGATATTAATTGGCCAGCAGGACCAACTAGGGTAGAAATGTAAAACTCTGACCCTCCCAAATATCCCTGATATTCCCTTCTGTTTACTCACAGCTGTGGAACATGTTATGACATCAAACTAGACATGATCAGCATTGTTACACGGCATACCTAGTGTTGTTATGTAAAATTACAAATCTTCCCATGTACTTTAGCTGGCTTATCTAACTGGCGTTGTGTAAAAATACTGACCCTTCAAAAGTATTTTAGCCAGCATGGGCCGCTAGCGATATGATGTAAAATACACTTTTAGCCAGCATATCTTGTTTTGTAAAATACTGAGTCCCTTTCTGCTAGTTAATCTTTTTAAAAAATAATAATAAAAAAAAATATTGTTTGGATCACTGAGTTTGCAGTATTATGAGTCCCCCGCCCTGACATTTACCAGACCGGTCCATGTAGGATCTTTATAAGTTCCCCATACTAACATGGAAAAATTACACATGTATATTACAAACATTTGTAAAGAAGCAGAAATGTGATTTTTTGCTTCATTAAAGTTTGAACTACGTTTGTACACTAATCCTTGATTTCTGAACAATGCATAAAAACCATTGGTTATGGTTTAAATAATTATACTGTTGTGTGAAGATTATTAGGGTCAGTGTCGTAATTTTGTTAAACATGTGAAACATGTTCCATTGCGAAAGATTTTATAGTTTAGACACTACTGATTTGCCATCAGTACATTTTACAGTAAAATCCTACATTGCAGAGATGCTTGTGACCATCCCTTGTTTGTTTGTAGTCCCGAAATCGCAGAGGTTTGAAAAACCCTGAAAGTTGGACATTTTACCCTAAAAAGGTCCTAAATTTGTTTTAGCCTTGAAAAGGCCCTAATATTGACAACGATGTATCCTAAAAAGGCCCTATATTTAGCAAAAGTTATGATTTTACTGGAAGCTAATACATTATATACATACCTTGCAATGACAGTGGGTGTAAAATTGATCTCCTTCATGAAGCAAAACTTTCTTAGTGCAGTAATGTAGCTAAGAGTTATTTCCTTCTTATCTGGTTGGTCCCACATTTGACCAACCATGTGTGTTTTCAGCTACTTCAGTACTTGTGTGTAATGTGTTCCTATGGTTGGATGGCTGATAATCTGTACAAACCTTGTAGTCTCTTTATAAAATTCATTTCCAACAGATTGTCGCAATGAAATGTTGTCTAATGCATGTCATTATCATGATTTATAAAAATCTTTAATGTATGAAATTGAATTTATTCTTGACCATTTGCTAATGTTAATTGATGTGTTCAGTCCTAACAAGATACTTCTTTCCAAAGTTTGCTCATTAATGTACATGAGTCATGTTTACTAGGGCTGGCTAAAAAGATTGATAATCGGAAATATCCTCAATGGGGAAAAAGATTAAAGATTATTGATATGAAAACTGCGTCATGAGTAATATCACACATTAACCATGTGAACTATTGTGATGAGGTAAAGTTTGAATTTACTCAGGCAATACACAAAGTTAGGTATTCATAGGCTGAGAAAAGCAAGATTTATGGATGTCAACTTCTTTATTGTGAAAAACATGACGTTTCAGAGTGTATGCTTGTTCCTTAACTGATGAAAGAGCAAGCATACACTCTGAAACGTCGTGCTATTCACAATAACGAAGTTGACATCCATAACACTTGCTTTTCTCATGCATTACATTGATTTGATTTGATTCATAGGCTGGTTCTAAATTATATTCAGCACCGTGTTTTATAAGTACTCCAAGCACAGACTTTTAGGTGGGGGGGGGATTTTTGCTCAAGGTTACTTCTCTGATATGTATCGTTAATAGATAAAAATTTCGTAAACGATTATCGAACTATGTTTATAGCCAGCCCCAATGTTCATACTCTGTAAATGTGACAAATTCTGTTTTGTTTAGCTGAAATATTTACTTCAGATAAATTTAAAATAACTGCCTTGTATATAGCTCTTTGAAGTCACGTTTTGGCTCAATACGAACCGTAAAATACTTTGAGTAGAAGCAAACACCTATTGGGATTTAGTTAGAGTATTTGACATGTTTGAAGACTAGATGTCCAAATGTGCAGATACATTTGTTTAGTCTCTGTTTGTTTAACTTCCACTATGTCCACATGTTACGTATAATTGAATTTGTTAGAAAGTGTTATGTAGTATAACTTGTTTGTGTTATGTGTCACCTTTACTTCCAGAAAAAGGTATTGCTGTTTAATTTCTACGTGTTAAAGGAATGTTGAAATGTATACCTTTGACTGGTCGAGTCTCATGTAACAAAGATCTGGGTCTATATTGTAAGATGGTCTAGATACAATAACAAACAGGACTAGGTTGGATTAAGCCAGCTCGCAGTGTAGGCTGGTCTATGCAAACAGAGCTTCTCAGTCAGTTAATGTTCTAGCATTTGCTTTGGAGGGCTCAGTGGCTTCTACAAAGTTATGGAAGCTTAAAAGTGTTATTCACCGAGGACCAGCTATTCTAATCAACACAGTTAAAAAGGGTGTTGTTTGAGAACCAAAAAACTTAAGTGTTTACTCTGGAATGTTATCTTGTCTGGTTTCCTAATCAGTTGAGCAAAGAGTGTTTGTTGTAGAGAACAAAACAAGTGGGTGTTTCAACATTTATCCATGTTTAGATTAAGTTTATGGAGACAGGTCTTTGATTTGAACACTCAAGTAGATTTCTTTCATGTTTTCATTTTCTGTGTTAACAGAAGTAGCAGTCAGCAATGTTTAGGGAAATATTTTGATAGCTCAAAGCACAGATGAACAAATCTTAAGTAAATATGATCTAACTGAGAGTAATACCATATCATGCCTTCATTTCCGTTTATTGTCAGCATTGGGTATATTGGAGACGCCATGGACCTATTTTGTTTCATTGGTTTTCTAGCGCTTTATTAATAAATACTTGTAAGGAATTTGATCATGTTGATATCCTATGTCAGTGTTAAAATTTAGGAATGAAAATCAAATTTGCTATAGAGTTGCATCCCTTTGACAGTACAGAAACATATGATTGTGTTGCTATGTTAGTCAGCACCATACTTGCACTCATGGGTTTCACCAAAGAGTAAGTGTCTGATATTTCTAATACCCCAATATAAAGGGAATACTGTTCAAAGCATGCACTAAACCTTTTTCACTCAGCTGCTCATAGTTCTTATGTTAAAATAGTTAAGATAAGATAAGATAAACTTTATTGTCCAGCAAGGGAAATTTGTTTTGCATTCAAAGAGCCAATACAAGCATATAACAACAAATAATTTAAAGTATATGGTTAGGGATCTGAACTATGCCTGCTTTAAGTGCAAACAACTTGAGGACCCCAAGTCCCCCATAAGGTTTGACTACTGCCGGTTCAATTGATTTTCAATGGGGATGGTTCTAAGAAAGTTGTTTTCTTTTGTCACATTCAGTATGTTACCATTGTTTTGATTATTTTGATTCACTTTGATTGAGTTCAGTACTTGATTGCCAGATGCAGTGATGAAGAGATACTAGTAAATCCTATTATTCTGATGCCATATTTCATTTTGGATTTTAATGATTCATCAATGTCTGTTTTCAGGGGAAAGTACCACAAATTGAAGTATGGGACCGACCTGAACCAAGATGACATGAAACCTCCAAGCTTTGATAAGAAAACTGATCGTAAGTCAAATTTTAACCGAAACATATCATTAAATTGCTTTGCAAAATATATTGTAGTAGCCATAAATTCTTTTTCAGAAGAGGTCCTCCTTGGGGTACTTATAAGCATTTTTATGTCCATTAATAATTCCTATGACAGTTGTAATTATATTTTGAATAAAATGTTTACAAAGCAAAAAAAATGTTTTTGTCTTGTTCGACCACCCCTGCAGGCCCCGGGGGACCCCACAGCCAAGAGAAGGTAACTCTAACTTTCAACCTCGTAACTCACTTTCCATGCTGTCATTCACATGGTGAAGACGTGCGTGCTGTCCTGTAACTTTTCCAAGTTGAATTTCTAGTAAACAAAGATAAAGATGAGTGAGAAAGAAACAAATACTGTATGTATGGTTCTTTTCTATTAGTAAGGGTGAGCTGCAGTGTCTGGATAACAAGGTCACAACCTGCACATCAATTTGCTGGAATTGACAGCAGTCAGGTTGGTGTTAGAGCCTGCAAGCTGGGACTCAAATTACTTTTACGTCCAGACATTCTCACTCTGAACAGGGCACCACTCCTGAATCCTCGGATTCATTGGGTTGCTTGGCCTCTGTCGGGTCTAACCTCTGAACACCTGTTCAGTATGTGAATATGTGGGGCGTGCTGATGTGCAGGTAGGGGGATTTCAGGAACCTTATTCCGCATATTTTGTACGGATATTAGAGTTACTTTATCCCGTTTTGGAAGAGAGCCTTATGGCCTCCACCATTGGCAGGTACTCCATGGCTATTTCAGATTTCACACCCCATTCAGTGGTGCTCTGCCTAGGCAGCACCTTCTCGTACAGCGCTTCGTAGCTGGCATGAACAGGGTTCTTCTGGCTCAGCGGCGACCCAGCCCACCTTGAAAATTGCCAGTTGTCCTCAATTGGCTGTCTAGCCCTGACTTTTCAAGTCTATCGTTTATTTCTGAAATGGAAAAAGGCTTTTTATATGGTGAGCTCCGGTAGAAGGGTCAGGGACATCAATGTGATATCCACTGACCCGGCACTGACAGTGTTTCCATTACCAAATTAATACACATTCTAAGGATCGTGCTCGGTGCGGTCTTTCAGTTCTCTCCTGTGGAGAGTGTCCTGCCACCCTGACCAAGTGAGTAATTGGTCATTGGTGTCTGTTCTGTGTTCAATGTCTATATGGTTCATATCACTAGATCGTATAGCCTTACCACCCTTTTTGGGTCTGTTCGGTTTTGGGTGTACATATGTCCCTTACATCATCTTTACCTAAAGGCAGGAGAGGGCAGGTTGTGAACGCTATAACAAGTTAAATGCTATTAACACATCTTACGACGGAACTGGGAACGAACCCCTCGGGTCACTGTTTGGCATGCCTCTCTTCAAGCTGCATGTCACTTGACGAGGTAAGTGTAATAGTGAGCAGAATCTAGTTTGGCTTTTCGCTATTCCCAGGATTTTTGTACGCTAATAGCTTTAGCTTCGGTATTTGGGGCTGTGTTAATCAGCCCTTTTAGTGATGGGGTTTACACTTACCCTCCTTGCGCCGGGAGCATTTGGTGGGGGTGATTTATCCTGTTTGCACTCGTTCCATTTCTTCAGTTTTTGGTGGGGCTAATAATTTCTCTGGGTTTTATTGAGGCCCCAGCATAACCCTATTCCAAAAAGGAGGGGTGCCTTTGAGCCATTAGTCCGCAGTAAGTTATTAGCTCGGTAATTGTTCGACCCCTGATCCTGACTCGTGTCCTCGCCTAATCGGCGTAGGATGTCACGTGACTGGGTGCGATCTTAATCTATTTTTAGATTGGAGAATTCCACTTTAATTGGGATTTGTTTTTGCCAGACTGAATGCCACTCCCCACTCTATTCTTTGGGAGTCTGTCTTATGCTTATAAGTACACCAAGAAGGCCCTCTTCTGAAAAAGAATCAAACCGACCTGCAGAGGTTGCTGATTCTTTGAAGAGAGTCCTCGTTGGGGTAGGGCCACCCACCTCCCCACATTCTGTCTGATCACGATGAGCATTGAAAGTGAGTTACGAGGTTGAAGGTTAGAGTTACCCTTTCTTGGCATTGGGGTCCCGCAGGTCCTGCAGGGGTGGTAGAACAAGACAAAAACAAGTTTTTTGTTTTGTAAATATTTTATTCAAAATATGGTTACAATGGTTACACGGAAATTCTGATACAAATTCAGACACCTTGTCCTCATAATTTGAAGGTTTAACCCTGTCAGCAAGATGACATGGTAATGATAATGATGTCATCTATGGGATGACTCCACACCCTGCCACATACTTCCCTGTTAACAGAAGGCTCGTCCAGTACAGGAGAGTACTGAGACTTATTTTGTTCCAAACTCTGCTACATAATATTTAACTGAAGATGTAACAACATTATGTGTCTGTACCACCAGTAAGTGATCTGAAAGTTTTTTCCAATGTCAAATAGAAATGAAACAGCAGAGTTAGCATTGGTTCAGACTTGATTCCAGTTTTGAGTTTTCCACAAGGTCAACGTTTGGGAAGGACAGGCTGAGATAATAGCTTCGTACATTGGATAAGTAATTTCATTTTCAAATTAAACTTAAATGAAGGAATTTGGTGCTAAGTATTGATACATGAACAATGAAATGGACTCATGGGTATTGTTATCAAAGTTGTCTTTGATAGTCAAACTAACCATAATTCATTGTTTAAATTCTAATCCTTCTTTGCAGAAGATGTAATAGATGGTGAATCACTTCTAGCCTCTGGTCCAAACAGCACAGCATCATGGAGACAAGGGAGACAACTCCTTCGACAGTAAGTAGCTAGTTTACACATATTCCTCTTATGAACTGTATGTGATAGTGTTAAAATGTTAAGAAACTCAATAAAAAGACCATGCATGTGTCTTGAGAATTGACATATTTCTTGTCAGCCTCATTTCATCCCAGTAACAATAGCTCCCATATGATGTATGCTTGGTGTGAGAAGTAAATTAATTATCCCCCGCAACGCGTGCGTCCGTGCACATTTGTCTTTTCCGGAGCAGAACTCTAAAACCGTTTAATATTTCTTCACCAAACTTGGCACATAGATAGATCTGGTGGTGTACTGGTGCCTTTTGGTAGTTTTGGAATTCTGGATAAAATATTTTTGGCTTTTCCATGGCAACAAGTTTGACATAGACTGAAATTGGTGATAGTGCTCCTTTCTGGAGCAGAACTTTAAAAACCTTTCAATACTCTCCTTCCACTTTTCTATATACACACCTAAATATTTGACATAATCATAACTCGTAGACATAATAATCATGAAGAGTATTTTGCCATTGCGGACGATATTGATGACTTTGTCTTCTTGTTGATTGGGTGGTCGGTTTCGTTGACTGTGTGTCACTATACACAGGTGGTCAGGAATGTTTCCCATTGGTTTATCTGACTCTGGGCCTCCATGAACTGCTTCCATGGTGAAGTGCCTAGAGTGTCTCTCTCTCGATAGGATGGACCGCCTCCGTGGTGTAGTGGTAAGAGCGTCTGCCCGGATTGCGGAAGGTCGCGGGTTCGATCCCCGACCGCTTCATACCAAAAGACGTTAAAATATGGTACTTGTTGGTCTCTGCCTGGCGTTCAGCATTAATGGGTACAACAAGGACTGGTCGGCTCGGAGTCAGTATAATGTGTCTGAGTGGGGTATTCATGCTTCACTGCGGCGTGGTATCTCAGTGGGCTAGCACTATAAAACCAGCTTCAGTCTGGGCTAGTACAAGCAGCCGCACATACACATACACACGCATGCACGTCGTCATATGAGCTAAATATTCTCAAGCACGACGTTAAACCCAATTTCACCTCACCTCACCTCTTGATAGGATGAAATGTGTGATTCAGTAGCCTGTTCACATCATACCAATAGACATGAAAGGCACTCAGTATTAACCCTTTCAACACCGCAGGCCGCTAAAGCGGCCACAACGTTATGAGTCCCCAGACACCGGAGGCCGATTAAGCGGCCAGGCAGTAGTCGCGTCAAAATGAGACATAATTTTAGGAACCTACCTGATTCAGTGTTCCCGTTCTCCGGTAATTACCGGATTTTTACCGATAAAAATTGTGAAGATCCGTATTTTCAACTGTCACGGTAGCTGCCGCCGTAAATTTTGTATTGCTTAAAGTTGCCATTTATCGGCAGATTTAATAAACTTGCAGATAACATCTTTGTTTATTCTTTGTTCTCTTCAGATCATTATGCAAACGATATTGAAAACTAGGGTGGCAATCCCACATCTAAATATAGACTATATAGTTTTTTCACAGTTGTAAGAAGCGCATTTTATTGATAAAGATTGGTTTCTAATGACGCTTTTTCGCCACAGTCTGCTATAAGGGTCGAATTGGTCAAAATCTGACACGGACCTAAAGCAGCCAATCATATTACGGCAATGGATTCCGGCCCCTCAGAAAAACCAAAACTTTTAGATTTAGACAGAAGTTTTGGGTAAAATAATGCTATTCTGAACATATTAAGGAAGAAATCTCTACCTATAACGTAAATTATGGAACTTTTGGACGATCGTGCTAGGTTATGACCTGTGACAAATATGCTTCATGTATATATTTTAGCATTAAACATCGTGGTCCGAATTGAAGATTGAGGCGTAGAGCCGAGATGTCAGTTGTCAGTGACTTGACTTACATTACATGATCGCACAAAACATGGAAAATAGTAATTTTATATGTACAACTTTTATGAATGTTGTTGATTTTATTCATTAGTTTATTCAATTTATTTAATGAATTCCTCGAAACATGGTTACTTTGCTCTTTGACAATGTTATTGTGGACCCGCCGTCAAGCATGTGTCCGAGAATCGTTGTTTTCAACTCGTGAAATGCAGGTTGAAATTCACCACAGGTATATAAACACTAATTATTTGCACATTTCACAGTCATTTAGATAGCTTAATGACATTCTGAACACATTTATCGAATTTAGTTGGACCGCTTTCATTTCCTGATTGTGACAAAAAATACGAGACTAACGGCTATATATGCCAAATGGCTAATAATACTTTTGTCAGGTCTAATGAGCATTCTCGAAAAACAAGCAACTCGTCAGACGGCAGACTAATTTTCAACACATTTACAGAATTATTAGTATATATTGAAAACAATGATTATTGATTAATTTGTCTCTCCGATGAAAAACTAGTTCAGCCGGAATTTTCAGACCCATCGTCGGCATAAGTTACCGACCGGTAATTTTCAAAACCATTTCGGAACACGATCATAAAAAAGCGTCATTAGAAACCAATCTTTATCCAATAAAATCGCTTCTTACAACTGTGAAAATACTCTTGGCAAGGTCACAGTGATATTGTTGATGTTCAGAGCTTTCGAACGATGCCCGACATCGAACGATTCAGCCCAGATGTTATTCATACTGAAGCTTCGAAAACGGAGGTATTTTCGTTGTTATGTCATGTTACCGAAAGCGGAAAGCCACAGATATCGGAAATAGGCGACCATACATATTATTTAAGAAATCTTTTATAATAATTTTCTGATGACGTAAAATGAAAATATAAAAGAAAAAGGCACGGGCATGTTATGACATGTCACAAATGGAAAAAAATCGCCATAGTTTTTGCTTCTTTCGTGGTTTATCTGGACGTTATAAATGTAAGCTTGCATTTTCATTCAAAAATACATTTATTTAAGTTGTATTATTTGAATAATATTATAAAAATAAACTTCATATTTATCAACAGTAGGATTAGATCTTTTAAATGGTGTATGGGATGTAGTAGCAATAACGTTTTGCAAGCTTATAATTTCCTTCATAAACATAGGCTTCATCTATGACCTCAGGGTCTCTGGGAACTCGGTGTCATGGCAGTAAATGCCTCTGGTTGACTGGTGTTGAAAGAGTTAAGGGGATAAAACACTGGCTTTCTCTGAGTCAATATATTATGTCTAAATGGGACATCCATGTTAAACTGTGCCATTGTTTCTCAGTTAGTTAGCACTATACAACCAGCGTAGTCAAGACTAGTCCAAGCAGAAACGCTCTCAAATTCTATCAACACTTCAGATTTACTCATGTTGTGACTTTTTTCAGGTATCTGCAAGAAATTGGTTACACAGATACAATCATTGATGTACGGTCAGCTAGGGTGCGGTCATTGCTAGGATTACAGCCCCACACAGAGAATGAAGCAGAGGGGGCACAACCAGCTCTGGTCAATGGGGAACAGAGTCCAGGAAAAGGGGGAGTTGCTGCAGGCAAGAGGTCAGTATTGTTTACATGGATCCTGTTACTTCTATGCAAAGTACTCCAACTGAATCTGGGGCATAGATATTCTATTTTACTAATTGTAATAGGCTTTAATAGGGTAATAGTTTGTTACTTCATATGGAAAGTATGTGAAACTGTCATTAATGTTGAATGTGCATCCCTTGAATTTTTTTGTTTAGAAATGATGAATTTTGCTGACTATATTTTGTGTACCTACAATTGCTGTTGCAGAGTAGGGACAAAGAGAGTTGGTGGAGCAGTCCCTATTGAGGGAACTTTGATTGATACTGAGGCCGCTGTGATGACAACGTTTGATTTTTTAGCTAATGAGAATGTTGTGGATGATGATGAGGACAATCTAAGGTAAGAAACATTTTATCCTTGCTCATGGAGTGCTGTTTAATCACTAGGTTGTCTTGACAAGTTCGAGTATACAATGAAATCCTGGTAATGCAACTGCATAGTTCCTAATAAAAATCTTGAATGACAGTCATGATTAACAATTTGGGATTAAAAACTCATCTTTGTCCGCTTTGTCTACATGTTGCCTTTACAAACGGTAATTGTCTGAACACAAGCTGTTTATGAACTTGTCAAGACCAAAGGAAGTTAAACTGCAGTAATATAACAGGAATATTGCTATCTCTGATTCCCCTGCTTTCATTATAATTTACTTTCTGCACCAGGTGCAGCCAAGTGAATTCTTCAGGTTGCACCATCAAAATGTTGGCTGCACCATGTTATGAACAGTCTAGGAGGAATATTAATGGCCATTAATATATATTATTAATATATTTAAGAATTGAATGTCAGTTTGTGTGTTTGCACTGAAAAATGAACGATGTCAAAGCGGTGTTCAAACTTCGTGTGAACGAAGCGAGAAACTCGCCGAGTTCACACGAGAGTTTGAACAACGCTTTGACATCGTTCATTTTTCAGTGCAAACACAATAAACTGACATTCAATTCTTATAATTTCGTACTTTGAAGTTTACACATCGTTTTCACCCTCTTCTACTTGATCAGTGTTTACAGTGATGTACAGCGATAATGTCTATACTTGGCGATATTTTACACATGTATCCCAACCCTTGAATAAATAGTTCTCAAAGTTTTCCTTAAAATATTAACAACAAATTCGTCATTAGGTTTGAAACTACTTTAATAAGTATAACATCAATAAAATTATCAAACAGAAACAAATATCAATATCAAGTTTAACAAACTGTCATTGTAGCTTTACACTCTGGACGATTCGTTTGACGGCGTAATGATACACTGACCGACTTCAGTTGTCTTAAGGAGGTGGCATTTAATTGGAAGCAGATCTCGTTGTTGAATTCTATTTATTTGTGGTTGTTTATCGTGAAATTTATGGAGCAGTTGTTAAACACACCACGGGGCAGAAAACCGCGAAGACGAAGCCGCGCAAACTGCGCAGAGATTGAACTCTTGTGAAAGCGAGCAATTTTCGGATATTGGAAATCCGTTGGGTAGTGAAGTGACATTGCCGAAATTGCCGTAAATTGGGCTGACTTGAAACGGTCGCTGAAATTGGCATCACCGCATGCGGCAAGGTCATTGGGGTTCCTTTGAAACCCAAGCCGAATTTTGAAAGTTAGGGCACTTGTCGGACGCGTTGTCAGTGAGATTTTGCAAAACTGTGCTCAGTTGGTGTTTTGTCATTGAAATGGACCTATTGTAGGAACGAATACTGGCAGCCGTTCCTGTGGCCAGATAAATACATTATGTGCCTTAATTCAACGTTTGCATCAGCAAGTGCCTGGATGGCTGTTGCTCGACACAGTGTAGGGTGTATCTGCGACTGAGGCCACATTCCTTTGACACTGTTCGATTATTTGACCCAGTTGGCGCTCGGACATGGGTTTTCCGAATACCAAACTGGGTCATTAAGCGTGGCATTTGATTTTGGAATGCAGAATAACTTGTCTGCTTGTGGTGGCAATTTGGAAATCAACAATTTCAGATTAGCAACAGGGCATCGCGATGTATCGGACGCGTACATACGTTTATCAGGAGTGTTGTTCAACGGATCATGGAGCCCTCCCTGAGAAGTTTTCTGAATGGTCTCGTGAGTAATAGCCGCGTACTCCCTACCCTCATCATCAACACGAAATTCAAACGAATCCGGCTTTAGTACAAATAATTGTTATTTTGTTTACGTGAAGCTGGACAGAGAGTATCCTGGGAAAACCCAGAAAGTAGTTCCGGCAAAAGTTCACATGACCTAGATCGGCTGGAAAACGTTCACACACGTATGAACGATTTGAAGGGTTCAAGAGATATGAACCTTGAATTTTAGATCACATGACCGCTCTCTCAACCAACCAACGTTCGGGAATCTGTGTAAACTTCAAAGCACGAAATTATAATATAATATTATATATACAGTGGAAACCTGATAAGTAAAATTTCAAGGGACTCGCCAAAATTGTTTACTTATCAGGTAGTTTACTTATCCAAACTTATAAAAACCTGCAAATGACAACCATATGCATGTATATGTATGCATATGTAACAATGAACAACTTATCAGGGCTGGCAGTGTATTGTCAACTACTTGACGCCAGTGAGCTGTAAGTAGGATGTTTGTTTGACTGGAGACTGACACGACTGCCCCTCATGTCGGATTATGTGGTGATCGCTAATTTAGTTATCCAGTATCTTTTGTTAAGTAATTTACTTCCAGGGACCGTGAGAAGACGTTTAGTTAAGCGGTATTGTTTACCTATCCGAGTTTAGTTAACCAGACTCTAATAGTGATAATTAATGAAGAAATTTGCCGGGACCAAAGAATAGTGTTTACTTATCAGGTCTGTTTAGTTAAGCGGTCTTTACTTAGGCAGTTCCCACTGTATTATTAATTAATAAGGAAAAATATGTATGTTTGAAGGAATATTTTGAAAGATGGTTGCTTTTAGCTGATATTTTCCTTGATAATTTTTTATCCACTTGAATACAGACAAAAAATCAACTTGTCAACCACTAAAAGTGCTATATTACACAGTGATCTCTGACTTTCCATGAAATGTCACAAGATAGTATGTGGTCTACATTGCTGATTTATAGGCATGAAATCAGACTTACATGTTTGGTTTCGGTATTTGATTCGGCTTATAAGCATGAAAGGAAAAGAAATATTTAGTACCAGAAATTACACCAATATAACATCTGCCATGCAGTGGGGTAGCCTAGTGGTTAAAAGTGTTCGCTTGTCACGCCGAAGGCATGGGTTCGATTCCTCACATAGGCACAATGTGTGAAACCCATTTCTGGTGTCCCCCGATCTGATATTGCTGGAATATTGTGAAAAGCAGCATAAACTAAACTCACTCCTCACTCTCTCTGCCATGCACTTATGGTGTAAAATGTTACCTGCACTGTGGGCAACCTGACAATAAGGCATGTTGTGGTTCCGATTATATAACAGCTCTTTAAAATTTAGGGTAGGTAGGTAGGAATATTTTTTATTTATTTTTTTAGAAGTAAAGTACAAACTAATAACACATTTATCAATGTGTAATTGTTTATTTAATCAAGCTTGCCGCCATCATGTCATCTTTTTTATCAGAATGACCGATGTCCGTCGATGTCGGGGAAGAACAATGGTACCTGAACGCTTATTTTATTTATACCGCTTCAAAAAAATAGGGTCGGCACCAGAATTCAAGAGTCGGTTAGGCCTAAAAGTAACCTGTACTTCAGGTACTTCACCTGCACTGGTCCAGCTTGGATACAGTGAAATCCATCCCTGTATACTATCAGTTGTGTGTGTGCCTGAACAATCTGATTTAGTGTTATGACCCATTGGAATCTTCAAAGTGTTGAGTAAGAGGAACAGGAAGCCAAACCCTGCTGATCTGAACTGTCCTACTTTCAGTGATGAAAATGAAGATGGTGGGTCTGCAGATGATGAATCAGAAGAAAGGTTAGAAAGAAAAGGTCACAAGATCAAGGTAAGTCTCATGCATTTTGCTCAGCTAAAGGCAGTGCGATTATTCTATGTAGACCATTTTGTTTCTCTTTATTAGAAGTGATAGCAGTGAATACATTGTTCAAAATGAAGCTTTATAATACCCCTAATGTTGACGGTTAACATACTATTTTTGACTGCAAGGGATCTTAGTTAAGAATCTGATAAATCATGGACCGTTTACTGTGAACAAAAGTCTAAAGGAGCATTCATCAAGGACTCCATTGAATTCTTAACACTGCCACTGTAATAATAAGTAGTACATTTCTGCACTCTTTTTGTAAAGCAGATAAATGGTAAATGTTGTGATGTTGTGCAGCTTGCTACTTACTCCTCTTGATAACAGGATGTACCCCTGGCACCTAGATGTGTCTTGGGAGATGGGATAGTGAAGAGGGTTAGGTTAACTACAGGTAATTATAATGGGGATATCCGTAACTGGTCTCAGTAGTAACACTAACAGGATGTACCCCTGGCACCTAGAAGTGTCTTGGGAGATGGGATAGTGAAGAGGGTTAGGTTAACTACAGGTAATTATAATGGGGATATCCGTAACTGGTCTCAGTAGTAACACTAACAGGATGTACCCCTGGCACCTAGAAGTGTCTTGGGAGATGGGATAGTGAAGAGGGTTAGGTTAACTACAGGTAATTATAATGGGGATATCCGTAACTGGTCTCAGTAGTAACACTAACAGGATGTACCCCTGGCACCTAGAAGTGTCTTGGGAGATGGGATAGTGAAGAGGGTTAGGTTAACTACAGGTAATTATAATGGGGATATCCGTGAAACTGGTCTCAAGTAGTAACACTAACAGGATGTACCCCTGGCACCTAGAAGTGTCTTGGGAGATGGGATAGTGAAGAGGGTTAGGTTAACTACAGGTAATTATAATGGGGATATCGTAACTGGTCTCAGTAGTAACACTAACAGGATGTACCCTGGCACCTAGAAGTGTCTTGGGAGATGGGATAGTGAAGAAGGTTAGGTTAACTACAGGTAATTATAATGGGGATATCCGTAACTGGTCTCAGTAGTAACACTAACAGGATGTACCCCTGGCACCTAGAAGTGTCTTGGGAGTTGGGATAGTGAAGAGGGTTAGGGTTAGGTTAACTACAGGTAGTATTATAATGGGGATATCCTGGCACCTAACTGGTCTCAGTAGTAACACTAACAGGATGTACCCCTGGCACCTAGAAGTGTCTTGGGAGATGGGATAGTGAAGAAGGTTAGGTTAACTACAGGTAATTATATTGGGGATATCCGTAACTGGTCTCAGTAGTAACACTAACAGGGTGTACCCCTGGCACCTAGAAGTGTCTTGGGAGATGGGATAGTGAAGAGGGTTAGGTTAACTACAGGTAATTATATTGGGGATATCCGTCACTAGTCTTAGTAGTAACACTTAAGAGGCTGTACCAGGCTGTTATACACAGAACTCACTTACACATGTAGATGCTGTTTTTTTCAGACCAGCAGTGATGAACAAAAACTAACTGGTTTTTTGTATATGTTATGTTAATCAGATGGTGGGTAATGAAAGCATGGCTGGTATAGAGGACGTCATGGCAGATCCGGAAACAGAGGAGGCACTGGCGGAGTTCGACTTCTTAGTTTCGGAGAGTGGGGAAGGTGCCGGAGAGGCTCGTAGCCATGGTGATGGGACAGAGTGGGGTAAGGTTGACACACATCCACTCACCACCTTGTTCCATTGGTGTTCCATGTCATCATCACTTGTGATATTTGAAATTATTTTTTATTTGAGTTGTTCTTTCTATTATGTTTAGACACACTGATGGTGTTCCTGTAGCCATGAATGTAATACCCAGCCATATCAAAATCCTTGTATTGGTTCAGGCAGTTAATCATGTATGGCTGGGACATGTTATAACTCTGAATGAAATGATTCTTACATATACAGTATTGAGCAGGAGAAATAAAATAATATGCTTTTCCTTGTTATTGATTATATGCTTTATTCATTACTGTGATAAATGCAATCATGCTTTATCTTCAAGTACACTAATTATCTTGCATGGGAGTTTGTACACACACCTTCATGCATGTTATTGCTTGAAATTGTATCAAAGCTGATAGAATCCCTCATGAAAAAAAGTACACAAAAATATCTTTGCCTACCTAAATCAGTCACTATCTTTGAACAGTATCCCTTAGTGCTTCAGTAACACCATCCTGTATCCTTTGGTTGGAAGCAGTCAAGTTTTCCTGTTTTCATCGTGCAATTGTGTGGTCTTGTTTCATCTGTTAGCTCTTTCCTATTCTCTTTCATCTATGGCAGTACTAACACAACATGCTCTCTAGACGTACCAGACAAGCAAAATGACTGGGCAGATTGACATCTGTAGATTGACAGTTGTACGACAGCTGACTGGACAGCAGTTTCAGACCTCCTCCTCCAGAGGAACTAAACAGACAATGTTATCGAGTACCTGGTCAAGACATCTGTTGCAATAGCCCAGGGAACAGAGGCAAATAAGATGATGGATCTGATTTAACATTGTTATATACAGTGTTTGAAGCAACAGTGTCAAAGTGACCTGGTGGAACTGCTCCAGCTGCTTCAGTTCCTAATGCTAAGGTGTGGAGCATCAGCTAAGATAACCTTGTCAGAGATTTTGCTTGTTCTTGGTTCTCATTGCTTGGCAACTCTGCAGTCATCAACTGTCTCGCTTGCATCTAACCAAAGTAGAAGGTAGGGCTAACCTTAGATTACCGCGGTGTCTGAGAGCGTATGACTCCTTGTATTACGCAGAGAAGCGGGAACTGTCCTCTAATGAAGAGTGGGTGGTCGATCAACAACAATTATCTAAGCTTAAAGAGCAGTACAAAAAGGAGAGGAAAGGAAAGAAGAATAGTAAGTGTTTGCCTGTGGTATCACTGCCAATATATATCCATATATATACCAAATGTGTTTTTTTTAATGCATGGATGTTGTCCCTTTATTTGCTTTTAGTTGTAGTAATAGATTGTATGTTAAATGTTGTCCATGTTAGGTCACACATAGCTTGCTTGGTCGTAACTGTTTCCGAACTTACTTTTTCATGTAAACAAACACATGAAATCAAATTGCAATGAAACAAAATCAGTTGTGTAATTTTTTTTATTTGGGGATGAAGAAATACTGGCATTCTGTGAGTAACCATAAGTGATTGCCAATTGAAGATATAGGACAAGCAATTGGTTATAAAGCGATGAAATATATGACATGGGCCCAAGTGTCCATGACTGACTATCAGCTGACGTGAATATACAAACCTCTAACATTAAAGTTGATCAGAGATTAATTCTGATTTAACGGACAGACTTAAACGATATGCAACCTTCATGACAATTGAGTGTGTGTAGATTAGATTGTGGTGTGGCACGGATTCTGCTTGCATTGTCTGAAATGTACTTCACTGCGTTACTGTGACAGGGCCCACCCGATCAACCCTCCAAGCCATGCTTGCTAATCTGGGCACCGAGGAAGATCACCTACCAGCACTGCAGGCTGGAGCTGCTAGTCCTCACACCGAGAATAGTATGCCTGACATAGATGAAATGGGTATGACACCATATGCCAGGGTTACATATGGGGGGACATGCAGATGTACATAACCTACCCTTCATCAGCCAGGTTAATCAATACCTGTGTGTATCATGACAGAAACCTTGTTCATTTCAGGTTTACAATTCTTGTTTCAGTTAGTGTCATTTAACTTTAGCTTTTGGCTGAAAGGTTTTGTTTGGAGACAATTTATTTATCCATTGTGGCTGGTTTTGTGTTTCTTTCCAAAAGAAAATGCATGTTGAAATGTTTTCAGATTTGGGAATATTGCTTTGGGTTACACAGGTTTGATATATTGGAAAGAGGTTGACTAAGGTATCGAGTCGCAAAAAGTTGCAATACTGCTGACGTGGCTGAAAACAATACTTACTAATTAAAGTATTGCCTTTGTGTGTTTACATACATAAGATCACAGTTACAAATCAATTTTGTTGTCACTTCCCCCAAGGGTTGCGTAAATAATAGTCATTAAATTTTGTAAATATAAACTGTTGCAACAAATTCAGATGTGAATAATAAATGTCATCAGTCCAACCAAAACTGAAAATATGTCAAGTGGAAGCAAGGAATAACTGATTTTAGAGACTCTCACAGATATTTAGGGTGCTCCTCGATATGATCAGTAAAATTCCTTCATCAGAGAGTTGAAATAGAATAAACCTATCCTCTCTATTTGTAATATTTAGAAAATCAAAATTGTGCTCAGTAGAATAAAAGACTCTATTTTGTGGAAAAAGCACAAAGCTCCTGTCAAATGAGGTCTTTTTGTTTGGCATGGCTATGTATTTCGAACGTTTTCAGCTTAATTACCTTATTGAGGAAACAATTTTGCAAGCAGTGTTAAGTCAGACTTCCAGATTTGTAATTTCTAGTGTTGCCGGATACAGAAACCAAGTAATATATAATAGAACTCCTAATAATTACATTAACTCAAGTAGTGACTGATAATACCATGTAACATTCTGAGTAGAGTCTCCTGAAGTCTAGATGCAGCAGGTGCTCCCATGTCTAACCCTGGCACACTATATATTGATAACCTGTGTTGTTTGTTTTACTGCTCTCGTTTTTTTGCATGAGTTTTTTAGACAGCACAAGAACTTACCCTTTTGTTTGTGACTGCTTCTGTTTTATTAATTTCAAGACTTGACTTAGGATTGTTGTTGTTTCATTACATGACCTTGAAAACTAAAAGGTGATTCACTTCTTTCATTTGCAGGAAAGGTAGGAATATGAGTGTGCTGTTCATCATGATTTGTCAGTGATTTAGTGTTCAGTATGTGTGTCTGTCACTTGTTTTACTCATACAAATAATCAAATCGAATCTGTAGATAGTGTTTTATTTAATATTGATTTGTAGACTTGTTATTTTATTTCCTTCATGCAATCATTTGGATCAAGTTCATTTCAATGTTCATTGTGATCTGTACCATGATTACATTACAGCACTTGTCCATTTTGTGTTACAACTAGTTGTTCTCCATGAACACTCGGATGTGATTCCCTGTTACCCAACTGTGGAAAACGTTTATGAAATATTATGCCACAAATATGCTTCATGGCATGATCTGAACTTTATCACACTTTATCCAAGACGTTAATTGAAAGTCCTAGACTTTTAAAATTTCTATACTTTTGGGGTAATTAAATTATAATGTATCAGTTCATGAGGAGATTTCTGATGCAATAAGATATGGGTAGTTATTTGTATAGGTTCTTCTTGATGCTGACATACATCAGGAATGTTTAAACGGTTTCATGTTCAGTGAAACTAAAATTATGATAAATCAGGCTACATTTTGAGGAAAATATGTATCAGAAGCTTGTGTTTTTGTATCACAGTCTGAGGCATGTTCAATAATTGCTTGCACGCTAATCGATACTTGAGCAGTGCATGGTTTGAGACTGAAAAGAATGGAATTGTTCACTGTGTTTACTGAACAACATGGAATGATATATCATGAGGTTTGAGCCAATCATACATGATAGGAGAGGTTGAATGTACTTGACTCTAAGGTGACTGAAATTGAACTTGGTGCTTTCCTTAAAGTTAGCTTCCATGAGCTTTTGGCATGATATGAGCATCTGGATAAAGTTCGAGTTTATTGTTATAATAATGCTGTAAATGATAAATTTGGAATTGTATGGCTCACAATTCCTGAATAGAGTAGACACATTAAAATGTACTTTTAAGTGTATCTTGAGGTTTTACTAGGTACATGTACATATAGAAAAAAGTTCAACAACCATAGGATTTTGATTCCACAAGATATGCATGGCTGGTGTGATTTTCAGTTACACCTTCTTCACGATGAAAAATGTTTAACATGTCCGTTTCTCTGAGGAGATTTGCATTGATCCGAAACATGTGTTTGGTTTGAATTCAGTCTGTTCTTCCATGGCCATATTTGATCTGTAAGTGGCCTTAGCAAATCAACACTGTCTTTGGTAAGGTTTAGGGTTTGTCTTCGTTGCCATGTAAGAGGACCTGTTTGTTTTTACTAGGTGTTCAAGGGGGAGGCTCCATGCCATTTCCGTCTGGATCTCGGAAACCGATCCTTGGTATGCCTGGCGCCGACGAGGATGCCCTTGATGCGGCGCTTGGTTTAGGAGAGTTAGCTGGTCTGACTGTCACCAATGAGGCCGACCCTATGAGTTATGATGTAAGCTTACATGATTTTTGGCCTAAATACACAAACACATTCCTGAAACTGTTTCAGAATTAGAGGTAGTCATTATGTAGTTAAAGAATTTGCAAAAATATATAGTGAAAAGTCAAACTGACATCTACCCTAGTTATTATTGTTTTTGATTTGTACACAACACCTGCTATTACCGCAGGTGTATACGTATCCAACGTGGTGAATGTCTACTTCATCACTGACCATCAACCCACATATTTCATTACACTCAATCATTATTTATCACATATTTTATTTTGGTAGATATCAGCACCAAAAGAAGTTTATAGGAAAACATGGAATGCAAAATACACTCTTAGAAGGTGAGGAATGCTATTACCTTGTATAACATTGTATGGACGCACAAAGTTGACAGTGTCAAAATGAGTTTCAGTTAATCCTTTAATAATGAAAAGTTCATTTAATCAGTAACTGAATGCTTGGAATCATGATTTTAATGTTACCTTATGAATTAGTGATGTTTTTTTCTTTATACAACATAACGTGTACTTTTGTCTTAGATTTCTGTTACAGTTTGTTCATTCTTGTAAGTGTAGGTAATAATTGTCAATGTTATTCCATGAAAGTCTAATGCAAATGTTGCTTTTAGCCACTTTCAGACTGGCAGACACAATATGTTTGGCACATCAGTCATGATGAATTTATTGAGAAGCAAATGAACGACACAGGTAGAGAGCGTATTACTGTTGATGTGTGCTCCTCATTTGGTAATGCTTGTTTGCAGTCATTTTGATGGTGTACGGGCACTAGCATTCCACCCGGTTGAGCCAGTGCTAATAACAGCATCTGAGGACCATACACTGAAATTATGGAATCTACAGAAGACAGTACCAGCCAAAAAGTGAGTCACATTGTTGTTCTACCATGACATTTAAGTCAAGTGCAGTATACAAAGTGAAGGAGTGTACTGGTGTCCTTGAGGTATATTCCTGTGGTAATTGAATTGACGGATCCCATAAAACCTGAACTTTTTACCATCAGGGTTATGGCAAGAACCCCATTAATTTCATGCTGAATCTCACGAGATGCCCGTGTAATACTTCACCTGTTAACATGCGTGGATGTACATAGAAGCCTTTATGATGTTCAGCTGAGTGTTTAACCGTAGGGGCGGTGGGGTAGCCTAGTGGTTCAAGCGTTGGCTTGTCACGCCGAAGACCCGGGTTCGATTCCCCACATGGGCACAATGTGTGAAGCCCATTTCTGGTGTCCCCCACCGTGATATTGCTGGAATATTGCCAAAATCGGCGTAAAACTAAAACTCAGTCAGTCAGTCAGTTTAACCGTAGGGATTAGTTGATAATGTGGTACAATTAGCATACAACCAAATAGAAATGATGAAATTTCCATCCATGATGTCCCTTAGCTGTATTTACCGTTCACATATCTGAACTGTCAATCAACATGATGTGCATTGTTGTCATAATTATTCAAATATTGTTTTCAGAGCTGCATCTTTAGATGTTGAGCCCGTGTACACATTTCGAGCCCATGTGGGTCCTGTGCTGTGCCTAGCTGTCAGTGCTACAGGGGAGCAGTGCTTCAGTGGAGGCATGGACTCATCCATTAGGTGTTGGAATATACCAAGCTCTAATATTGATCCTTATGACTCTTTTGGTAGGTTGGATGTTATAATATCTGAGAAATGAGCCTTGATAATGTAGAGTTGTAAGATGCACCTGATGCCTCTGACCACTTTGAATCCTTGACAGACTTGAGATTTTTTAGACTTAAACTCCATTCACTTAATTGGATTCACTATGTTCATTGAATTTGAACTGTGAATGTTCCATTGTGACTGTTGCAGTTATTCTTTGTTCTATTTGTTTTCTTTATCTTCAAATGATTTAATACAATGTGTTTATGTCTTATAACTCTAATGATCACCGTGTTGACTGGCTGCATTTGAAGTTATCTTTCTCCCCAGATCCCAGTGTGTTGTCAGACACTCTGGTGGCTCACCGAGATGCAGTGTGGGGATTGTCTATACACAGCTCTAAGATGCAGCTGTTATCGTGTTCAGCTGACGGGACAGTTAGGTTGTGGAGCCCCGGCAGCAAGTCTCCACTCCTAAACACATTCACTGTTGATACAGGTACTGTCACTCACAGTTCTTTGCCATAAGCAGGTACTCGAAGCAGTGTCCAAGGATGCTAGCCAAAGTTGGTTTGCCTAATGTTATCCAGAGGGATTTTCAGGCTGTGTAGGTGTTCCTCCTGTCTTGTCATTATCCCCCGCAACGCATTATGCAGAGGGGCGGGGGTGGGGGTGGTGGTATTAAAATGGACTCCGTCTGTGCGTCGCCCGTGCACATAACTCAAAAACGTTCAATATTTCTTCACCAAACTTGGCACATAGTTAGATCTGGTGGTCTACTTGTGCCTTTTGGTAGTTTTGGACTTTTGAATAAAATATTTCTTGCATTTCCATGGCAACAAGTTCGACTTAGACTGAAATTGGTGCTAGTACACTTTTCTGGAGCAGAACTCTAAAACCGTGCAATGTTTCTTCACCAAACTTGGCACATAGATAGATCTGGTGGTGAACTGGTGCCTTTTGGTAGTTTTAGATTTCTGAATAAAATATTTTTTTGCGTTTCCATGGCAACAAGTTTGACTTTGACTGAAATTGGTGGTAGTGCTCTTTTCCGGAGCAGAACTTTAAAAACTGTTCCCTATTTCCTCACCAAAAGTGGTACATAGATAGGTCTGGTGGGGTACTGGTGCCTTTTGGTAGTTTTGGATTTCAGAATGAAATGTTTTTGTCGTTTCCATGGCAACAAGTTTCACTTTGACTGAAATTAGTGGTAGTACTCTTTTCCGGAGCAGAGCTTAAAAACTGTTCACTGTTTCATCACCAAATTTCATACATAGGTAGGTCTAGTGATGAATTGGTGCCTTTTGGTAGTTTTGGATTTCTGAATAAAATATTTTTGGCATTTCCATGGCAACAAGTTTCACTTTGACTGAAATTGGTGGTAGTACTCTTTCCAGAGCAGAACTTAAAAACTGTTCACTGTTTCAGTGGAAAACCTTTCAGTACTCTCTTTCCACTTATCTATATACACGCCAACAAATTTGACATAATCATAACTCGTAGACATATTCATGAAGAGTATTTTGCCATTGCGGGGATATTGATGACTTGCCTTCTTGTTAAAGAGTTTCTATGACTGTGATGTTGATGTCATTCATATGTCATACATGGTGGCTCCACAAAATACTTGATGACAAGTATTATGTATTCTCATAAAGCCTGATACTCTTTATATGCATGTAAAAGTTGGATTAAGTTTCTCTGCTGATGAAAGGGAATATAGTAGTCCTGAAATGTGTATGTGTAATGAAGCAGTTATGCGAGGGAGTTATGAGAGATAATTGATTCAGCCTTAGAAATTACCAGCTCAGTATGCTGCAAAGTTAATTTTTTTCAGGTATGTATGTAGATTTGGGTTTAGAATTGCTACCCATCAACCTGTCCTTGTTGTATGTAGCTGAGTAAGTTGACAGATGTCATTGTATCGTACTGCTTTGGACCTGGCTCTTATCTATCAGTGTGTTTTTTTCTGATTTAGACTTGGTTATAATAACCTGATGTTTTATTGGTGGAATTTATTGCTGAAGTCAGGATTTAGCAGGAAACAAACGTTATGTTTCGAGAAAAGATCTGGTTACATAATGCAATATGTTTTATGTTTTCAGCAGAAGAGGGAGCACCTACCTCTGTAGATTTTGTGCGTTGTGATCCCAGTCGGATGGTGGCTAGCTATACGTCCTCTAATACCTATGTATTTGACATAGAGACTGGAAAACAGGTTCTCAAATTAGAAACAAAAATAAATTCAGGTAAGGACATCATTGAAAATAAGATTATCCACTGAATTTGAACATTAGTTGAACATTCTGAAATATCATGTTGTTAATGTACCTACAGTAACTAAGCAACTTAGATTGTTTTAAGATGTAAAGCTCCGTCCGTCCGAGATAATGGGGACAGATTTTCTTAATAACCGTTGTAGATATGGAAACCAAATTGGTATGTGTTTTCAGGACATGAATTCCTTGATGGAGTTTGAAAACGGAAACCGTGTTACAATTTGTTACAGAGTTATGGCCCTTGTCATGTGTTTCTTGACTTAGTGCATGTTATCCCTAATGGGGACAGATTTTCACAGAAACCGTTTCTCATTCAACAGCATTTTTGTGGCTATTTGTAGGAAGAATGAATAGTTGTCAAAATAGGAACAGAACATTGTAGCGGGGATATTGATTGACCTTGTCTTCTTGTTCAAGCCTTTTATTCTTTTCAAAGCAGGTTTTGTCATGTATAGTAAGATCCTTTGTAAAGATCAGACATGGTAAAAAGTACATCTCAAATATCAATGATGTAGTCAAAAACAATGCTGACATATCTATGCATATAAGTCCAAAACTATTACATTTTCAAAAGAAAAATAATCTAGCAATTAGAATTTGACTGATTGTAATCATACATATCATTTTAATCCTATTCAACAAAATTCCGACCATGGTGTTATATACACATATAACTGATTCTCTGCTGTTTCAGATTCTAGCGGAAGCAATCAAATCAACAGGGTGGTAAACCATCCTACACTTCCACTGACCATAACAGCACATGAAGATAGGCACATTAGGTTCTTTGACAATAACACAGGTGAGAAAGTAACATCATTGTAAAGCCAGAAGTTTCTATGTTGACACATACATTGCTCTGAAATACCGTCAGTTCTGTGATGTCCTGAAACAGTGTGTGATGTCATAAGCTTGTATGATGGCTGAACAGCTGAACAACCATAGGATTTTGATTCCACAAGATATGCATGGCTGGTGTGATTTTCAGTTACACCTTCTTTCACGATGAAAATTTTTAACATGTCCGTTTCTCTGAGGAGATTTGCATTGATCCCAAAACATGTGTTTGGTTTGAATTCAGTCTGTTCTTCCATGGCCATATTTGATCTGTAAGTGGCCTTAGCAAATCAACACTGTTCTTTGGTAAGGTTTAGGGTTTGTCTTCGCTTGCCATGTAAGAGGACCTGTTTGTTTTACTAGGTGTTCAAGGGGGGAGGCTCCATGCCATTTCCGCCTGGATCTCGAAACCGATCCTTGGTATGCCTGGTAGCCCGACGAGGATGCCCTTGATCTTGTGGCGCTTGGTTTAGGAGAGTTAGCTGGTCTGACTGTCACCAATGAGGCCGACCCTATGAGTTATGATGTAAGCTTACATGATTTTTGGCCTAAGTACACAAACACATTCCTGAAACTGTTTCAGAATTAGAGGTAGTCATTATGTAGTTAAAGAATTTGCAAAAATATATAGTGAAAAGTCAAACTGACATCTGCCCTGGTTATTATTTGATTTGTACACAACACCTGCTATTACCACAGGTGTATACGTATCCAACGTGGTGAATGTCTACTTCATCACTGACCATCAACCCACATATTTCATTACACTCAATCATTATTTATCACATATTTTATTTTGGTAGATATCAGCACCAAAAGAAGTTTATAGGAAAACATGGAATGCAAAATACACTCTTAGAAGGTGAGGAATGCTATTACCTTGTATAACATTGTAAGGACGCACAAAGTTGACAGTGTCAAAATGAGTTTCAGTTAATCCTTTAATAATGAAGAGTTCATTTAATCAGTAACTGAATGCTTGGAATCATGATTTTAATGTTACCTTATGAATTAGTGATGTTTTTTTCTTTATAGAACATAACGTGTACTTTTGTCTTAGATTTCTGTTACAGTTTGTTCATTCTTGTAAGTTTAGGTAATAATTGTCAATGTTATTCCATGAAAGTCTACTGCAAATGTTGCTTTTAGCCACTTTCAGACTGGCAGACACAATATGTTTGGCACATCAGTCATGATGAATTTATTGACAAGCAAATGAACGACACAGGGAGAGCGTATTACTGTTGATGTGTGCTCCTCATTTGGTAATGCTTGTTTGCAGTCATTTTGATGGTGTACGGGCACTAGCATTCCACCCGGTTGAGCCAGTGCTAATAACAGCATCTGAGGACCATACACTGAAATTATGGAATCTACAGAAGACAGTACCAGCCAAAAAGTGAGTCACATTGTTGTTCTACCATGACATTTAAGTCAAGTGCAGTATACAAAGTGAAGGAGTGTACTGGTGTCCTTGAGGTATATTCCTGTGGTAATTGAATTGACGGATCCCATAAAACCTGAACTTTTTACCATCAGGGTTATGGCAAGAACCCCATTAATTTCATGCTGAATCTCACGAGATGCCCGTGTAATACTTCACCTGTTAACATGCGTGGATGTACATAGAAGCCTTTATGATGTTCAGCTGAGTGTTTAACCGTAGAGGGCAATTGTGGGGTAGCCTAGTGGTTCAAGCGTTGGCTTGTCACGCCGAAGACCCGGGTTCGATTCCCCACATGGGCACAATGTGTGAAGCCCATTTCTGGTGTCCCCCACCGTGATATTGCTGGAATATTGCCAAAATCGGCGTAAAACTAAACTCAGTCAGTCAGTCAGTTTAACCGTAGGGATTAGTTGATAATGTGGTACAATTAGCATACAACCAAATAGAAATGATGAAATTTCCATCCATGATGTCCCTTAGCTGTATTTACCGTTCACATATCTGAACTGTCAATCAACATGATGTGCATTGTTTTCATAATTATTCAAATATTGTTTTCAGAGCTGCATCTTTAGATGTTGAGCCCGTGTACACATTTCGAGCCCATGTGGGTCCTGTGCTGTGCCTAGCTGTCAGTGCTACAGGGGAGCAGTGCTTCAGTGGAGGCATGGACTCATCCATTAGGTGTTGGAATATACCAAGCTCTAATATTGATCCTTATGACTCTTTTGGTAGGTTGGATGTTATAATATCTGAGAAATGAGCCTTGATAATGTAGAGTTGTAAGATGCACCTGATGCCTCTGACCACTTTGAATCCTTGACAGACTTGAGATTTTTTAGACTTAAACTCCATTCACTTAATTGGATTCACTATGTTCATTGAATTTGAACTGTGAATGTTCCATTGTGACTGTTGCAGTTATTCTTTGTTCTATTTGTTTTCTTTATCTTCAAATGATTTAATACAATGTGTTTATGTCTTATAACTCTAATGATCACCGTGTTGACTGGCTGCATTTGAAGTTATCTTTCTCCCCAGATCCCAGTGTGTTGTCAGACACTCTGGTGGCTCACCGAGATGCAGTGTGGGGATTGTCTATACACAGCTCTAAGATGCAGCTGTTATCGTGTTCAGCTGACGGGACAGTTAGGTTGTGGAGCCCCGGCAGCAAGTCTCCACTCCTAAACACATTCACTGTTGATACAGGTACTGTCACTCACAGTTCTTTGCCATAAGCAGGTACTCGAAGCAGTGTCCAAGGATGTTAGCCAAAGTTGGTTTGCCTAATGTTATCCAGAGGGATTTTCAGGCTGTGTAGGTGTTCCTCCTGTCTTGTCATTATCCCCCGCAACGCATTATGCAGAGGGGGGGGGGGGGGTGGTGGTATTAAAATGGACTCCGTCTGTGCGTGCGTCCGTGCACATAACTCAAAAAACGTTCAATATTTCTTCACCAAACTTGGCACATAGTTAGATCTGGTGGTCTACTTGTGCCTTTTGGTAGTTTTGGACTTTTGAATAAAATATTTCTTGCATTTCCATGGCAACAAGTTCGACTTAGACTGAAATTGGTGCTAGTACACTTTTCTGGAGCAGAACTCTAAAACCGTGCAATGTTTCTTCACCAAACTTGGCACATAGATAGATCTGGTGGTGAACTGGTGCCTTTTGGTAGTTTTAGATTTCTGAATAAAATATTTTTTTGCGTTTCCATGGCAACAAGTTTGACTTTGACTGAAATTGGTGGTAGTGCTCTTTTCCGGAGCAGAACTTTAAAAACTGTTCCCTATTTCCTCACCAAAAGTGGTACATAGATAGGTCTGGTGGGGTACTGGTGCCTTTTGGTAGTTTTGGATTTCAGAATGAAATGTTTTTGTCGTTTCCATGGCAACAAGTTTCACTTTGACTGAAATTAGTGGTAGTACTCTTTTCCGGAGCAGAGCTTAAAAACTGTTCACTGTTTCATCACCAAATTTCATACATAGGTAGGTCTAGTGATGAATTGGTGCCTTTTGGTAGTTTTGGATTTCTGAATAAAATATTTTTGGCATTTCCATGGCAACAAGTTTCACTTTGACTGAAATTGGTGGTAGTACTCTTTTCCAGAGCAGAACTTAAAAACTGTTCACTGTTTCAGTGGAAAACCTTTCAGTACTCTCTTTCCACTTATCTATATACACGCTAACAAATTTGACATAATCATAACTCGTAGACATATTCATGAAGAGTATTTTGCCATTGCGGGGATATTGATGACTTGCCTTCTTGTTAAAGAGTTTCTATGACTGTGATGTTGATGTCATTCATATGTCATACATGGTGGCTCCACAAAATACTTGATGACAAGTATTATGTATTCTCATAAAGCCTGATACTCTTTATATGCATGTAAAAGTTGGATTAAGTTTCTCTGCTGATGAAAGGGAATATAGTAGTCCTGAAATGTGTATGTGTAATGAAGCAGTTATGCGAGTTATGAGAGATAATTGATTCAGCCTTAGAAATTACCAGCTCAGTATGCTGCAAAGTTAATTTTTTTCAGGTATGTATGTAGATTTGGGTTTAGAATTGCTACCCATCAACCTGTCCTTGTTGTATGTAGCTGAGTAAGTTGACAGATGTCATTGTATCGTACTGCTTTGGACCTGGCTCTTATCTATCAGTGTGTTTTTTTCTGATTTAGACTTGGTTATAATAACCTGATGTTTTATTGGTGGAATTTATTGCTGAAGTCAGGATTTAGCAGGAAACAAACGTTATGTTTCGAGAAAAGATCTGGTTACATAATGCAATATGTTTTATGTTTTCAGCAGAAGAGGGAGCACCTACCTCTGTAGATTTTTTGTCGTTGTGATCCCAGTCGGATGGTGGCTAGCTATCGTCCTCTAATACCTATGTATTTGACATAGAGACTGGAAAACAGGTTCTCAAATTAGAAACAAAAATAAATTCAGGTAAGGACATCATTGAAAATAAGATTATCCACTGAATTTGAACATTAGTTGAACATTCTGAAATATCATGTTGTTAATGTACCTACAGTAACTAAGCAACTTAGATTGTTTTAAGATGTAAAGCTCCGTCCGTCCAAGATAATGGGGACAGATTTTCTTAATAACCGTTGTAGATATGGAAACCAAATTGGTATGTGTTTTCAGGACATGAATTCCTTGATGAAGTTTGAAAACGGAAACCGTGTTACAATTTGTTACAGAGTTATGGCCCTTGTCATGTGTTTCTTGACTTAGTGCATGTTATCCCTAATGGGGACAGATTTTCACAGAAACCGTTTCTCATTCAACAGCATTTTTGTGGCTATTTGTAGGAAGAATGAATAGTTGTCAAAATAGGAACAGAACATTGTAGCGGGGGATATTGATGACCTTGTCTTCTTGTTCAAGCCTTTTATTCTTTTTCAAAGCAGGTTTTGTCATGTATAGTAAGATCCTTTGTAAAGATCAGACATAGTCAAAAGTACATCTCAAATATCAATGATGTAGTCAAAAACAATGCTGACATATCTATGCATATAAGTCCAAAACTATTACATTTTCAAAAGAAAAATAATCTAGCAATTAGAATTTGACTGATTGTAATCATACATATCATTTTAATCCTATTCAACAAAATTCCGACAATGCGACCATGGTGTTATATACACATATAACTGATTCTCTGCTGTTTCAGATTCTAGCGGAAGCAATCAAATCAACAGGGTGGTAAACCATCCTACACTTCCACTGACCATAACAGCACATGAAGATAGGCACATTAGGTTCTTTGACAATAACACAGGTGAGAAAGTAACATCATTGTAAAGCCAGAAGTTTCTATGTTGACACATACATTGCTCTGAAATACCGTCAGTTCTGTGATGTCCTGAAACAGTGTGTGATGTCATAAGCTTGTATGATGGCTGAACAGCTGAACAGCATGGCTAGTTGAATGCAAATCTAATATGGATATGATCTGCATGTCGTCATACCCAATGCCAATTTATCACATGATATTTCCAATGAAAAGTATTCATCAACAGGTGAAAATCCAGATGAATTCAAGGCTTTGAATCCCCATTCACAATATTTGTTAGCCATGTAGATTTTGTCTCACAAACCCATTCTTTTTACAGTGTAAATAAGGGGCCATGTTAATCTCACAGATTTGCTGTACATTTAAAGAGAGACAGATAGGGATCCCATCTTATGACATGTACTATTTTAGTATGTCCTCTTTTTTTTAAAGTACCTCTGGTTATGAGTAATGAGAGCACTGAATAATGTTGAGAATAATTTCTGGGTACTTAAACTAGTGATTAGGTACGGAGTCTGATTGTGATCATTTTTCATTTCAGGGAAAATCAGTCACTCAATGGTGGCCCATTTAGACTCAGTTACCAGTTTAGCAGTGGATCCAAATGGATTGTATCTCTTATCAGGGAGTAAGTATTACTGTCCTCTGTTGCTATTCCAAGTTGTAAGATGTAATATATAATCATGTCGGCATTTAGGACATATTTCACTCAGTTACTGCTAGAAAATAAGACTGTCTAATTTTCAAGTTGAGTTGACTTTTACCAGAAATCCAACGCACAGTATGAAAAGCATGTTACTTCTGACTTTTTCATGTCTAATTCTGTTTATGTTTCCTTTTTCAGGTCATGACTGCTCTATTAGGTTATGGAATTTAGACAGTAAAACTTGCGTGCAGGAAATCACCTCCCATCGCAAGAAGTTTGATGAATCAATTCACGACGTTGCCTTCCATCCGCAAAAACCCTACATTGCTAGTGCAGGAGCCGATGCACTTGCCAAAGTCTTTGTATGACAACAATAAAGACTTCTAGTCTGTCGGCAAAACAATGAAAATACCAGTTTCGTTTGTGTGGCATGTTGTCAAGGAGGCTACCAACTAGTCTGGGCCACTATATGCTTACATTCTCGCTTACTTAAATGGCGACAACCAGCAGGCCGGGCTGGGTAGGTGGGTGGGGGTAATGTGTCGTTGTCTGTCCGAGTCACATGGTGAGTGATCCCCTGTTTACACCCCCATCCTCTTGTCCGTGCATAATGGATCACATACTCATTGCTCTATTCTATTTGAGATTTGTGCTGCAGCTTTCAGTCAACAAGGTCTTCATGTGGAGATGTATGATTCTCAGGGCAGTCTTCACATCAAGATGTACAATCCAAAATTTTTAACTGAAAAATAATCCATGTAAAGAATTGATGTTGGTGTTGTCTCTGCCATCTTGCAAGGTCTTGTGATAGTTGGTGAGATTTGTCATAAACTGTACGAACGCCAGTTTAGGCTGTAGAAAAGAAAAATTGGTATGGTAGTCAGTCGGTGAAGAAGAAACATTTGTGCATCAGGTAAGATGAAATTGCACAATGTTCATGTAGAATGGCAACCAGGAATGGCATACCCATCCATATAGGATGTGATACATATAAACATGTGACACTGCCGATTTTGAGGGGCTATTTATTGTATCAGTTTCTAAGTGACTTGTTTGTGGCGTCTTATCATCCTCCCAAGGCACCCTCCCAGTGTACAGTGCTATGTGTGCGTGTATCACCAGTCCTAGAAGTGTATACAAGTTTGCAATAACTCAAGAGTGGGTAAGCATGGACATGGATGGACAGAGAGATCTGAGGTTGAGCGAGAGAGAACAAAGGATGACATTCATCTCCTTCCACACTTTTAGTGACTGCATCATCATACACAACCCCATATGTACATTTTATGACACATACTGTAAGGCTAACTAATGGTCGACATGTAATATTTGTAATTATGAAGACACTAAACTATTTCAGTATTTTGTAGTTAGCCTGTTCATACCATATACATTAACAGTGTGGGCACATGTTGATATTTGTGCTTGCTCATGTAAATAGGCATGTTAATGTTAGTTCTCTGTGTTCTCGCTCTTGGTTGATGTTCTTGTCAACTGCTTAGGCAGCATGGATTTCGTCTAGTTGATTCTGGGGGCAAAACCAAACAGGTGATAACTTTAACAGTTTCAAAGGCAACATTGTTCAATACCACTTATTTGTAAAACATTAAAAAGGGTGTCATTCTATATCTTTGATATTTCTTATCTCTGTCATTCAACTATTGTTTTCATGGTATTGTGAGGTTCGAAAGACAAAGTCTGCTTCCAACTTTATACTGTGTATAAGAAATTATTTATCAGACTTTTTCTAGTAATTAAATGCAGTAATGAATTTCTTTGATGTTTGAGATGTGGACTGTATTAACTTCTTATTATTATGGAACATGAGTGATGATGACACCTATCTACTTTTACAACGGATTGAACTTTGAATACATGTCTGTTCAGTAGAAGTTTGACATTTAGGAAAATGATTTCTTTTCCTGTATATTATGTCAAATTTTCACTTTCTGAACATGCTACATAGACATATTCTGTATACTCTTTTTGTTTCTCTTTACTTCTGTATGTTATCTAAGGTAGTCTGTAATAACATGATAGTGACGAACTCGACTACTAAAGTTTATGCTTGGTTCGTTCATGTAACAACTTTATTTCTGTTGATAATTTTAGCTGGTATGATTATTTATTTAACTGGGTTCTGCAGTTATTTCTTGATAGAAGTTTCCTAAATTTATACATTTTTACATACTCTTTCATTTATCTTGTTTGTGTTCTTGTTTTTAAAGAGAAGTTTACACATCACTAAATCATGGTTTTCATTATAAGGGCTAAAGAACAGTCATACTTGAGTCATCTGTAAGGGAAGGAATGTGTTCAGCATGTTCAATATCAGACAATGTCTTATAATTTGACTGCAAAGAGTTGTGTGGCTGATGCTTCTATTAGATATCATGTACTGGTTCATCAGTGAAAACGATCTCAACACTCTTGTCATTATCAATTCGTCCAGCTTTTCTTTCGTGGAAATATCCTGGCATAATCAGCACTGTTAGCTTTAAAGATTATTTCTTTGAAATGATGACAACGACACATGGTTTCTCTCTCAGGAAGGCCTTTGCATGCAGTTCCAATGCTTTACTTGTAATTTGATACACAGTTGTTTAACAGCCAAACAGTGAATACAGTGAAGAAACCAGTAATTTGTGACTAAGTCCTTCACAATTTATAGTTTGAATTGGCACATTAAATGAAAATATTCCTCCCCTTGAAACATGTAATTCTTAATCCTAGATTGTGATAACTACCATTGTATTATCTCTATTACATGAAGTGAAATGTTCGTGAGCGATACTACACAGTATATATTTCTGTGTTTTTGCATATCACTTTGTAAGAGACATCTATCTAATACCATTATATAGATCAATTACTATATAAGTACTAGCTTTAGAGTTGCATATACTTTATGATACAGTATGTTCATATTGGCTCTTCAGTTTCGTTCAATAATATAAACTAACCAAAGTTTGTCTATTGAAATCCATGCTGCTTGATTATTGATGCTACTGGGGGATAATAACAAGTATGATTATGTATGGATTACTAATAGCAGGGATGGTATAACTACTAACTCCAACAAAGATAATATATACATTGTCATTGGCCTCAACACCCTTGTTTTTCAGGGGCACATGTGGAGCATTTGTTAACACAGATTGGACGTTTCACTGTGCCATTTTTGGAAATGTATCCATATACTTACAATATGAATTCGGTGTAAAATTGTTCAAACAATTATTTGTCAATTTGATGAGTGTTGTTTCGATAATTTTAGATCTTTTAATTTTAGTGCTTATCATTTGGTATCAGCATCATCTGTAATTTTAGAATTCTTACCTCATACATCGTTCATGATCATAGTGTTGATGACTGTACTAGTGTGTGAGAAAGGCACTACATAGTAGTCTAATTGTATAATTATAAGGAAACACATGGTTGGGATTGTAGGGAATATATATTTGAATAACCCAGGAAAATGTGATTTTAGAAGGAGTTTTATTTTCACATATGAACTACAGTGCTAACCATCTGATTACCAGTCCAGTCTGTTCTCTGAGATGATGAATTTTGTCTTTTCTAGATGTTTCTTTATTGTGAACCATGTGTTATTGGTCTTTCTGTACACAGTGTCTGCTCGTCAAGTCTTTGGACCTGCTGGTCTTTAAATCTCTGTCTCCTATCACCTATCATGAACCCTAGTGATTCAATCAAGCTTGCTTAGTGTTAATTTCATAAGAAAATGGGAAATGCAAATTTGACCATCTGGCAGTCTATTTGTAACTGTAAGAGAAGATTACTTACGGAATTCAATCAAAAATATTTCAGTCTGAAGTCAATGGAAATGTTCAATACATTAATTAATGTAATTATTTGTCTTTGGTAGAAGTTTTGAAACCAACTATCAGAAAAATATTTTCCATGCATAAAAAAGAAGGGGTTTGTATGACATGCCAGACTGGTTTGATATCATTTTTTATTTGAAAATGTATACTAACAAAATATTACTAGTCATTCAGTACAACTCTCAATAATCTTGCATATGTACAGATAATCATGTACAGTCATACAAGAGCAATTTTTAACAAATATTTTTGGACAGCTTATAAATGTGAATGTACATTTAGTTGTGTATACATACATGTATATTGTATTAACTGCCATAGAAAATCAAAGAGATGAAGTGCTTTCATATCAAACTGATGTGTAATCTATATGAAATAATGCCTCTAGATACATTAGGTTACTAGACGTGTGCTTTGCACCCTAGAATCAACACTTACACGTCTTGTCTTTCTGAATGAGTTACTGTCATTTCTCTGTATACAGCAAATTAATAAAACTGAATTTGAAATTATGGAAACCCGTATTTCTTGTTTATTGGGCATCAAAAGTGTGCTTGACATATGGGCGTATGATGTGCACATATGCTTTATACTCTTTAAAATATTCCAATTTATGTAGCCACTGCATGGGCAATGCGTTTTGTAGCCTTGTTAAACAACACAAGGTTTTGCCTTGACTTATCTCTCAAATGTCTCTCAAATGTACATACCAAGTTAAACTGGTAGTTTGCTTGTGTGAAGACCCCATGTATATGAATTGTGTTAAACTTACAGATGAAAAGAAGTATCGTAACACCCATAACACCCATGTTTTATGACTGGACCAATATTTAATAACAGTTTATATGTCATGTGCATCTTCACAGCAGATTTTTTTGGAGCCAAAGTGCTAAAAAGACTTTTCATTAACATAAAGGCCAGCAATAAAGAATCTGAATAGTATAATTTAATTAAACACGAGTCCTGTAATAAAACTGAAATTAAGATCCCATAATGTGTTAATAAAAGTATCATCCCAAACGGGTAACATGGTGCATAGTCCTGATTCATACACCCAATCCACAAATAGGGTCTCCACTTAAACAAACAGAAGACACGGTCAGTATCTTGTGTAACGTCCGCCCCCCTGGATGATGTTTTGAATCCTTGTCCTCATTGAGTGACCAGGCGCTGAATCCGATGTTAGGGCAACCTGTTCCATTCATGGTGCAATGTTTGCTCTGATTTATCAATATTCTGGACTGGAGGGTCTCTGACGAACCTTACACCCCAGAATGCCCCAAACATGCTTGATGGTGGCATGGACAAGAACAATCTTAAGAACTATAGACCAGTGTCTAACCTGTCATTCCTATCGAAGGTAATAGAGAAGGCAGTTGCCACCCGCCTTAAAGAGTATCTCGTCAACAATGACATGAGAAACATCAGTCAGCGTAGCGTACAGAACGGGTCATAGTACCGAAACTGCGCTTATCAAGGTTACTGATGACATACTTAAACCCCAGGGGCTCCTTTCACGAAGTAACCTTTACTAAGGTTAACCTTAACTCCCATTCTTTAACATTGCACTAAGGTTACCTTAGTGACTTACGATCACCTTAGTGCTTTGTGAAAGGAGGCCCATGACAGAGGCAGTGTTGCAGCTCTGGTATTGCTGGATCTGTCTACAGCATTCGATACTGTCGACCACAGTATTCTCACCACGTCTCCACTCACAGTTTGGCTTAAACTTCAGTGTAATGGATTGGTTCATGTCCTATCTCTCTGACAGATCCAAATGCGTTGATATCAATGGTGCTATGTCTCCAGAGTCCAGGCTTGAAAGAGATGTGTTCCCCATGGCTCAGTACTGGGCACACTACTGTTCACCCTCTACACCAAGTCCCTCACCTCTGTAGCAGACAACCATGGTCTCAGTCAGCATCAATATGCAGACGACAACCAGTTATATTCTGTTTTTCCAACCTCAGGATCTTTAGTGAAAAGAGCATCCTTTGAAAAGTGCTGTACAGACATAAAACGTGGATGACACCACGGCTACTCAGGCTGAACGAGGAGGAGACTGAACTGATCATACTGGGCTCCAAGAAGAATATCTCACTCTGGAACGCAATTCACCAACTCGATGTTGCAGGATCTCCTATCGCAGCCTCTGCCAAGGTGAGAAATCTTGGAGTCACTTTAGACCAGCAGCTCAGAATGAAACATCATATAACCAAGATATGTCAATCTGCCAACTTTCACTTGAGAAACATTGCCAAGCTTCGATCATATCTGCAGTTGAGAAATTAGTTCTGTCCCATGTAACATCTAGAATGGATTCCTGCAGCAGCTTATTATTCAACATCCCCAAAGAGCAAATACATCGCTTGCAGTTCATTCAGAATGCAGCAGTGCGAATGATCCTCCGTGTTCACAAGTACGATCACATCTCCCATCACTTACAGAATCTTCACTGGCTCCCAGTGTCATCACGGATTCACTATTAGATTATTCTGTACACCTACAAGTGCTACAACAATCTAGCCACGGCCTACTTGTGTGACCTTCTGAAATCTTACACACCTCCAAGATCTCTAAGATTCCAAAATAAACATCTACTGACTGTTCCATCTGTAAGAACGAGTACCTTTGGAAAAAGGACTTTCCAATTTGCTGCTCCCACACTGTGAAATCAACGTCCAGACCACATTAAACTTGCCCCTAATGTGACAACCTTCAAAAGCAGACTCGAAACTCATCTCATCAGCGATGCCTTCCGATGTCCAAATTGCTAGCGCAGAGCACAGCGGACTGTGATTGCTGTGCATTATAAGTGCATATCATCATCATCATCATCATCATCATATCAGGGCTTCTGGCTGAACATGGAAGGGTGGTAATGGCTTCTTGATGCAGGAAATCAATGACTGCGTGCGCGATGTGTCCAGGCGTTATTATCCATAAAGATTGGCCTTGTTAATAGGGGATGATTATCAATATGAGGCCCTACATGCCTCCTCAGTATTTCCTCTGGTTATCTTTGTCCATTCAGATTTCCTCTCACTGTTACAAGCCGAAGTTTGCAGTCATACGACACACAGCCCCATACCAACAAGGATGCTCCGCCGAATGGAACTTCTTCCAGGATGTTCCTTTGAGCATATGCCATGTTCCTCTGTCGCCACACACGTGTCCTTCCGTCAGTAACAAACAGCAAAAACCGGCTCTCGTCTGAAAAATGGATCTTCCTCCAAGAAGCCATGTTAACCGATACCAGTCACGGCACCACCGTAATCTTGCATCCATGTGGTCACCTGTCAACAAAAGTCGTCGGACGGGTCTCCTGGCCATATACTCTGCTGTTTTCAGTCGATTTCTAACAGTTGTATAACAGAGTTCCTGATGTGGAAGCCATTGCCGTTTTAACATTGGACTTGGTGCAAAGGGAAATCGCCGAACAAGTCTATATTGGGCTGCGTCTTGTCTAGCTGATGTCATGCGTGGTCTGCCTGAACGATGCAGATCCTTTACATCGTTTGTTTGATATATTTCCTGACTAATTGACTGATTGTTGGGTGGTGGTGACCTAATTGTCTGGCAATTTGTCTCATGGACAACCCGGCATATAACCATACCTATAACTTGCCATCTTTTGGTTGACGATAGTTGAGGGGTACCCATTGAGTGGTTTAAGGCAATGAGTATGCGTTTTTGCTCAGTTTTGTAACAAGTGTTAATGATAATTGAAACTATTTTCATGACACGAGGGGTGTTCCGGAATCTATGAAAAAAGGCATAACCTAGTCCTAAACTGTATACATGTACTTTGGACTCCGTATCGGTGCTTTATCAGCTTACTTAAACTATCAATACATCTACCTTAAGTAATGGGACTTACAACCGAAAAATGTCATTTATGGTCACTTTTTTAAATATCAACGATAAATCCTGACCACCACCCCTTGTGAAATTGTCCTGAATAATACGTTTCAAGATAAACAGATACTTTTCTGTATTGCCATTTTTACATATATTCCGTTCCATACATCAAGTCTTACAGAGTAACAACACTTCAACGATAAAAATGGCGATGTGTTGGAAAGGAAAGCGTGGTTCTGTGTCATCAAGGAATTTTACGAGGAAACTTGGTGGCAAAAGCCACATACTCGTAGACAGCATTATTTGTCAACTTGATAGCATGCAGAGTATGAATTAAAAGTAATGGTGGTGCGTAATCACAGCGTACTAAGGTATCATCACCTCCATATATTCAGAATTCCCCTGTCATAAGACTTACCTAGTCTGTCGTACAGACCCTGAAGCAAATATATCCAAGAAAGCCCACGCAAGTCTAGAAAATGTGGCAAGTCTAGATTTCCTCAGCTTCTGAAAATGAAGAAAGTCTCAGGGCTCCTTTTCATTATATATATATATTTTTTACTATGAACTTTTTTTCAGTAAAATATGTTCATTTCAGAGACTAGTTGTTAGTCTAAAGACTTACGTGTGCTGGAGGATACTTGAATTAAGCTCTTAAAATTAGGGTAAGGTGAGGTAAAGTTAGGTTACCGTCATCAGGGCGAGTTATTGCACTTATGTGTGCCTGCATTAGTCCGGACTAGCTCTCTGAGGTACTTGGACACAGACTACAGACCCTGATGCCTTGTTTATCTCCGTTAAGCAGAGCGTCTGGCACTTCAACAAGTACAATATTTTAACGTTCGGGGATTGAGGACCACCGACCTTTCGCCCTCAAGTCACTCTCTACCAATCCAACCATGGTGACTAAAAACTGTCCAGTGTCAATGAATCCTGCATGCATATTGATAACTGTTGTGACAAGTGTTGTTTGGGTCGGAGGCCGAAGTAACAGAATATAATTGTCTCACAAAGATACTCGGACGCCTTACAACTATATTTATTTTATTTTGGGTTCGTACATGTGTTCCGATTTATCCTCTGTTCCGTCAATGAAGATATCTGATTTACGTGGGAACACCTGGTGCATCTCTACCTGAAAAAGAAAAACGATTTGGAGATCAGTCACTTCCAAAGCTCTCGTGGCCCTGACATGCCCATCATTGTTTTTATCCCATCTTATGTGTCCGTGTGGCACCACAGTCATGGTAACCTAAAACACTGACCGATGACTGCATACTGTTCGCGGTGTTTAGGGACTGTTCATAATTTCATGGCTAGGGGTGGAGCGATGATGATTGTTATGGAGAAGCGTGTACAATGTGAATGACCCCCCCCCCCTCCCCAAAAAGTCAAAAAAATTTATGTATAAAAAGAAATGATCCACCTGCATGTCATGTACAAAATCAATGACACGCCCCATAATTTCTAAGCATAAAATAAAAAAATTGCTGACCCCCCCTAGTACGTGTGTACAAACTTGCTGACCCCACCTTAGCTCCCCAGAACAAAATGGGTGACCCTCCTTAAAATCATCAAAAGCCAACCAGCCGCTGCAGCCAAGAAGGCTGCCAAACCCAAGGCAAGGAAAGCAAAGTGAGTGAGTGAGTGAATATTTACTGTCACATCGGCAATATTTCAACCATATCGTGACGAGAACAAATTTGATGATTATAAAGAATAGGTATATATTATAAAACCTGTCATTAAAGTACAGTAAAACAACTAGACTACCATAGTTCTAATTTAAAACTAGCATGTGAAGTTAAAACTAATAGCACAATTTGGACAATACACAATATAAAAATAGGCTGTAGATCGCCATCAACTGAAGGTAGATCACCAAGAAAGCAAAGAACCCTAAAAAGGCCAAGGCAGCAAAGAAGTTAAGTGCGTCAGGCTTGACTTTATATGAGATTAATTCATAGACATGAGTGAACTCATCCGTATGTTTCGCCGCTACATCATGGGCTAGGATGCCCTTTCGTCGTAGAAATCATCGACTGAGACCCACTCACTCCCTCTCTCACTCACAAACTTTGCATTCTTTGCCTTGGTTTTATAATATATATCTTTGGCTTGGCGGCAGCCGCTGGTTTCTTTGCCTATGGCTTCTTAGCCTTCTTGGGAGATTTCCTGACACCAGCAGCCTTTGGCTTGCTCACTTTCTTGGCCTTGGGCTTAGCTCCGGCAGTCTTGGGTTTGGCAGCTTTCTTTGCCTTTGTCTTCTCAGCGTTGTCTCCGATTCTGAATGATCCGGAGGAACCGGTTCCTTTGGACTGCTTCAGAGTTCCGTTCTTGACACCAGCACGGAGAGCCAGCTTCAGATTAACTTTGGCGGCATTAGCGTCATCTTTGTAGTTGGTCAAGATGTACTTCAAGAGAGCCCGGCGAGAAGAACCACCACGATCCTTCAGAACAGTGATGCCTTTCTTGATCATGTCCAAGTATTGAGGGAGACTTGCTGCCTTCTTCGGCTTTGCTGGTGCTTTCTTCTTTGGTGCCTTTTTAGTTTAGCTGGCGGTAGCGACGGCGACTTCAGCGTCTGACATTGTGAAACTGTCAGAGAACTGTCGGTGAACTGTCAACGAGGAAAACAGATGAAGTATGAATCTGCAAAGTTAGTTTGTTGAACTGACTGTCCCTTTAACTTTGAATATAAAAATGTCAACATTAGCTTGCTATTATTATCTCGCCTGTCTTCTTTTCTCGGCAGCGAGTATGACGCCGAAGACGATTCTAAGGGCGATTTCGACGACGACTCTGAAAATATAACGATTTCAATCAAGTAAATAATGAACTACGACTTGATGCAAAATACAAACGGGGAAACCGATTAGACAATCAGTGATGTCTGGTCTTCATTAACACAGGGATTTTAGGTATGATCATTGGCTCAGACATGAAGCAAGGGCATTGATATGGATAAATCTGCTAAGCCCAGGTTTTTCTTCCAAAGGCAGAATATTTCTGACACAGGCAAACTCATTCAACAGGTCTCCGTGGGTATCGGGAAGATCGAATCCCCAGCACGCTGTGGGCTGTCAGAAAACTACATTGGATCGTGTCGTCAGTCTCATTGTCTCGTTTGAATGCGCGTCGTCTTACCCCAATGAACGGGGACGTTGTGCGTAATGATATCGACATCTGGTTTGTTAAGCCAAAACTCGATTATATACAGGCCTGTTGTATTTAACTGGAAACTACTTAGATTCAACGTATCGCTCATTACAGTGCACTAGTGTTGGGAATTGGTTGAAATCTCACAATTGATGATTGGTGCAATACCAACGACCAATCATCGAAAAAAATTGGTTAGCGTCATTTTTTAGATTTTCCTATTCAGGCTGTAGTTGCAGATAAGTATAAAGAAAAAAACATTTGGTTCTCTGTTGTTGTTTAGAAACTGCACAAATTACATTTGCAGTTTTCACATCCAGTGTAAAATAATTCAGTTCCAGTGTAACATTAACTTCCGAGATTCTTCAAGAAATATTCAGTCATGACTTTTCAGAAAGTGAAGTGAGTTTTCTTAGAAATAAACACGTTTTCGGGCCCTGACAACGTCCTAGATATGTTCCATCATCAAGTATTTCAAACTCTATTACAACGGTTCCAAAATCGTTTGTGTTCGATTATGAAATAATGTGATCGATTGCTTGGTCGTTTGGCCACTGCGACCAATCTTCGATTATTTCAATTAATCGGACCACCACTACCGTGCACACGGTGGGAGTAGTGCGTTACAGCGCCAGGCAACAAGCAAACTCTTTCTATTCCCTACCCTTTACACGAGTGAGTGAGTGAGTTAATACTTAACGTCACACCCTTTACACGAACACCTGATGTCACTACTGAGTGTTTAGCTTTGTACATATAATGTAATCTGTTTCGGCGTTATTCTCTGGCGTTACCGTGTTCTTCAAGGTCTGAATAACAAGACGTCATGACGTTACACATCTCTGTATGAGAAGCGGGTTAAAGCAAGACAAGCTCACCCTGTTTGCGAACACCTGGTGTCATGATTTTTCAACTCTTTTTACTCTCCTGCTTTGTCTTTTACACCCCAAAGTCTGGCTTCGATTTTCAACGTAGTTCCAATAAGTGCAGAAGGTTGCACTTTAAGGTTTTTGTAAGAAACTTGAAGTAACGTGAAAATACTCGAAGCAACGAAGAAATAGTTGAAGAAACGAAAAAATAGTTGAAGCAACGAGAAAATAGTTGAACAACAAGGAAATAAGCAAAGCAACGAGAACTTTCGCTGTAAAAAATATTTTATGCTACAAAAGTGGCAGCATCAGGCTTTCGTACAACCGTACTCTACGGTCCGTCAGGGCATATAAAGCAGCTGAACTTACTGTCGTGTTCCCTGATGGTTTCCTCGTGGTGTGTGTTATATAGACACACAGTTATTTAAGGCAGCATCTGCGTGTGTATCATTGCTAATCTGGATACCAACAGATGTACAAACGACGAGAAACACCACACCGATACTACAATTCAGCTACCATACCAGGGGTATGAGGGCTTATTTGTATATATTATATAAAATATGTTCCAGGTTTACAGGCTGCATTGAACCAGTGCGCAATCAGGTAGCATACTTCTGCTGGCATCAAAGTGAGCTGGGTTGAAATTGAATAAATTCTCTTTCACATTTGTCATGAAGTATCTTTAACACAAAGAGCCAATTCCAGCAGCTGCCAAACCCATTTCCACAGCTACATGAAATACTACATGAATGTGATGATACCACGTGTTAGCGGATCCTGCCCCACCAATAACAGCCGTCATAAACACATGCAAAGTCAAAATAGGGAATTTCATCCGACGTCATTTACGTCACATACATTTGGAAATGTCTCCCAATAACACCACATGAGCTGCCTACATTAGAAACTTGACATCGATGGATATCTACTCACCCAACAGTCATAGCTTTCATCGATGAAGGATTTATCTGACAATCATAAGTTATTTCTATGGAATTTCACATGATGATAAATCCATTCCACCTTTATAATGGAATCCTTCATCCATATAAAGTGAGTGAGTGAGTTAAAACTTTACATTGCATCGGCAATATTACAGCCATATAGCGATTCATCCATATAAAAAGATATATATTGCAGGGTTTCGTAAATGAAACACCAAGTTCTTGTTAAAGCTACTGGCAATACATTTGATAATAATCAAGCAAGGCCTAATTATATACTGTCAGGAATAATGGTGGAAGTGGAGTTCATAACATATGAATCTTGAAAAGAAATACGTGTACATTTATTATTCTCCCCGTGGCAAAATTATCCCATTCGATTCGAAAGGCAGATTATTTCTAAGAGAAGATCTGGTCTGATACAGATCAACTCATTCAAAACGTAAGCTGCATATACTATGGAAACATAACTAACGTATGTCCTCATCTTAGATATTGCAACCAGTACTCTCTTACGATAGCTTCCAGGACAATTACATCTCGAGAATGTTCCAAATGTTGCAGACATGCTTTTGATTATGACAGACATGTACTTTTACTGTGAGTATTATATAACTAAACGAAATGGGTTCTTCTCCACCCTCATTGACAAACTGGATGTTGACAGTTATGTTCAAATTGAACATTTGGATGAAAATGAGATACTTGCACTATTATTGGGTTCTGCTCAAACACTGCCTGGAATTGTAAGCCAGACTACTTGGGAAAGTGTATCACTATTATTCTGTAAATATGTACTTCATCTGAAAAATGAATTAGATCGTCCCCTCTTTTCATCTGCTGTGCAGCAATAGCTGTCATTTGTGTACATATGTGATATAGAATATTTACTTATACAACTTGTGTTACGAGGCCTCATATTTAAATTTATGTACATTCTAACATCATGTACTAGTATTTGCTCTGAGTAACATCAGGCATATATATAAATATTCGGATGTAAATTCTTATAGGAAATAAAGAAATTCATTCACTCATTCATTCTTCATTGAAATCTATCTATGATCTGTTTTCCGAGAAATTTGACTCTTGGAGATTCAGTAGAATACATGCTTCTTGGAAACAAAGGCCACATTGATAATTTAAAACACCTGCTGGCTGTATCGTTTTGCTATACACCTGTTGCTATCTTGATTAGTCAAATACCTTACTCGTAGATGCCGCCAGGTAATGCAATGTTCAATGTATAGAGATTACAAAACGAGTTGGTGTTGAATATGGAAAATATTCAAATGAGATATTTTAAAACTTTTTTGATTTATTCACGAGCGAAATCCACAAGCTAAATGTTTTTTTTGGTTGACATTTTTGGTCAAAAACTGCTTGAATGGGGTTATAATGATATTGAGGTGGCAACAGATGGTTCGGCATTATGACGTCACTATCGTGGAATAACTTAGTTTGGTTACACAACACTCGTTTGATAACTTTCAACTGGTTACACAACACCTTTTACAAATAAAACAAAATTATCTCATAAAGATATTCAGAGCATGTGTGTAATAAATATATAAAAAAGTTTTAAAATATCTCGTTTGAATATTTTCCATTTTCAACACCCACTCGTTTTGTAATCTCTATATATTACACGTACATAAAGCAATCAGGGAACAAGGTAAGTGCAGCTCATCTGTCTAGTAGTACGGAAGGTGTCGTCGCTTGAGCTCTGCAGTTGTTTTCCCGGAAGCCTTTGATTGTAGGTTCGATTCCCGGTTATGTTTCATGCTTATTCAGCCCCATACCCGTGTGTGTGGCTTTCACTATCGGGATGTCCTCCCACAATAACCTGAACTTAGGTTAATGCTAATAGTGGCGAGTATGGTTGATGCTCATTTGGTTATGGTAATGGTAAAGGTTTTGTTTATCTACTCACTTCGCTTGTAATGTAGACGATCATGTCTTACTATTCTCCTTATTTTGAGACCCGTGAGGATCCGGTTAGAATTGGTCTTTAGTAGCCCATGCTTGTCGTAGGAGGCGACTAACGGGATCGGGTGGTCAGGCTCGGTGACTTGTTTGACACATGTCATCGTATCCCAACTGCGTAGATCAATGTGCATGATGTTGATCACTGGATTGTCTAGTTCAGACTCGATTATTTACAGACCGCCGCCATATAGCTGGAAAATTGCTGATTGAGGCGTTAAACATGAAACCAACCAACCAACGTATGGACGTGGAAACGGTTTTGTCGGTATTATTTACCTCATGCAGTCGGAGAACAAATGACAAATACTTGAACACATGTTCACAATAGCTTCCGAAATATGTAAGTTTGATTTTAATGACAACCCATGCCTGTCGTAGGAGGCGACTAACGGGATCGGATGGTCAGGCTCGCTGACTTGGTTGACACATCTAATTGCGTAGATTGATACTCAAGCTGTTGATTACTGAATTGTCTGGTCCAGACTCGATTATTTACAAAACCGCCGCCATATATCTGGAATATTGCTGAGTGCCACGTTAAGCACCAACCAACCAATCTTATTTTAAAGTACATGTATATTTACATCTCAAATGTCATTTGCTGATAATTATTCATCCTAAATAGGA